TATCTTTAATGTACATAAAGTAAAAACTTTGGGAAAAAATCAGCTACTAACAGGAAGAATAATAATCAAGTACCTACAATAAATGTAGAATGAGGCAATAACTTTGGAATCCAAATAACAGTCATTACAAATATGTTTGAATATGTAATTTATTCAACTCTAAGTTTAAATAGTAAAAGGTGAAAAAAATCATGTTCCTTAACTTTAAAACACTTTAAAAACTAAAAACTAAAAACTAAAAAACACATAAAATGATTTTCTATTTTTATTTATTTTTTAAAATATTTTTTTGAATCTTGAAATTACAGGGAGAGAGGCCATCAGAAATTTTCCATCCACTGGTTCATCACCTAGATGTGCACAATGGCCAGGTCTGGACCAAACCAGAGCTAGAAATCAGGAACTCCATCCAAATCCCCTACATGAGTGCTGGGGCCCAAACACATGGGCCATCCTCTGCTCCTCTTCATAGGTCATCCACAGGGAGCAGGACCAGAAGTGGACCAGCCAGGACACAAACAGGCACCCATAAGGGATGTCATGGTTGCAGGTGGCAGCTTCACTAGCTGTGTCACACTCCAGTCCCCCAGACTTCCTAAGTTGAAAATTGAGGTGTAGAGGTAGAGAGGGCATTCCCAAAGCACGGTTCACTGCCCAACACTACCTTCCAGAGTCTGTATTAGCCAGAAGCTGCAGTCGGGAGTCAGAGCTGAAACCTTAACTTTGGCAACCCACCTGATGTGTGATAAAGGAATCTAAGTTCTAAATACCTATACCTAGATTTCTGATTTTGATGGTAACCATGTCAGAAAAAGGAACCATATTTTACTTATCCATTATTTTTAAAAAGCAGGTAACAAATATATATCTAATTATAGAAAAACAATTAATATAAATATTAAATATAATGCTTTAAGAAGTCATTCTGAAATTCAAAGTAGAAGCTGCTGATTGTATTTTCAGTTGCATTAGGTATACAACTGCAACAAGCGAAGTTTCCAGGAATGCACATTCCTTAAGCGAAGAGAACCCACAGAAAGTTTTAAAAAGCTCAGTCACATTTCTGAAATATCTTTAACAAACTATATTATCTATATATGTAGTTATATCCATGTTTCTTCCTGAAGTACTTCTTATAGAATTGAACAAGTGTAAAAATATTCAGTTTTAATAATTAATCCAATTTATCCTTGGAGAAATGAAATCAACTTATTTAGGACTATACAGATGATTTTTCGATTCATATAGAGTTAAGTAAAATATAACCTTCCATTGAAGTGCTTCCTTACTGGCATGAGAGTAAACATTTTCTAGCAAAATTAGATATATTTTCACGGAAAGGACAAAGACTGTAATGATGATGTATTTAAAATCGTGTGAATGACTATTTCATTCCACTATTAGGATTTTATTTTTTCACTAAAGAATCTGAATTTTAGCTTCTGCTTTTGTGTATTGTGTTGCCTTACTCAAACTTTTCTGGAGCCAATGAATGAACATATTTTAAACTCAGCTGAGAGATTGTATCTGTGCACTTACAGGCAGCGGGGTGCATAATTAGGTATGCCTGCCATCTGTGTAGCCCTCCAGGTGCAACTGGCATTAGCTTTATTTAATATTACCACGACATTCATTTTACTCCATTAATTTATGTCATTTGTCCTTTATTGTAAACTCAGATGGCCAACACTAAGGCAATGGGCATGATGACCCAATTTTTATTTTAGTGAAAACGTTCTATTATAAACAAAATTTTTAGCAACCTCCATAGCTGAGAATACTCTTAAGAAATTGATTGACTGGCCTTTCTCTCTCTCTCTCACACACACACACACACACACACACACTAGTCCCCGAAACAAAACCTTCCTGTGTTAGGTATAGCAGTGTTTGTTCACAGAGGGAACACAACCTAAGACTTTCATTTTGGATGGCATTGATAAGGCACTGGAAAACTAGGGCTTCATAAATTCACAGTCAAGCTAAAGGTAATGCAACAAAGCAATGTTTCCAAGAATTTGTTGAAGCATTTTCATGTTAGATCACAATAAAAAAATATGAAAATGTGAAAATGTCTTTGGTTCTTAAAGCTCAAGAAAGAATTGCCCCTAAGTTTTCAATACCATGCTAACATTTCCAATTCTTCATTTCTAAGAGTGGGCCTCCTGATCCTGATCCTAGGTAGACCCTGATACCTGGGTAGAGCTTAACATCTTTTGCTTTGGGCTTCTATTTAAAGCATTGATGTATAGTTACGTCAAGCACCTTTAGGTGAAAAAGTCTTAGAAAAATATGATTAACAGTGTACTTAGGAGATACAGAACATCATGAAAGCTGTTTTCAAAATAACTGAATTTTTAGAGTGTTTAGTATAAGTTGATTGGCATCCACTTTCAGAAGACTCAACTACACAGAAATGAAAATTGAAGTCAATTTAAAAACATTGACTTTTTATCACTCTGTGTCCTCTATAAGTAAAACTACTCATAGTTTATTCTGTGGAATGTTAATATTAGCTATTTTATTATCCAAAAAAGGTGAAATTAGAACTTAAAGTTCATTTACATGAAGGATGGTTAGAAGAGTGGAACTTCAAATGTCACACATTCCAAGATAACCTTTGGAGAAAAATCCTAAGTCCTAATACATCAATAAGAATAAGGAGATAGTTTTTGAGAGTAACTGTGTTTATGAAAATATGAACATAACAAGGTGGAAGGTGGAGGGGAAAAGGAGCATATATTATTCATAAGTGCACAGTCTTCCATGACAGAACCCCAGTTGAAGTGAAGAAGTCGATGCCTGCTCCTAGAGAACGCTGAGGGCAATATTTTGATGCTACCACATTCAGAAACCTCAAGGGACAGCTGCATTGAGACAGTCCTGAGATCATCAGCACAGAAGTGCCTCCTGCACACAGATTTCCTTTGTAGGGTCCATTATTAAATGTTTGGTACTTTAATGACAATAGCTTTTATAGTTCTTGAACAAATAATGTAACATAAGTTTTTATATACTGAAATGGAATAAATGAAATAGCTATTGTGGGAAAAGAAGCCATGATGTCAAGCATACATCATTTTAAGAGCATCCTCCTTTTCTGGCTTTCATCATCTTCTACTGGGAAATTTTGCCACCAACTTTTCCCCCCTCCTCTGGAGGTTACAGAGGACAGTCTGCTGTCTTACAAACAACTCTATCTAGAAAGTGGCAAGGTTAAACATCAGTCTCCCATATGCACATTCGAGGAATATCTTTGCACAAATCTAACGTATTCCTGAGTATCTGTCACTGACATGAAACAGCACACCAGGGCAGCTGAAAGCTCGTGATGAAAGTTCTGACATTCCCACACTTATACTGAAAAAGAAAACATCAACTTGTGCTAGTCTCCTGGCAGGCATCGTTTCAGCCTCTCCACTCACTCACCATCAAGTGAGAAAGGACATTAAATCACTTCGAGTCAATATCTAACCAACCCAACAGTACCTTAGAGCAGACTGAAGGATTCCTTGGCTTTTTTATTTCTAGCAGGAAAACAATGCTTTTTCAGGATTCTTAGCATGAATCAAAAACAGATGAAAAAAAGAAACCTCCTCCTTTTGGTCTTCTTGTTCTTCATGATTTTTAAGCCTTTCCTGTACCAGCCCCATCACTGTTGTGATGTGTGGGCTCTACTGATTTCTCACATGTTCTTGTTACTCCTGCCACTGCACAGCAGGACTGAAATGAAATACTGTTATTTGTGTGCTACACTTCTGGAGCATTGAGAAAGAACAGAAATCGGTGGCATTCTTCATTATTATTTAAACAAAAAGTAATGATACTGAAACCAGTAGGGACCACACATTGTCTGGAGTGGTACATGACACCAACACCTGTACATCTTTATACTGGAGAGAACCCTCAACACTTTCAGAAAATAATAATGAGGGAAGCATAAGGCTGTGTTACTTCTCCCCAGTGCTGATGGATCTGGTCTTCACCTTGCAAGCTTGACCTTCCTTCTTCCCTCCCTCCATTTCTTCTTTCATGTGCTGTGACACTGATAATAAGCAGTTCATTCAGCGTCTCCTATGAGGTAGATGAAATGATAGTAGCCAACGATATACAAATTTCATCAAAATACTCCAGTGTTTTCCAGAACTTCCGTACCAAAGTACTAAAAAACTGGGTGACTTAAAACAACAGGACCTTATTCTCTTTCAGGTTTGGAGGCAGAAGTCTAAAATTAAGGTGTCAACTAAGCTAAGCTCCTCCTGGAAAGCTAAGGAAAAGCCTTCCTTTGCTCTTCAGCTCCCGGTGGCAAGGTGTTCTCTGGTTTGTTTTGCCTTCAACTTCACGCATTCACTTAGCTCCCTTTCTGGGTCTGTGCGTGGTTTTCTTATATGGAAACCGGTGACAAGACAGGGCCTATTCTTTCCATATGATTTTACCAATTACAACTATGCAGACCCATGTGGACATTAATTTGTGGGCGAGGGTACTGCTGAAGCTAGGAGAGACACAGCCTGCTCTCAATGGCAGCACCCCTACCTGTCACACCGAGCTTCAACAGGTAAGGTTGCCTGCCTTCCTACACTCTGATGTGCTATGTTCTCTGAATGTACTGGTTTAAACTTCTACAGAGGGCAATTCAGCTTCCAGCAGCCTGCCATGAAATGTTTCTGACAAATCTTCAAAGCCACTGTGTGATGACTACGAAGTTGGATGCGTCACTGTGATAATAAAATAAATTTTGTTAACATCAACCACCTCAAATTTACAATGACGGTTGCAATGTGGTCTTGCAAAATTGTTGCAATATGTAGTTTTACCCACTCATACACTTGTTAAAAAAATCAAGGAATTTTTACAGTTCATAATGAAATAGAAGCTTAGACACAGCCTATTGCTTTACAGATGAAGTGGGTTTCAGGGGAGGCACACTCATTTGGGGCAGACCTTGTAGAAAGGCACAAATTCTTTGCTCAATGTTCAAAACAGATTTTTCAAGTCTATTAATATAAACGATTTTATTATGATTTTTTCCAACCTGAAAACATTGTAGCACCTGAGTATCCTAAAGAATCAATGGCGATAGTACTTCAGTGACAACACCGAGGGCAAGAATCATGCAGCACATTTCTCTTCCCATGAATACAACTTCCTCTGCTCAGGAAGAATTTATGAGCCCTGCAAATCAGAAAAAAGTTGTAGAGGTAAAAAATACTGAGCTTTTCATAAAGATGCCATCCGAAGTCCCTCTACTTGTAACTATGGACACCATATGTGCAGTTAGACATGATAAAAACCAGTTTAAATTGTAAATCTCAAACAATACAATAAAGCCTTTTGGCAGTAAAAAGAACAAAAACACACCCATTTCTGTATCTGTGCTCCACTGAAACTTCTTATTTATTCACTTTAATTCTTCATTTACACAGAAATGCTGTAATAAAATATCTGTACACTACTTCTGTTACAAATATAGATAATATTTCAAGTGACTATATATTCTAATGTAGGAATTTCACGCTCTAAAATGGGAGTGAACACATGATAATTCCTCACCAGTTGTCCCAATAAACAATTCCATCTGCTTCCCTTCGTCTTAAACTATTGTATTATAAGATGTTAATATAAGGCAACGAAATGAAGTTATGCTAATCCTCTTACTTTTTCTATCGATTTACTAATGGCATGCAACCAAAATAATTACTAACACATTGCTTTTTTCTCTGTCATTAAGATTAATACTAATTGAAAGCCAATTAGACAGCATACCAACATAGTTTCCATATTGCATCCACTGTTAAAGCAGCACTAAAAGATTCTTGAAGTCTTCCATGAGTTTCAATAACCGGCATTGTGGCTTTCCAGAAAATTCATTGACAACATGGGGTGCTATCTTTGTCTTACTTACAGTAACATGAAAATATTTTATAAAAAGTCAGAGCCCTAAAACCAACATCAGGATGTACATTATATATGATTTCTTTACAAAGCTTAGGGAAATTACTTTATGTATGTATTTGCTGTTAACTCAGTAACATAACACAATTTTGTCAAGAAAATTGTGTATATATTAGAATTAGGAAGGTACAATTATTAATATGCATTATAAACACTGAAGGTATTTTAATAACTTTCCAAGACAAATATTATTCTTTTTAGAGTGGAGGAGAGGAGATGGATTACCAAGAAGATGGATTGAAGCATATTTATGAAAAATTTCAAGATTCTCTTCTTTATTTCACATTTTGTTTCTCACCTAATTACATAGCTCTGTGTTAGTCTTACACTTATTTTTCTTAACACATTAGAATTTTTCCCATATGATGATAAAATCTTCTCTACATATCTTTCCTTCTGCCCCCAAAAATCTGGATTTCTCTATGCAACAATATTCCTTCTGACTTCAAGTTCACAAAATGCAGGGGGAAAGGAAAGAAGATATTAGGACTTCAGCAAGAAAACCGCTGTCATATGAGAAAAAATAACATGACATGCTATTTTCCACCCCTTTACGATTTTGAAAAGTCCAGCAATACAGCAAGGGACAAGTCCTCGATCGAATGCACTCCTTGCAGTGTGAAGAGATGAGGGGCTGGGGCCGGCCCCTTCTGGCAACCAACTCAGGAGAGAACCATCAAGGTGACGGAGCCTTTTGTCCGTTTAAGGATGGCAACCGCTTCTTCATGGGTGACCCCTTCCAGACTCTGCCCGTTGACAGCAATGATCTGGTCGCCCCTTTTGAGACGCCCATCTTCAGAGGCTGCTCCCTGCAATTGCAAAGTAGTCTGGTTACTTCCCCCAAATGCTACTGTGCAGAAGACTTAAGAGCAGAAAGTAACTTACTCCGTGGGTATACACAGTCCTCCTGATGCTCCCTGGGTGCTCCAGAGCCAGCAAGCAAGGATGCCTACTCTCTAGCCAGCCCATTTTCCCTAGAGGCTCAGCACTGAGATTCCAATGGAACAGAGAATTCTGCAGTCAATTCCTGAGCTACATGGTTTTTTGGCTGTTCAGCACAGCAGTTGGTGAGAACTCAAATTAATAAAGAATATTTGGGAACTTGCCTATGAGCAAAGATTTTATAGATTCCAGGATCTTCTACCACACAAAGAAAACACGCAGAGGACAAAGGATTATGAAAGAACAAAAGCCAGTTTTATAGGAGAAGGGCAGGAGAACCATGAAGCCCAAGGTTTTGCAGAAGCAAACAACCCACTTGCATGCTCACTGGAGTGGGGATAGATATAAGTACTGAATTTAGAACCTACTACTAATCTAATTTTTTCTCTGGCTTTGAAAAGGCTGTTTCAGCTCTCTTGGTTTTTACTCCCCAAGGGTAGATGGATGCTTCTTATTCCTATGGGGCCTAAATGATGAAGATTAAACACAGACATTGCTGTTTGAAAAAGAACCACATCTTAAGGCATGCCTATAGGAGACAATTATGCAATTAAATATCTAAGATTAAAAATATGAAAAAGTTAATGAGGAATCTATAATGATGAAATTCCTAAAATATGTTCTAACTAGCGTGCCTTAAATAAATTGTTCCTAGGCTGCGGAAAAGGACTGTGTGACTTTTCTATTCACTGGCAAATGCTGTTTGTATTTTTGGATATACCAATAGCTTGGGAAAAAACTCATAAATTAAGCCTATAGCAAGCTTGCTTCAGCTGTAGTACTTTAAACTGGTTAGAAATAATAACTTTACCCCTCAAAATATAATGATACTTCCATAAAATGAAAGAATATTTTTTCCTTTTACAAGAAGAGGGGACCACTATAAAGCTCCTGCAATAAGTCACTGGACACATTTATCTTGTTCCTGACGTTATAAAATTTTAAAATTCTGAATTTTCTCCTGTAGACAAGTTGTCTACTTTTGTAGCTCCTGGGAAAATGCCTTAAAACATAATAGCAGTATTTATGTGGATTCAAATTGTTTTAATAAGTCCACCGATGTTATAATATCTTTATTCTAAACATTCTCAAGTTAGAAAAACTTACTACTGTTTGATTACATTTATATATAATTAATATTCTTTTAAAAAACTTGATTAGATGATTACAAACAGTTAACTTCAGATGATAAAGCAGATCATGTCCCTCAAATATTTTACTGGTTAGATTTCTATTTTATTCAGTGTAAGTAGACTTGTAAAATAAATGCCATATTGATTAATTCGCATCCGTATTGTATGTGCATTGCTTTGCCTATTTTATATTTTACAACAATAAAAGTTCAATGAGAAAGGAGCTCCAGTGCTCTATCGCATGCATATTTAAAAGGTCCCGTTTTCAAGACACTCATGTGCAACTTGCATTCAAAAGAAAACAATGGGCTTTCCTAACCACAAAGTTCATTACTAGTTTTATATATATTACCATGAGTTTCCATGGAGCTTCAATTTGAGCCCATTTTCCTTTAAACATGACTAAACCACAAATTGGAGAAAAATATTTAATGACCTGTTCCTGTGGGGAGTTTCGAAAGAAAATGATCAACTGTTAACCATTTGGCATTACCTCAGGCCATAAACTAATAAGCCAGCTGCTGACCACTATTAATGAATGCTTCGGAGCAAAGGAGGTGGTTAGAATGTGCAAGCTTACCTTTGCAAACACGGTTTTAACGTAAATGGGTAAGTCTCCGTGAGGGCTGCTGTAGCCCCCTACTATACTGAAGCCTAGGCCATCTGGCCCTCGGTCCAAGGTAATAGATTTGCACTGGGGTGGTCTATAGTAAAGAGAAGGGAAAAAGAGGTGTGGGTTTTGTTTTCAAGTATAAACATATCTTTGAGATTCTGTAATTTCGTCTATGTGACATCTGCTGAGAGTTAGCATAATTCTCTGTTACTGATTACAAATATATTTCTGAGATGGTTCCACTGTCAGTGAATGCTGAGTTTTAAATTTTTATAAACTAATGAGGTCCCAATTAACACTCTATTTCTATTACCCATGGTTCCTATAAACTCACATATTCATGGCATGTTCTAACTGTGCGCAGAAGTGAGAGGGCCAAAGTTCACAAGACCCTGATATAAGAGTAAGTCTTGTATCAGAAAATTCCTGATCTCAAACAGAAAACAATATTTACAAGAAGCTACATCAAATTATTTAAAACTTATTTTGAACCCCCCACCCCCAGTACTATGAATTGTTTTATATTAAACAAGGAAGAAGTGATGAAATTTTTGAAAGAGTAGACTACCTGTCACAGAGAGACATGATGGTGAAACTAAAATATCTCTTCCAGGAATGAGAGCTGAAAACATGGGAAGCAAAGTGTCACGCATAAGCTGTTCCCCAACAACGCCATCGGCCCATCCATCTAGCTATCTTTCTTTGACTAAACTCATGCCACACTTATTGATAGTTGACAGCCCTTTTTTTCATAGTGAATACTTTCCCTGTTAGAGTTCGTGTCTCTGTGTTAGGAACATGGGGCAGAGAATAATTCTCTGATTCCTAAAGGACAAATGATCTACCAACCAAAATACATGCACTCACCCTAAATCATCCTGAAATATACTGCCAGATGTAAGCCCGTTGAAAGGAGGGCCAGAAGTGACAGGTTCCTGCTGATGCCCTGTGACCACGCTTACATCTCCTCCTGCAACCACCTGCACACACAAACGGAAAGAGAGAAAAAAAAATCAGTTCATGTGGCAACTTTGAGCATTTTGGATAAAAAATTACATTTTGCTTTCAATTAAATCATTTCTGTTTGATAAAATATAACCAAAGATAATGTAATTTTACAATGTTCAGAGGCCTCATAACTGTCCTCACAGTAAAAAATATTCTTGCAAACTGAATTATAGAAAGTTCCTTGATGCCACTAAAATATGGACTTACATACAATTATTTTTAAAGCTCTTGGAAATCATTCATTGTTGAGGCAGTTTATTATTTCTTACATAGATATTTGGAACAAAAAGTGATTCACAAAAAATGTTATGAAACGTTTCACTCCTATGTTTTAGAAGTTTTACTCTCCAAGTAACCATTCATATTCAAGGGGGGATATTAAGCAACAGCAGGGCGATTAATCATTGCTATAACTTCAACACCAACAGTCACGTGTTTTCAAGCTCTGTGATGAGACTTTTGGAGAAAATGTTTACCTGCATTTCAATGGAGCCCGAGGCATTTTTCAGTAAGGTGACTGCTTGGGTGTGAGTCATCCCTTCTGTAGATGTGCCACAGATAGACACAATCCTATCCCCCACCTGCAACAGACAGAGAGTGAGCCATCTGCTACATCAGCCACATAGAGTGGCACTCCTAAGACCTGAGCAGTCTTTTCCCACCTTCCACGTCAGAGACGCACCATCACCACCAGCCAGAGAAACACAATGAAGGAAACCACTTTGTTCAATAAGGGCAAGTACATGTAACTCCCCAGATAACTTGCCTACCATGACTGAGTTCCACGGCATCAAGGCCAGGAGAAGACAGAGCCAGAAAAGTACTCTCCCCTTTTTCTGAGTAGGAGATGACTTTCTAATAAAAGAATAAAATATTGATATCATTTGGAAATCTGAGTTTCCCTGGACACTATTATTATAATCATTGGCTACAACTCTGAGTCAGGGACTGGCAAACTAAAGCCCATGGGGCCAGATCTGGCCCATGGCCTGTTTTGGTTAATAAAGTCTGGCTGGAAGACAGCCACAGTGTTTTTGGCTGCTATCACGGGGCAGAGCTGGGAAATTGCAACAGAGACTTGTGCGTCCCACACAGCCTGAAATATTCACTATCTATCCTTAGAGGGATGTGTGCTGAGCTGACCTCTGTTCTTTGTGTAATCAGTTTTTAAGTGTCAGGCATAAATTCAGATATCAAAAGAGACAAACTCTTCCCAACATAGATGCGATTTAAAGATATGGTGCTGCTCGGAAACCGTATTGTCAGCATGAGGCCCCAGAGTTGTTACCATAGAGAGACTGAGTGGCTTTCATAGTATACGCCCATGATTTCAGAGCTGGTTCAATACCAAAGTTCTTTGAAGCAAGTTTGGTATGGTTTGACAACATGGTAAGTCATATTTACATTAAATTTCTGCAAAATCTATAGACAAATGCAAAAAAGGATACTTTTCAAAATAATAAAACCCATCATTTAAACTAATTAAACATATAAAGGAAAAGCTTCACTTCATTCTAAAGTTCTGAAATGCTTTGATGATGCACTTCCAACACTCGAGAGTCAACTGAAGATTTCCCTTGTTATTTACTTGCAAATCAGTGCTTAACAGCATCACTTTCTCCTCTCCTTTCACATTCTTTATCTTTTACTTAAAGGAAGCCTCTCTGTGGCTGAAGTAGCTGATTTAAAAGCAGATACAGACATTTAAAACTGCCTAGCAACAGGGCGGCCAGATTCACAGCGTTTATAAAAAACTTTGGCTAGATTTGCTAGAGCTAGTGCGGCTCTTGGTGAAACTTACTCTGAGTTTCTGAGTCTGAGCTGCCACTCCATTTGGATGCATCATGGCAATAAATATGGGAACATCACCCAGCGGGCTGCCCACTCCCCCAGCAATGCTGATTCCTAAAGAGTCAGTTGGCCCCTATCATGGAACAGAGAAAAAATGTTAATCGAAGTAATTTTTTTTGGTTGACCATCTATGTATTTCTTGGCACAATATTCTACATCAGTTCAGATACTCTGTGAGCGTGGAAAATGAAGCTTTAGAGAACGGCACTAACTTTTGATGCAGATCTTTAGAGTGGCTTAGGGGGACCAAAAAAACAAGCATTAATTCAGGAGGCAAAAGCAATCAAGACAGGTTAAATGAAAACCATACAGTGAAAGGATCACGATTTTCAGAATCACACAGGTTCCCACACTTAAAAAGTCCACCCTTCTCAATAAATCCCAAAGTCTTCATTTCCAAGATGGAGATAACAGTGCTTCTGACACAGTAGGTTGCAATGAATATTAAATGGCATGATGATATGATGTGTCTAAGGGTGTTGAGCACATGGCAAAGCACCAACAAACTGCCTCTGCTTTTATCTTCCCTCTTGGGCACAGATGTGTAGAAATGTTTAGAAGAACTAGGAAGTATCTAGTGAAAGGGTGGGCTCAATTCTCAGTAATAGAGTCAGGCAGGAGACAATTTTGTGTAGCCCATGTTGACGACAATTTTGGCAAGTCAGATGAATATACAATAATGCATTCAAACATAACATAGAATGTATAAAGAGATGTTTTTCAAATGAGGTACTATGACTAGGGAATTCAGCCAAGAACATTGTGTATAACTACAGTAAGCACTACATTTTTATTTTCAGATGGGTCCTATAATGTTGTAATACAATTAACAGGAAAAATGAAGATGCTCCGAAAAATCCAAAAGTTTATATTGTTTTTTTTTCCCCTAAGCTTACCTTTTTTATTTCAACTGTTCTTAATCCCTGTATTTCAGACGCTACTGTAAAGCAAAAATATTAATATATTATTAGTAGAGCAATTGGTATGTTTATTAAATTTTTAGCCAACAGATGGAAATGAATGGGATTAAATGAGTGCATTCTTTGTATGGTTTTTGAAATGAATAGCTCAAAGGTACCAGCAGTACCTATGATTAGATTTGAATCACACAGGCACTCTTCATTTCCTCAGTTGGAAAAACACACATACCATCCCACTTCTCCCTTCTCATTTTAAGCACTGATTATACAAACTGTATAATCCACTTTGAATGTGTCAAGGACAGAATGTGCTTTGGATAGAAAGACACATGTGCACAGCTGAGAGGAATAAAATCATGGATGCATTAAAAAAAATCCCTGGTCTTAAGTGCCTAAATTTCTAGAATATTAGTCACATTGCAAACAGAGACTGCCATATGGTTAGTTTCTTCATTTTGAATAACTCTCAACCAATGTACCAAGCCAAGAACCCCTCTGCATCATGATTTCATGTAATTAAAACACAGGAGGATCACATTCATTTTCTCATAATTTTTGCACTCTTCATGGAAAATGAAGGCTTCACTTAGTGACAACTTCTGATTTACTGGTGTTACATTAAACAGAAGAAAGTAAACTCAAATATACCAGCCTGCTAGGTAAGAAAGTAATCATAGAATCTTGAGTCTAATGTTTAGTGTAACTTGTAAATATCACAGGAGAAAAGCTACAGTAAGTGCAGTTTTATGCTGCACACAATTTTTGTCAGCACACATTTTATGTCCCGATTAGGATGTGGGCATGATGTGATGCGATCGGGGTAGTGACAAGAGCTCTCAAGATACAAACGAAGTCTATCAGCATCCAACGTCTAAACCAACAAATTGTATCTAAAACATTAAACCAGTCTTACATGCATTCTTCTTTGAGCTACTTTCCAGCGACTCGGTTGTACTTGTTCCAGAAAGTGGCAAAGTGAAAGATGACAAGCTGCCTTCACTCACCTACAAACACAGCAGTTATGTTAGGAAGTGTTCAAAGGATAATTTGTCCCCTAAGTATTACTTTTTTTTTGTTTCACAATTAAGTTCTTTCAGGGTGTCTAACCTGTTTAAGCAATTGTTGTGTTTGATAATCTGAATGGCAGTTTAACCACAATTTCTATTGATTTTTGTTTTGATTTTAAAGAAGGAAGTTGTGAAGCAATATAAATTAATGGAAGTTACAAAACCTAAAAGAAATGTATTGCAGTTAACTAATTTTAAAAGACTGCAGTGATACAGAGTTTTGACTTCAACAAAAACTGTAAAATTAGGGCCAGTCAGCAGGAAACAAATGTTAGCAATTAAGAAAGAAGGCGATCTTTAATCACAGACTGATGAAAATGGGCTCTGTCATCAGAAGGCAAGACTGAGGAGAGAGGCTTGCCAGGAGTCTTGGAATATTCTAACATCATGGATTTATCCATGGGAATGAGTAAATAACATTTTGTTTTAATTTCCATTTGAATACTGATGAATGTTTATTATAAAATACTAAAAATGTTACCTTGGTTTAACATATATTGGGTCATTCCCCTTTGAGATTGTGGACAAAGAATCACATCACCAAAAAAGAATGCTTGAAATCAAGTTCCTTGAAATGATTTACAAACTACCTCAGGTTATGCCTGGTTTGGTTGCCACTTGCATCCTCTCTTCTTCTCTACCTAAAATTCTGCATCCCAGTCACTCCAGCACAGGCCAGAAGGCTAGCCTTGTGTGCACGGTCCTGGGAAGAACAGCACCAACAGCCAGCCCTCAATTCCTTTCGCCATCACTCAGCTACCCACCTGGCTGCTTTGAGAAGGTCTCCGTTCTGAATGAAATGGGCCAGTTTTGATTCTTCCAACTTCCAAGGTTACTGTGCCTAGGGAACACTGGGGAATGATTGTTTCATGGAAATGTTAAAATAAAAAAGGTATAATCATCTGTAGAAATACATTCTGTGTTTCAAAAGCTAAGTCTGAAAAAAAATCGTTTTCATAAAATTTCCACAGTCATGGATACCTCCAATCCTTTGCAAAATGGCTTTTGAAAACATCTTGAAAAACATATAAAAAACAGCAGTAACAGCAACCTCAAGTTTCTGGCATATCATTTCATGATTTACGTGCAGACTATTACAACTAAGGCAAAATAAAGTTGAGAAGTGAGCACCTACTTCATGAAATATACTGACTTTGTAAAACTAAGTAAAACAAATAACTCAGGAATTAAAAAAAAAAAAAAAACTCAACAGAAACAATAAAACCACCTCTACCACAGCCAGCTCAAGGTATTTCATGGTAAGAAGTACTTAGATAATTGGCAAACTCTCAAGGCCATAGTGTATTCAAGTACACCAATCCCATAACACTCAAATAACATTGTTGATTAGGTGTTTTGATGAAATGGGTTAAGCCTCTGCATGGGGTGCTAATATCCCTTCCAGAGTGGCTGGTTTGCATCCAGGTGACTGCACTTCAGATCCGGTTTCCTGCTAATAAACCTGAAAGGCAGTAAGTGATGACTCAGGTTTTTGGGTTCCTGGTCATCCCTGTGAGAGACCCAGATGGAGCTCCTGGATCTGGGCATTGGCCTGGTCCTGTGCCAACTCTAGCAGGGAGTTGGAAGGTGAAGAGTACATGGGAATCATATGTGTCTCTGTCTCCCTCTCCCTCCTCTCTTATTTATCTCTCTGTCTTCCCTATCATTTCATTGTAGCCCTGTACAAGTACACCACAGACATGAAAGAAGTGCTCTATGGTGACATAAAGAAGCAGTGCAGGAAATGTTTGAGACCCGAGCTTTTGGCATTGGACACACTGGTTTACATTTAAATTCAGTCATTCATTAGCTGCTCATCAGAATCAAGGTCTAATTTCTGTCTTACTCTACTTTTGGATTGATACAGCATCACAGAGTGTTGTGATCATCTATGTGCAATGCTTAGGGCAGTGTTCATTGTAAAGTAGTATCAACATAAATATAGGGCATTGATATTATTACGCTGCTACTCATGGGTTTGTTACTCTTAAACATGTCAACAGTGAACCTAACAGTTAAAGGTTAAAAAACATTACCCATATATTGATATGTTTGGCTGACCTAGGATTTAGAAAGGCCAGGAACTTATCAGGCTCTTCAAGAACCTATTTTATATTTTGAGTTTTCATAATTATAGAGATTAATAAAGACACATGTTAATTAATGTATATTTTATAAATATAGCATTGTAACTTGTCTATCTATAACATATATCTTTTTTATTAAAGATTTATTTATGGGGTCCTTGCCGTGGCTCAGCAAATTAAGTCACAATCTGTGATGCTGGCATCCCATGTGAGTGTCATTTGAGTCTTAACTGCTCCATTCTTATCCAGCTCCCTGGTAATGAGCCTAGGAAAGCAGCAGAAAATGGCCCAAATGCACAGGCCCCTGCAACTCACACTGCAGACATCCAGGGTTCTGGCTTTGGCCTGGACCAGCCCTGGCTGTGGAGTCACTTTAATGAGTGCTCCAGCAGATGGAGAACTCTCTGCCTCTCTCTCTCTTTCCCTCTCCATCACTATGCCTTTGAAATAAATAAATAAAAGTTAAATAATTATTTAAATTTTAAAAATTAAAAAGGAAAAATATATCAATATTATAATAGTTACATTATTGTGGAAAAAAGTAAGATGTTACTTTACACAGCTAAATCTACATCATAAATATATTTCTTATTTTCTACTGGCTGCATTTTTTTCAAGTTAATGTAAGAGTCCTGTACATCATTTCAACTTACATCATGTTTACCATGTGTCTGTGTAAACCAAAGTTTACATAGCTCTTGTCAACATTGCTGCTTATCATTTTTCTATTATTAAAAATAAAACATGAATGAACTTTACATGAAATTTTTTGTACATTACATGTAACATTTTAAAATGAAAATTATTACATGGGTACAATGGCAACGAACAACATTAGCAGCAGGCATGTGTGCTATGCAGATGTGGAATGATATATGCTTGTTCTATCAAGGGGTTTTTCAATGGCTGGTCTAAATTGATTTAAAATTATTCCTATTAGTTTACAGATATTCTGTCCACAATTTACAGAACAAGCCATTGTCTTAAGTTAACTACCAAAAAATAATCCTTAAAGAATATATGTTTCTGACTGACAACTGCAATTAGAAATGATAGTGTTAATAACCAAATTTATACACAAGTTCACAGATAGGATCCCATTTAAACCACAGTGGCTAAGACAGCCTCATTTCAAATTCCCTTCCTAAAGCCCAGCCACTGAGCGGCTCCCAAGACTACCCTTGACCTCTGACAGTTCTGTGACTGGGTGCTGTCATGTAGGTTCGTGATAACACGTGCTCATGCCACGCCAGGTGATGACGATGATGACCTTCTAGTCAGTGCTGAATTATATCTTTTCAGGACACAAAATGCATGCAAAGTAAAAGAGAACAACTGAATAAATGCTGTCTTCTATTTACTTACAGCAATGCAAATTCCCTCTAGAAATCAGAAATACAGAAATAGAGAACATGCCTACATTTTTAAGAACTAGATTTTTTTAGTGATTGTTCTAGACTTTGAAACTCATTCTTTAAAATAAGACCAGTTCTGTCCTTCTAATCAGAGAAGGAGTCTTCATGCAGACTTTTCCTTGATGGAGCATGCTTTTAAAATCTAAAGTGTTCTTGGATATAGAATTAGGATGTGAGGTCTTATCTACATTTACAGCAGAGCAGTGAGCTAACTTACACGTTTTAAATGCCAACTTTAAGTAGCTGAACAGTCTTGGGGCTGGTGTCTTGAAGTAGCAAGTTAAGCCTCCGTCTGAGGAACTAGCATGCCATTCTGGCACCAGTTCAAGTCCCAGCTGCTCCACTTTGCTAATCCTGCTCCATGCTAATGGCCTGGGATGGCCTGAGTCCTTGGGACACTGCACTCATGTGGCAGACAGGAAGAAACTCGTGGTTCCCAGCTGCAGACCAGCTCGGATTGGGCCATTATGGCCATTTGGGAAAGAACCAGCAGATGGAAAATCTCTCACTCTGTCCCTCTTTCTCTATAACTATGCTGTTCAAACAACAATGCATTTTTAAAAAAAAAAAATAGCTAAATAATCTTAAGTCAGAATAGGTTCTGCCACATTCTTTCTCTTTGAGAAAATGTAAGGATGCCCAGTCTGGTGCACTAAGAAAGCAAGGGACTGGGACAGGAAAAGTCAAAAGGATTCAACTCCAGAGATGCCATGGGTACCGTTCCTGCCTCCTGGACAGTCCCTAATTTTCTGCCAAGTCACTTTTCACAGAGCACCCTTGGCAGTGATGGAGGTCTCCACATAAATAAAAGTTCATAGTAAATCCGCCTGGGATGTGTGGGAGGAGAGACCATGGAGGCAGAACACTGCAGGTGAGGAATGACTTCTATGAGACTTCCACTGACACAGCCACTGTACTTGCAGGTAAGCAGAAGGCGCTGACACTGAGCAGCTTCAAGGAGGGAAATTGGAGGACCTTTCTGGGTCAGACCAATGGACCCACCCATGTTGGAGACCCGACACGGGCTAGTTAGCATCACCCTAGCACCCACTGGTACACACAAAAGCTAGGGCTGGGGGCTTACCTGGCAAGGCTGGACCATAGTACCTGCTAGTGAGTGTCAGAGCAGGGGATAAGTCATGCTAGGCTGGGCCATGACAACAAGCAGCATACAACAGAACCAAGTCCAGGGGCAGATCCTGTCAGGGATATGTGGGCTCACCCCTGTGGGACAGCAATATCTGCTGGTTTTCTCAACAGCTAGGGGGGGGGGGTGCAGATTCACTGAGGTGTATAGGAGCCACATGCGATGTGGGACAGACCAGATAGTCTGCTGTACATATAGGCATGTGCAGGAACCGGGCTTGGGTGGGGTGGGGGACTAGTCAGGGTTACTGGGGACTGCTCCAATTGGGCTGCAATTCCCACTGGTATAAGTGATGCCAGGGTGTTTGGTAGGTAGTGTTGGGGTAGGCCACAGCATCCATTGGTTTGCATATGAGATGGGGCTGCAGACAGAACTCACTGAGTGATTGCAACTATTAGTGTTATGTGAAGGCTGATGTGGGTGACAGACTGAGCCAAATCTGCTCCCCTGCCACCCCCACCTCCACCACAACTGGCTGGCACACACAGGAGTCAGGTCTGAGGTCACCTCTGGTGAGGTTTCTCTGGGCAATCCCCATCCCAACTGGCATGCTGGACCCAGAACTTCAAGCATGGTGAAAATCACAGGATCTGTGGTCTGACTGTGGAGTGCATGTGTTTGGGCTTACTTGATTGGTGAAACCTGTGCAGTGAACGGCACACCCAGATGAACATGGTGGGCCACGACAACTCATTCACTGAGGCCTGACTAGTACCATAGCAAAGGAAGGAAGGCAGAACAAACTGGACAATTCACCCAGCCAAGTTTGATAGCAAGTATCTAGGCAAGTGGAGACTCTAAGGTGGACTGTCAGTCAATACACCGAGGAAGGATTTCCTCAACCCTGGAAGAATAAAACCAGCAGCATCTCAGAACTATCAAAACCGCTTAAGAAGTACCCTCGGAACAAGCTCCACATCAGAGACCCTGGGATGACATCGAGTGGCCATTCCACATTCTTGGGTGCTGATGCGGTTTGGATACTGGCCTTGGCCCTCTCCCCTTCTCTCCTCCTTTCCACCAGATGCAGGAAGAAAACAAAGAAAATTGGGAACCACTGTTTCATCCTCTTTCCCCTATTCTTTGACCCTGGTTACCCTAATCACTGGTTCACGTGGGTATGCATCTTTCTCAACTATGTAAACATCATTAAAAATAAAATTTTAAAAATAAATCAAGAAATTATAAAGAAATAAATAAACAAAAGAACAAATCCAGAAATAAGTCTGGGAAAACAGAAGATGAGATTTTTGCTTTTCTTTTGTTACCTGAATACTTTTCTTACAAGGAAAGATCCAAATAATATTTACTAAGATAAAAGACCAACTAATATTAAAAACGTTCAGTTCATAACTCTTACCACCACCACTAAGTGCACAGTTCTCACAAATTTATTGACGCAAATATTATAAATATATTTCTCTCGAGATGATTCTTTACATAACAGGAGTCAGTTGTAATTTAGATACCGCAGCTCAATGTGGTATCTAACACAGTCACACGATGTTCCCTTCGCACTGGGCTTTACCTTAAGCAAAGCAGCAACAGCTTCCTGGGTGGCGTTCCGTACGTCTTCTCCGTTTACCATTAATATCTGGTCTCCCTGCATCAGTCTTCCATCAACATCTGCAATTCCTCCTTTCACAATGTCCGACACAAACACTCCAGTATCATTCCTACGAACAGTTTGGAACTTCAGCTTGAGTTTTCCTCAAGTCTATTGCAGTGCTTTTGAGGACAAGCTAACTTTTTAACCAAAATTTTTATTTCTGTTTTTATGACTTGAAAAGCTTTCTGGTTTTGAAGAACACTAGGGCAACATTATTAGATTTATTATATTTTATGATAACCAACAGCCTATGCCATGTATTCCATAAGTATAAAATACCATTCGTGAGCATATGTATAGTTCATCAAGTATAGGCTCTGCATAGAAATGCACTCTATTATTGCAATTTTCTAGACTGTATGGGCAGAAAATGATTTCATTATTACTAATTTTTATTGTACTTACAAATATTTAAATGATATAGGTATTGACTTTTATGTACATGCAAGAACCCAGCACCATACTTCACGCTTTGGATTCCTCACTGATCCCTGCCCCTATTCATTCTCCCTTGCCCTCTACAACCCACAACATGTCATTTATCATCTTTGATATTAGCGCAAGCAGCTCTCTTCTTGGAAGTTTCTCTTATTCATTTCACTTAACTAGGGTCACTTTTCTCCTTCCTCCTCTGCTTCCATAATCTATCCAGGATGTGTTTCTGTTACTCAGCTACACATTCACTTATTGCCTGAGTGTATTTTATTCTAGTTCATCAGCCTGTGAATTTCTGAGGTCAGGAACTATGTCTCATTGGCCTTAGTTGCCCAGAACCAAATGTATTTCCTACCATACAACAGGTACACAAAAATATCAAATAGGTTTTGCTGAGTACCTTCAAAACCCTTAGCAAACTATCTTAAGAAGTTCAAACCCAGCGTCTTTGGATGTTCTTTTGTGAGCAGGCTACACAACATCCATCTGCAACACAGCAGACATGGACAAAAATTTTGCTATAAACCTATGACAAGGATATAATCCAGTTATTCCCAAAAGATCGCTGAGGTTTGACCTCCTCAGGCGCACCTTTTACCGACAATGCTCAGGCCCAGGCCTTTGCCTGGCTTTTTCTGCAGCTCCACAGTGACAGCATCGCACACGTCCTCCTCTCTGTAGGGGGCCTCGTCACGGTAGAGCGTCAGGCGCACTCTTTGTGGTGTCTGTCTCAGGACATTGATGGCTTCATCATGGGTGGCCTTTCTCAAGTCAATCCCATTCACCTGCACAGAAATGGGATCTTCATGGTGAGGAGCTAGGTAATTTACATCAAGTGAACAAAGGAAGGGAAAAGAAGAAAACCAAAGAGGGAACACCGCCCGGATTGCCTTTTTCCTGCTTATTCTGAAGGTCATGGGCAAGGACTTTGTACCTCTAATATCTGGTCTCCAGCCCAGAGTCTTCCATCTTTGCATGCTGCTCCTTCTTCATAAACTTCATGGATGATAATGGCACCCTAGGAGCCCAAACACAATGCACTCATGACTTGTCCCCTTCTCCCCAGCCATGGGGAGTGCAAATGCAATGCAAACGTCTGGGACAATCCTAGAGCGCAAGCACACATGATCCTTTCTGGACCCATGTGCCAGCCACCTCTTGTCAATCAAGAAAATGACAAACAACACAGTTTTTGCTGAATAGCTCAAAAAGGCTATAAATGAAGAGTTTAAAGAAACAAAACTGTACAAATTACCTATACCTACGTATAATAGACACATTATTCTTTCTATCTACAAATAAAATTGATTTTAATCTATTTTTTACGTTTAGAAAATTTTGTGTGCAAAACATCCAGTTGGGATTAGTTGATATGGATCAGCTAAGACAGACAACGGTGACAGGACCAACCATGAACTCTGCAAAGATGCTGGTTCAGGTGAGGCTCTTGGAAAGCTGAGGACCTCTGACCTGTTTGATGTTATGGTCTGTTTTAGGGCATGCTGACCTCGGTAACCTTCGCTTTGACTGCCAAGATGTTACTACTTTTTCAATAAGCAGATTGCTACCAGTGACCACCCTGCTCCTGTGCAGGAAGCATGACCTTCTTTGTATATTCATTTAAACTACAAAAACCTTGTTTTCCTTCCCCTCGGTGCACTATCCTGTCAGATGGTTGCCACCCTGCTTCAGGAAATTCATTTCCCTCGAAAGGTCTAGACTCTGCATTCTGATTTACATTCACGCAATATGTATGTCAATAAAAACAAAGCTGAAACCGAAAACACTGGAAAGCTGGTAGAAGCATTTTGAGATCTGAATGTCGCATTCACAGGAATAATGAAATTTTACTAAGTGAGTATTAGTTTAAATAAACTAAAAATCTCAGGACCCTTATCAAGGTTTTACTGTAAAAATTAGTAATAATAAAGAGCAATATATTTTTTTTGGCGTTTACATTTAATTAAACTGACAGACTTCTCCGCAGTCTAGTTCTTGCACGCCTGACTGAAGGGGTTGCCTGTGTGCCACCTCTGGGTGGGTACTCACCAGCAGTGTGTCTGACCCGCCCACGATGCTCAGGCCCAGTCCTGTTCGCCCCTTGCAAATCTCAATTGTTGTTTCGCAGCCAGGGATAATGGGGCAGGTTGCAGGATCAGAAGCAAAGACTGCGGGTGTTGATGATCTGCTTGTACCTAAAATAAGTTCAAAGTGAAATACAAGTAAACTCACTACACTGGTTGCCTGTGAGGGACAGAGTAGGATAAAGCATAAAGACCAGGAGAAAGGAGACAGGGAATTCACCAGAATGTTGTTGTTCTGTTACAATGGATCAGGGAAGGGTGTTTGAGGCAGTGTTTAAGATGCTGCCTGGTTGCCTGTGTCCTCCAGCGAAGCCTCTGGGTTGGCATCCCAGCTCTGTTATCCACTCTAGCTTCCTACTGATGTTCACCCTAGAAGGCAGTCGTGCTCTTCCAGGCACCTGGGACTTTGCCACTCACATAGGAGACAGATGATGCTGCTAGCTCCGGTCTTGGACCTGGCTCACTTCGGGCTGTTAACTAGCATTTGAGGAGAGAATCAGCAGATGCTAGCTCTCCAGTATTCTGTCTATGCCTATATTCTGTTCATGTCTGTTTCTGATGGTCACATATAATAAATATGTTTTTGAAAAAATTTTTAAAAATCACTAAATCAAGATTAAGGTTGGATGCATAAAATCACCTAATTATTTTCAACACTACTCTGTATTTTTAAATCGTTGTAAGGTATAGAATGTAAAGGGAGGAAAACAGAGTTGAACAGAACCCCTAGTTTCAGCGTGCCCTTCCACATTACACTGTAATAAAGCATGCTTCTTAGGAAATGGAGATTTGTCCAACTCAGAATGGAAACACGTGGCAGTGACTTGAAAGCAATTCAAGGGAGCATAAAACACATTTGTTTCTCTTATCCTAGAGTGTCTCATTTCACGTGACCAAATCTATGCATATAACACACATTTACTGGTTTCCCCCTTGGCTTTCTTTTGCTGTGTTATTAGCAAATCCTGGTGCATAAATGATCAGAAAAGAACAGATTATGAGGAAATAAGAATAATACAATTTCACATCTTCTTGTATTATAGTCTTCATATTATATCATATTTTGAGATACAACAAATAGTATGTGTGGGGTGAGTTAGGACGCATATGAGGCAGCATCACTTCTAACACTTCACTCAGTCCAGGTTCTTGTAAACAAAAGAGCTACTCTCCTCAGATATGTATAACCTTAAGACATTTTTGTCCAGTTACACTGTAAATGTTTCCAACTAATGTTTTCTTAAAACCCCAGCAAGATAAATAAATGTTCAGTTTGTTGACCCAATTTTTTCTATACTTACAGCAAAAGCCAACGTGTTTGAGCAATTTAAAGTTTTTATGGGACAGAGCGTGTAATGTATTGTTTTGTAACAAACCTGTGTAAGTTTTCTAAAAAAAAGTTTATGATAATAATTTACCTTCAAAGACGAGAAGAAGTTAAATTATACACTCAAGTATAATCTCACAGTGCATGGCATCCATGTCACCTATGTTCACATGATCCACTATTACACTCAATCAGAAAAGTCAGACCACTCTGTATCCCGTGTCCATAACTAGTACTGTAGGAATCTCATGGTGACATTGTTGACCTTATCTGTGCAAAAGCATCACAGAATACCCATCCTACACATAAGAAAACTGAAACTAAATTACCTTCTCTCCGCCCCCTGCTTCTCTCTCTCTCTCTCTGTGCATGTATGTATACATAAAGTATCTCCAGAATGGTATTTCTAAACCATTAGTTCAATACCTCAAATCACAGGTAGCCCTAGGCCAAAGATCACTGGAGAACAAGAGATGAAGAAGTTAAAGCTCAGGGTGAACGTGTGCATTTCCTGTGCAGCCATGGTAGGCTAATGTACCATGGCCAGACTGTCTGCTTCACAGTCCAGTATTCTTTCTTTAGCAGCCCCTGTCTTGCTACTAGTCCACCACCAAAGGGCTCCTTTATCGCACCTTTCAAAGAGCCACTAACAGGCAGCTGGCTCCCAAGTAGGGGTCCTCTGCTGAGTGCACTATGCACGTGGGCCTCTCATAAACCTAGTCCTTACTTCGGATGGACTCAGGTTCCGGGGAGCTTGACTGCAGGACCACAGGAGACTGGCAGCTGCTCATCTTTTCTCCACTGGCTGCTCCAGCTGCTGAAGGAACAGCCTGCAAATCTGGATTCTCGGCACAAATGGTAAGTTTGACCGTCGTCTTCGCTGTCTTCAAAAGGCTAATAAACTAGTAAGGTGTTGGGAGTAGGGGGGGAAATAAAATCAAATGCATATTAGTGGACTTACAAAAACTATTATTGCTGGATCCCCTTCTGTCTATGGTAGAAGCCAAAATAGAGGAAAAGTAATTTTCTTACTAAGACTTAAGAGGCCTAAAAAGAACATAATTCTAATTTCTCTCTAGTTTTTTTTTTGGATGCCTAATATATATTAAGCTGAAGTTAATTTCCACTCTTAAGTCTAGTTCTGAACAGTGTTTTCCAACACAAGCATAGAAATTCCATGTTTTTGCATTTCTCGTAAATCTTTCTGACAGACTGGATTCTTACTACATTAGAATATATACTGGAGTATCTTACTCACTTCCCCATGCTACAGAGAATCTGTTGTAACCTATTTAAACACTTTTAATGAAATAGAAACATTTATTAACTCAGGATAGGAAAATTATATCATAGAAAAATCAAGGCCAATATGCAAAACCAACTGATGGATTAGCTGAAACCTATTCTATGATCAATAATGAATTTATTTAAAATGATGCTAAGCTTCTTGCTGGTTAATGCAGACATTGAAACATGGTCTATTACATGATTTTCACACACTGTAATGGAAAACAAATCTTTGATTGTTGTTATACATGCAAGGCATCAAATAAAACTCCAAGTAAGCATTATGATCACTTTTGAGAACAACAAAATTCAGGAACAAAAACAATTTACTTTTAGTAAGAATTAAACAAAAATTATAAACATACTGGCAGAGTCTTAAGATATATATATGTATACATGTATGATACTGATGGAAGTCAGTACTAATAAGCAAATACTCCTCTGGACCAATTGCTGATTTAGCCAATGCGTATGAGTTTTAGGTTTTCCTAAAGAAAATGGAAATGAAATTTACTGAAAATTCCTGGTCAATATTTACAAATTTACTAGCAGACAGAAAATCATCTAGATAAGATAACCTGAAAAAGAACGTAATGACTGCTTCTCTTCCTTAAATGTGTTTAACAAGAGACAGCCACTCAGTCCTAATTCACTATGATCCCCAGCAGCCAGCACATAAACACACAAACCAGCCACAAGCTTGAGTTGCCAGTACCATTTACTCCAGTTTGGAAAAATACCTTCTCAACTGGATAGCCAACAACAACTTCATCATCTACGGCCAAGATTTGATCTCCCACTTTGAGTCGTCCATCCTAAATGGAAATGTGAATGAGTTGGGTGATTTTTCACAAGTCATTTTCTCTCTACCACTTCCTAACAGTAAGATAAAGCCTCACCTTTGCTGCTATTCCATGCTCTGTCAGACTCTTTATGATGACTCCATTGAGAGTGTCATCTTCACTGATAGCAATACCCAAACCTCCTTGATCCTTGAGAAGCAAAAACAAAAACACAAGGCATGAAACATCAGTCATGTCTAAATGGAATGCTATACAACCACTTCCTTGGACAACTGCATAGCATATGGGTGCACTGGTGCAAGCTCTGACTGCTCTGCCTGCTACACAGCTTTCTGCTCAGGTGCCTGGGAAGCAGCTGATGATGGCTCAAGTACCTGCATCCTTGCTACACCTCTCTGTCCCACCAACACCTTTCCAGGAAATCAGCCACAAACAATGCAGAGAAAACTCACTTTTAGGATTGCAAAATTTACCTATGACCTAGCCACAGAAATTCGGTTATGCTATTTCTCACCTCTAAACCTATTTTTTTTTAAAGATTGATTTATTTATTGGAAAGTCAGATATACAGAGAGGAGGAGAGACAGAGAGGAAGATCTTCCGTCCGATGATTCACTCCCCAAGTGAGCACAACGGCCAATGCTACGCCGATCCGAAGACAGGATCCAGGAACTTCTTCTGGGTATCCCACACGGGTGCAGGGTCCCAAAGCTTTGGGCCATCCTTGACTGCTTTCCCAGGCGACAAGCGGGGAGCTGCATGGGAAGTGGAGCTACCAGGACTAGAACTGGCGCCCATATGGGATCCTGGTACGTTCAAGGCGAGGACTTTAGCTGCCGGGCCCAAACCTATTTTCTTCTCTAAAAAAAATCTAAATAGTTTTTAAACAACAGAAAAGTGCTACATAACAGGGAAATATTTATTGGCCCAAGCAGCATTAACCAATGCTTTCCTCTAACACACATTCTCAACCTCAACTCTTTGCCAAAACTGGAAAGTTTCATTAGAATATCCAGGCAGCTCTCCTGTTCTACCCTATCAGCCTTCTCCCATCTTGCTTCTTCTCTCCTTTCACATCCACCCCCTTTTTCCTTCTCTGTTTCTTGTGGTATTTTTCAAAATATGAGGCAAAATCTTTTGATACCTCTCTCTCCAAGATGGGGAGATGAGATGTATGGGCTGGGCCTAATGAGTGGATTTTAACAACTAGTATAAAGCAGAGTGGTGGTGTTTAGAATGCTAACCGGGCAAAACAAAACAAAAATAGGACAACAAGGCTTTCTCCTTCCTGTTGCTCTTGTGTCACTTGGTTTGTGAAAAGTCAGCTGCCATGCCATGAGGATACATACACACCATCAGCCCTTCAGGAGAAAACAAAGACTCTGGACAAGAGCAATTTGAGTAAGTCACTTTGTAACTGATGCTCAGCCCCAGGCTAACCATCGGGGGTGTGTGCATTTTAAACACATAGAAAACATAACCATACAGATTTAATCCACAAGGTGACTCTTGCCCTATATATACTTGACAGCTTGTTTGGAGGTTCTAGCAGGGGAGTGCAGTTACTCGTATACCCTTGACCAAAGACCAGACCTCCTCTAGTGGGGATGGTCATCCTTGGGAGGGACGCACATGGAGCGGTGAGGGAGGAAGAGGACACCTGCCTAGCCAACCAGATCAGCCGAATCAACCCTTGCAATCAATGGGGTGACAGATGTCGCAGCCAGATCACCCTCACATCCAACTCTTGCCCTATATATATATTTAAGTGACAAGATAATACAATAATGGTAAGCATTATATAAATCAGTATATCAAACAAGTGCTTGAAAATAAACAGATGTGAGATATTTAGCTGGGTATGGAGTACATGTAAGGTTTTACACTGGCTAATAGAAAGCAGAGGGATAATTCAAGAAATACAAACAAGGCAATGAAAGATAAATTCTCCATGGGTTCTTAGTAACTTCAGAAAAGTGTCTAGAGTTTAAAGGCAGAGATAGCCAGCAGAAAAGGAGACTTGGAGGTGTAACACCAGCTTGCAAGTTCCAGCTCTACTACTTAGAATTCTGAGAACAGTTGAAACTTGGGGCAAATTAGTGGACACTGTCTCAATAATAAAGATGCTGTATGGGATGCCTGCAAGGCACATTATGTCCAAGACTTGGTTTCAGTTCCAGTGTCCTACTAGTGAATGTTCCTAGAAGAGCATTTATTGACCCAAGTACCAGAATCCCTCCCACTGACCTAGATGGATTGACTTTCTGGCTATTACAGGCCTTTGTGGAGTGATATCAGTAGATTTAAGAGTCTGCTTCTCTCTTTCTCGATTGGCACCTCTTTTGAGTAAAATTAAAATAAATAAATACACATTTAAAAAACAGTGGTGGGCCTGGCATGGTAGCCTAATGGCTAAAGTCCTTGCCTTGAACATGCTGGGATCCCATATTTGGCGCTGGTTCATGTCAGAGCAGCCCAGTTTCCATCCAGCTCCCTGCTCATGGCCTGAAAAAAACAGTTGAGGATGGCCCAAAAGCCTTGGGATCCTGCTCCTGTGCAGGAGACCCAGAAAAAGCTCCTGACACTTGGTTTTGGATTGGCTCAGCTCTGGCCAATGTGGACACTTGGGGAGTAAATCAGCAGATGGAAGATCTTCCTCTCTGTATATCTGCCTTTCCAATAAAAAGAAATAATCTTAAAAAAACAGTAGTGGAACTAGGAATCTCATAGGTAAACAACATAATGGGAAAATGTGACATTACCATTAAATCATTTTTCAAAGAGTTCTCATTTATAAAAACACTGTGTGGCATAAATGACAAAGGATTTCAGATGAGGCTCAGAGTCCAAGGCTGGTTAATTCCAGCTTCAGTAAGGGAGTCTTCCTCCCAGAGCCAACTACTATGGAGGCTAGTACATGAGCTGAGTGTCGTGTGTCCCTAACCTTTATAATAACAGCACTTTCACAGCATACCGTCAGGGACGCATTATAAGGGGCACTCAGAACCTCACTGATAAACATGAAAATAATGATAATAACTTGCACTGCATATGTGGCTTATCTAAATGCTTTCCTTGAATCCCTATGGAGGTATCTCCACTTAGAAGGTGTTATTTTCATCTCAGAGAGGGAAAACTAAAGCCCAGAGAATGGCTTACCTAAAGCCCAGAGTGGCTGACGGACTCCAAAATCTACACTTAAAAATCTGTTAAACTGATTTAAGCTTGGCCTAAAGCTGCCTGCATATGTATGTTTAATTTGGGCTAAAGTTTCTCCATTACATAGTGAACTGTTAGCAAACTTGCTGTATAAACCAACTGTAACCTACTCTTAGAACAAGCAGCAGAGTCTCAAGCCGACAACAGCTGTCAAGGCTCCGTCAACCACGGGCAGGATCTGTTCAGACTAGGTTCAAATAAGGCAAACACCAAGTTTTAACTAATTAAGCTCTCTCTGTAGCTCACTTCCGTTGTCTGTATGTCACTTCCTTTCCGCTGCCTATAAATACAGCACGCACATGTGGTGCGGTGGAGCATTCTGAACCATTTTTGGTCCGGACTGCTGCCAGAATCTAGATTAACAAGTAAAAGCCAATTAAGATCTCCAAAATTAGATTTGTTGTACTTTTCTCTTTTAACACATCATTAAAATCACGGCTAATTGCTTCTTCTGTCTAGCTGATTTTAGAAGATTCTCTGTAGTTCCCTCACTCACTTGGAATTTCATCAATAAATACATCCCAGGTACCTGAGCTTTACATTAACTTGACACCTAGAGAAAGGGAAGCTTCATGTGTGCAATTCACTGATTCCTCATCACAAGTAATTCCGAAAGGGAAGCGCACACAGCGACCAGCTTTTATACTGTAGGACAAAGGAACTGTTTATTAACTATGAACCTTAGCAGGAACCTTCTGACCTAGCCAGCCCCAGAACAGAAGAAGAAAACAAGGACCAATGGGATTAAGCAGGCTAATTGGGATCACCCAGGCCTTGACAAGAGCTTTTGAGACAAAGAACAGGTTTCTGTCCTTCAACACTGCTAAATACCAGACTGAGGAACTTGAATGTATCTGTTTGAAAGTGAAAGTCCTTTAAAAAGGACAAAGAAGAGAACTGCCAATATTTCAATATATCTAGGATTTTTATCAGGTAGTCAAAAGGTAGAAGAGAGAAATCAGAGAAAACCAGTGGCAAGAAACAGAGATCTCTCTGTCAACTTATTCTTTCCCAATAACCATAGTAACCAATACAGTAGCCAATATTTACAGCACGTATGTATAGACAGTGGACATTATACAAACACATATTTCATTCTCACAATATATATTCAAGTCTCACCGCAATGCTACAGGTCAAGTGCTATTACTACCCCCATTTGCAGCAGGGGAAGCTATGTACAAATTAAAAACTGTGCCCAAGGTCACATTCTCACACCTGTAAACAGCAGATCTAGGCCTTGCCTCAAGTGGTCTGCCTTTCGGTCTGTCCTCAGCCACCACAGCAGTGTGCTCTGTGTTTAACAATCTCATTTCATATTAGGAGGTACCAAAGCTTGGGTGAGTACTTCAGATTCATTGCCACGAAATGGTATGTGCAAAAAAATCATGCTTTACCTTTCTGAAGATCAGGATAAACATTGAAAAAAATTGTTCATCACAAGGAATTCAACATGTTTCCTCATCAGCAAATTATAATAAGTCATTAAATAAACTATGACTTAAGGACATTAGAGGAAAGTAAGATAAACCCTGAGACAGCGAAGGGAGAGAGGAAGGCATTCTTTCTTAAATGGCCACAGATTGAGACTCAAGTTGGGCTGAATGGCAGAGACCAAAGGCTCTAGTGATGTCTCCTTTCTACTGATGGCCATAACAATTAGTAGGAAAAAGGTCTCTTATGCACATCACACAAGACTGAAGCAGTAAGTTTTGGTGTAAGTTTGTTTATTATTAAAATAGTCATTCCTGAATAAGAGCACAATTCTCAGAATGAAACATTTAAATATGCCTTTATGGTGTGATACTAGATTTTCTACCTTTGCCTATACCTGCAGGCCATGAGACATTTAAACAGCAGAAAAATAATTTTAAAAATTTAAAAAGAGACAAAGGAGAAAACTTCAATATTGTTAACACAGTTCCAGTGGTTTTCCTTCCTGCACACTCAAGTGTTATCATGTTTTGGATTTATGCTGACCACTGTATGAGTAACCCATTATTATCATCATTTTATGATGTTTGAAGACACACATACTGGTATCATCTTCAATTTACAGAAGAGGAAACTGAGGCACAGAAGGATCAATGAGCATGTCAAGTATGGATTTCCAGTTCAACCCCGGTAAGATGACTCAGCAGGCCTGGCCTCGCAGCTCTAAGCTGCATAGGGTGCAGAATCCAGTCCGCTTGTTTCTGTCTGCAATATGTCCTGCCCACCAGTTCCCACTCCCCGGCTCGTCCTCCTCTTCTCTTCACCTTTGCAAGCGTGTCTCTCCCTCTGTACTGACTCATTTACCTTTTACCTGCTGAAAGCACTGAAAACAGTGGTAGGTTTGTGCTCGGCAATCTACCTCTTTACAATCGTCATTGGAACTTAAAAAGTTCAGGTGGTTTGAAGCGTCAGGAGAATGTTCAGCTTCAGGAAGGACAAAGAACATGTAACTTTAATTTCTTTATTCTTATTTCCTCTTCTTGGGGAATACAAAAAAAGATGGCTGAATATCATACTTTGGAACAATCTGTAAGGCAGGGAAGGCTGTTCTCTGTTAACTTATCCATCAGCACCATGGGACCCAAACTTCAGTGTGCATTAAACTCCACAGGACAGTCATTAATACATTAACTCCTGCGTCACCTCTAGAGCTTCTCATTCAGCAGGTAGTTCTGGGTGGGCTCAGCGTCTGCATCTCTAACAAGCTGCCAGGTGATGCTGGGGCTCCCATGGAGGCCACTTGTGAGAAGCAGGGAACTGGCAGCCTGCTGAGCAGCAACTCACACCACATCGTTTTCCAAATCAAAGCAGACTTACCTTGGGAAGCTCCAGCTGCTGCACATTTTTAAATGAACTGAGGTCCACAGCTGCCTCAGACACAGTAACACTGGGCTCCGCCTGGCAGAGGAAAATAATCAGCAAACAAGAAATGCATATTAGGTATTTTGCTTTGTTTAAATGTAACAATAACTTAACCAAACTGTTTGACATATTTTGTTATCGCTATCTTAGCACCTTATTGCCATTTCTGATCACAACATATTTCTCAAATTGGGCATACATATTGAAATTTATATGAAAATAGAATTTTCTCTTATACTTTAGCCATTGTTGAATAAGCAGATGACTCAGTTCATTTGAATGAGATGATAGTTTGCACACCTGTCTTACAGACACACATGCCAGGTCCATACTCATTTATGAGAGACTGTCTGCATCCCTATATCTTCCCCATGGATGATCACCCAGTTGGCTGCTCTAATTTTTAACTGTTCATTCGGTATCATCACTTTTTATCTATGCTAGATGTATTCAAAGCTTTCCCAGTTTAGAAAAATGTTAAGATGAAAAAGAACACTCAATTCCTTATGTCCTCATAGTCACTGAAGTCTCTTTCCTTAATTTATCTATCACTTGCAATCTCAAAATCACTAATAATTACTAACTGCCAAATACACATGTTTAAAAACCTCTAGAACCATCTTCTTATTAGACTCTTTGAAGCATGTGGGTTTGTGGACTCCAGCCTTCCTGAAACATGCTTGGCTCTTACAGTACAACACTCTGTCTTGTGTTTACTTTTCCCTGGCCTCTGTCGGCCTTCAGCCTTGGAGTTGCTATTACAGGTTTGCATCCTTGCTCCTGTTGTTTAAGCAATCTCCAATGCTTTGGCTCTCTTGGTTAGAAAATGTGAGTGTGCCTCTATGGGGTAAGATCAAATGTTCTAATATATACCTCTATAAATTGTCCCAATAGGCACCTCATTCTTAAGCAGGTTCAAATGACTACAAATTTCTATTCTCTTTTCTGTATTTTTTATTTTGATGAAAGACAACCATCTATTTTGTCACCAATTCAGATATCTGCAAACAATGCACATCTTGTCTTTTTTATCCCTGTCATCTCCAGACCCCAAAATAGTGTCTGGCACAAGGTTGATCATTCAAGAAATACACATCACATGTATAAGTTCTGAATCACACCTTTGCCTTCAATGAGTACATTTAGCTTGGAATATAGTACTACCAAATCAGATCTTCAACATCTGCCACAATCATTCCCACTTTTCTTGGCTTAGTTCAGGCCTTTGCTTTTTTCCCCTAGTTTAACTGAAGATCTATGTAACTACGTGACAATTATTAAAAGTACATTTCTCACTTTCTGGGAGCCATGCTACCCCAGGCAAAGTCAGTACGTGTTAGCTTTTAGCAGGTTTCTCATCATCTGGCTTTGTTTCCTTCCTCTGAGCACCTTCCCTCTCCAGCTTCCGTTCCTTGCTTTCCACGGGTAGGAAATCTCTTGTCTTGGTCAGAACTTACACACCATTTTTCATCACTGTCTCAGTGAGGTTTCTTTCCTCCAATTCTTCCACTATCCACGCATTTGGTATGCAATCTCCTTTACATCTTATTCTCACTCTCTCCAGACACAAGGGCGAGCAATGCCTTTCCTGCGCCCACTGTTCTGTATGAAGACTCTAATGATAGCCTTCATGGAAGCAGTCTGCTGATTCATCTGAATGTCTTTTAAATGAAATGTCTATTTTATGTATTTGAAAGGTAGAGTTCTAGAATGAGAGAGGAGGAGATGGAAAGAAACAGGTCTTCCATTCTAGTGTATCCCCCCAGTGGTTATAATGAATGCTGGGACTGAACCTGCTGAAACCAAGAGCTTCTTCCAGCTCTGGGGGAATAGGCTGAAGCTCTTGGGTTTCCCTTGGCTTCTTTCCCAGGCACATTAATAAGGAGCTTGATTGAAAGTAGATCAACCAAAACTCTAATCGGTACCCATATGGAATGTTGGCATTGCAGGCAGTTGCTTAACTTACTATGCCACAATACTGGTCCCTCTGAATATTCTCTTATCCTGGGCTACACATCCTTTAGGGATATCTGTGATATCCCTGTAAGTATGTTACTGTGAGCCAACTGCACAGTGAGTATATGGTTACGCCTTCCTAGAGACACAAACACACGTTACCTCCTTATTTTGAAGGTTCTCTGAGGTAGAAGCTAATGGTTCTCCTGCATTTCCAGGACATACAGCCATCTGACTCACTGCATCTTTATTTCTAAAAGAAAAATTGATCACATAATTATGATATTTTTCCATTCTTTTGTTTAAAAAGTCAGAAAGAGTATCAGATAAAATAGTCTGCAAAGATCATAAATTAAAACACGTATTTACAAATGCTCACTTATTTGAAATAGCTTAGAGCCGCTTAGAACCTGAAGTGCTAATGAATGAATTTGGTAAATCAGCCAAAGAAAATGTTTACCTGATGAAAATTATTTTTACTTTAGAAGGGGCACATTTAATGATTGATGAGGCATTCTGATGACTTCTCCCATATAAAACTTGACCATTGATCTGTGAGAAATAAACATCACTAATTAATACTTAAAAATCATCATTTTGCAAATATGCAGCATTTTACCCAAGTTGTGACAGCATCCCTTATCCTCCTTTAAAATAGAAACATCTTCCACCCTGGCATATGAACTTGACCTCTGATGATAAAGAAAGCAAAGCTATTTAAAGCCAAGATCAAAAAGGTGCTCCTTAAGTTTGATGCCCGCAGACTCTGGGTACTTGGATTGACTGTAGGAAAAGACTTCCTAGCCAACATACTTGGGGTCCCAGCATACTTGGGGTCCCAGTATACTTGGCATAACCAAGGGCTAGAACCTGAAAAGGCTATACCCAAAAGCCTCCACTGTCACAGCCATATCCCCAAATCAGTCTCAAAACTCAAGCCTTAGGAACAGACTGTTGGGAGAAGCACTGTTGGGTAAGATTTGAGTTGAAATCAGCAAAGAGCTGAATGGTAGCAGACAACAGACTATAAGCTCGATCATTTGATCTTTCAGTCACTACTGCCTGAAGCTCCCCAACAAGAGCATAAAGACACCGGGATCCTATCCCATTAGAGGCAAGCATAAACAATTCAAACCAAAATACATTCTAAACATTCTAAACATTTCAGTGTATGGTTCACAAATTTCTTTTCTTGACATGATGAGTTCCTGCTTTTCTTATTTAGCCTTAACCTTGACCTGAAGCCACCTCATTTTCATCACTTCTAAATGGCTAGTGGGTCAGCCTCATTACAAGGGAATGATTGGACATTTGCCTGCTCAAAAATTTCTTCTAATAAAAATGCAGCACACACAGCAAATGTTTTTGAAGTCTGATCTTTATTATTCTCTTGGGGCAAACATTATTTCTGGTGTTACATAGTCCTGACCTTTTAATGAAAGTTAATGGGAACGTAGAGTACTTAGCAGAGATTTGGTTTAGGGCCAAACTTCCTGCAATACATTTATTTTTGTTAGGCAAGTAACTGTTTTCTGAATCACAACATTCAAAATTACATAGAAAAGGGAATTACAAAATGCTGTTTTGACACGAAAAACTGAAATTTATGTATAGTTTTTATTCTGACATACATTCTCTAATAATATTTTTGAAGACTTCTCCTAGGAAGCTCATTGCAACTAACATAGTACATTCCAAAGTTCCTTAAGAACACACCTCCAGAAGCTCATCCGCAATCTGCAAACGACCATCCTTCCCCGCTGCTCCATTCGGGTCAATCCCCACGACAAACACACTCATTCTCGACCGGTCTTTGTTTCCAGCAAGACTGAGACCCAAACCACTACGACCTTTCTCCAGTTCAATCACATGGAGTTCTCCTGGCAGGGTTCCATAACGCTCTCTGATATTTTCTACACACAACAACAAAGATAAATCATTAATATTTTACAATAGAAGGCTTCTGTGTTATGTGCCAAAAGGGTATTATTTCTATCAAAACTTATTCTGGCAGTTAAAAGCAAAGAGGAGATGAGGAATAACTCCCTAAAGAGTCAAGCATTGGGGAATTTCTTTGTCTGCAGGGTACAGAGAACATGGAATCTGATTAATTTGTTCATATTGAGGTAGTCAGGCCCAGGAAAAGTGATTCACAAATATAAGTTCTCAAAAGCAAATGGATAAAACAGGCATTTAAGTAGGATAGAATTAAAGCAGTAACAATCCTTCTGTCCATAGGTCAGTGGGAGACTTTTTGTCATGAAAATCTGCATTGCATAACATCATCACATTAGACAGCTGCTGGGCCCATATTTCCAGAATGAAGGGAATGGTCTTTCTTATTGCACAAAGCAGCAGGCCAGGACGAACTGAGGGACAATCCCTGTTCTGAAACATTCCCTAGGAACATGAGAACATTTCTCCTATGCCACATCTTCACGAAACAGAGTTTACTGTTTACATGCTTCTGAAGGCTGAGACCACTTGCAGGTGCTCTGGCATACAGCTCCCGATGAATGAGTAACCAGTTAGCAGGCAGCACTAATAGCCATCCATGTGCAGGAGCCATTAGACACAGAGCCAAGCTGAGCCACATCAGCCACCCTCGACAGGTCAATAGTAAATTGCTGGTAAAAGCCAGGAAGCTCTGGAGTGGCCTGATGAGCAACCGAACTAATCCAATTCATACTTTCCAGCATATGTCTAGTCACCTTCATTGGATTAACAGTACTCTCTAATATCCTTGATCATAGAGAAAAAACTGTAAACTTTACAATTTTCATTGCTCAGAAAATGTCAACTGCACAGTCATCGTGCAGTCCATCTAGATGCTTAACAGCTTCGTTTCATAGACCGCCCTGGTTCCACAGAGAATTTGGCAGCACCATTTTATACGTTAAACATACAAAGTAGGTTTTATAAAGGAAATACTTAGATTTTCAGTGAGACATCTTAAAAACAAAAACAAATTTTCGCGAAGTTTCTTTAATGTTTTACTCTGAAGTGGCAGATTCATTTGGGAAAGAGAGACGTCTCATTGATTTAACACCTGTGTACTCGCCTTTAGCGTGAGTGGTAAATTTCATGTTGGCAACCTTGGGGGGGGGGAAGCACCAAGTACCAAGCTTAGGGGTAGTTACGACGATACCAACTGCCCCATATTTTGACCTCAATGATTATACTGTGTATACCCTAATAACATCAAGAACTCATCAAATTTTACACCAGGCCCTAGGAGGCCTAGAAAAGGGTGGTAACTTGTTCAGCACTACAGAGTGGCTAATCCAGCATTAGCCTGAAGAGTATGCCCTGTCCTTAATTCTCACACAAAAGGCAAAGCAGCTTTAACAAGAATGCATAGTCAAAGGAAAAGAGGGGCATGATTTCATGCCTCGGGAATCCATGTTGCATTCAGGCAAAACAAAAACATTTTTTCACCATGCAGGATCAGTTTTTATATTTCAATGATGTTGAATATATTTAATCACCCCAGGACATAAGCCTGGAGAAACCTAAAGCTATACTAATATCTCTTCTAATTAAGCTGATCACAAAAAGACAAAACTTACTCCAGCTGTACCCAAACTCATCCTCCTTGTCTGCATCTTCTGAGGTTTTACTTTCAGGCTGTATAAGATCACCGCCTCTTTTTGCTATCGGAGGAGTGGGTGGAGGCACATGGCACAATGGAGCCTTGTCTGGCCCTGCTTCTGACTGACTGGGTGCCTGTGGAAACAAGAAGAATGCAGTGAGTTTGTCCAAATCAGGCAAGCAATTTCAAGAAAGAGAAATGAAACTACAATGTCCAACACAAAAGCTGGCTTAAAAACTTTTCCAAAGAATGGACAGCTGATTTATGGGAGTGTGTAAAATGTTGGAAACCAGGGTAAACAGCATAACATCAGAACACAATCCACTTAATTGCTGTTTGCTTCTTTTGATCAATGAGTAATTTGAAAGATGAAGATAGAAATTTTATAACTTGATTGATTAGAAAAAAATCTATCTAAACATATTAATATGCAAAGGTTTGAGCATGATTTTGGAGTTCTAGAATGGTCTGTCAAAAAACAAAAATTGAAAATGAACAAAGAAGTTCCTCTTCAAAGCTTGTTGATGAAACATGTGAAGAATTTTCTATTGCTACCTGAATGCTCTGTCCAAATGACTATCAACCAATTCATTTAACACCAGACCCCATTTGTTAGCACAAAGCACACACACTCAGATTCAAGGGGTGTGGTTTCACAGGACAAAATAGCTTGTCACTTGTCAAGATAGCTTGACCACCAGAAAAATACAACACCTCACACAAAGCCAACATGTAAGCCACTTGTTATCACTTAGTACTCCATGTTCCATGAAAAAAACAAGGATCATGAAATTGCTATATTTTATAATCATCATCAAACAGAATGGCAAGAAATTGAAACAAACTAAAGTCACTGAGAACATTTTATTGATTTGGATGATGAATCAATCTTTTCAACTTGAGGCCATGAGAGGTCAAATATTTTGTTCAAAGTTACTGGTACTAGACATCTTTCTCTTTACTTATTAATTCCATTTGCTTTCCTTTATATCTCCTAGCATCTCCCAATTTCCACTCTAAGTCCCTACATTTGGTAAGGATACCCAGTTAAAGTCCCAAGCCTGGGACAAGGCAGCTCCTGATGCCATGAACCCATATTTTTTCCTAACTTTCATTTATTTTATTTGCCAAATACTTCTCTAACTATTGTTTTGTAAATCTTTTAAAAGATGACTTCTAAAAAACCTATTTATAAGATCCTCAGTAAATGATTGGCATGCAAATATTAAAAATTATGCAAATATTTAAAAATGCCAAAAATGAGAATACCCCAAATATGACTAACATTTAAACCTGCTTGGACACTAAATGTGAGCTTCCTTTGAATGATTCAGAAAGCATTCAATTTTATAGCAACTCAGAAGGCTGGAAACCAGGCATTTAAGGGCAATATATACAAACTAATACAGTATACTCTATTAAAGCAGTTGATATATCATTGTCCCAATTATATAAAATTTAGATTGCAAATCAAACTTCTGCTACCTTCCAAAATATCATGTCATATAACTTTCAATTAATAATGTACAAATAAAACAAAAACATACAAAACTTGTTTGACCAAATCAAATTTCATTAATTGTGTTAGAGGGAGAGAAGATATATATACTTCAAAAATTTTCAGGCTAAAATCCTACATAAACCTCAAAATTTTCAGGTTAAAATTTATGTCTCTATAACAATAGAAACTGACATTAACAAGTAGCATTTACGCTCATCTCATCTATTAAAAAAATAGAACAAAATCCAATTTAAGCTTTCTCAAATTTTAACAAATGTACAGGTTCCTATTCTATAGGTGTTACTGTGTAATTTTTCTGCTTTTTTTTTTTAATAAACAAAATGTATGGATCAGAAGAGCTACTCAGGATCTTAGACACAATATCTTATAGTGTGAATAAAATTTAGTGGTGCCCAAACCAGAGCAATTAGGACTTTCATTTCAATAACCACTGCTCATTCTCACCAAGATCATGTAACTGGCTTACTATTGGCACTGCCAAACCTGCATTAAGCCTAACAAACATGGTGTAGCTTTCGCTGATGAAAATGCAAAATGAATTTGAAGTCACTCCATGCCAATCATGTACTTAACAAGTACAACATATGCATACAGCACTCTATAACACACTCACTTATGGAAATTTCACACTAAGACAAACCTTAAATGGAGTGGGAGCAAAAGGGTTAGTTGGGGAACAACGGAAGAAAACTCTACTGGAATTCTGTAATTCCTACAGTAACAGAAAATACATTTTTCAGACACAGTACCATTGATTATCCTTATCACAACACAAAAATCCAATGAATATTCATAAAATGTTTCCTGAAGGATATTTCTGACAGCTTTTGTCCTTTCCATGATCAAATTATGGTGTAAACCTTCCTACTTTTTTTTTTTTTTGCTTTCAACTCTGTGTACGTTCATGTAAATTTTTGTTTTAAATTTGGTTTTATCAAGTTCATTAGAACATGAAACTATCTAAATATAGTTTTATGAGCATTAAAACAGTTATGTTTCCTGATGCAGGCATTTGCATGGATACATTTTATGAATATTCAGGAGATGTCTACACATAGACATGCACAATTATTGCAAGAGAGACTAAGTCATAGAAAAGCTTTTGTGATCACCTTTTGGAAGTTCTGAAAAGGATTTAGACAAACACAAGGTTTTAGAGAATCTACACAAAGTTCGTTTATTAAGTAATCAACACAAATTTAAATATATTTTAAAAAGCATTTCACAGCAAAATGCAGGAAAAACATTACAAGTATGATTCTTCCTTACTCTTCAAAAGAGCTATTTAATTTTAGATATAAAAGCAAACATTCTCTGGCAACAAAATATGCTGAAAAAAAAGGAGCTGCATGCCCACGCCACACAGTTGTTTTTCCTGCCCAAGGGTACGGAACAGTGAAGGAGGAGAGAGGCAGGGAGACAACAGAGAACAAAAGGTATTGGCAAGACAATGGGCATCATCCAACCTTGTCAGCGTTGAACTGCAGAGAGTCAGCAAATGGGTTAGTGCTGCTGAAGTTGTACTTAGGGTAAAGGCTGAGCGGCAAGGAATGCAAAGGGGCTTTCTAAAAGGAAACGTAAGAGGCGCTGAGCACAAAGGAAATGTACTTGAAACAACTTCAGTTTAGAACAACGTGCTTACTGATGTAAAGAACTGTCTGTGTGAAACTAGATGCTGTTAATCCAGAAATTCATGGCAAAGTCTCCTTACAGTCTGGGGTGAGGGTTCCCTCCCACAGTCTGCACCTACCGCCCAGGTCTACGAAATCAGATCCCATACCTCGCCCGAGGACACCTGGCCAAATGGAACCCAAATTTCTCTTATCGTCACTGACAGTACCACAGACAGACACATATTTTTGTCCATTCTACATAATAATGTAGGCTTCATGCAAATGAGGCAACATGTTTCAAAACTAAAACCACAAGTGCTTTTGCTTACAGTTCAAATCTACTTGTGATTTAAAGAAAGAATTCTATGCATCCAGGAATGCAAATTCAGCATTTATCAGCCAGTTCATCCTGAACCCTCATCATGCTTCATTTTGTCTCCCAGTAAGGACATTTTTCTGTGTGAGAGCAGAAAAATGTATTGTATTGTTAATTAAAAAATGAAATCAATGATTTGTGAAGAACCACTGTGTAACTATGATAGAAAGCGATGGAATCACAAGACTCTTTTGCGAACCTTTTGACGGTCACTCGTATTTCTGCTCACTTTTTGTAAAGGTATGAACACAGAGCTTCATATTAAGCAAAAAATATCCTAAAACATTTATGTTACTTTTGGAACCTCTATGAGGCTTTACAACTCCTACCTTACTGTGTTTCTCAGGGGTTTTGTGGCTTACTTGTAAGATGCCCCGAGCCAGGACTTTTAGAGTTGAATATACAAATTAAAGGCAGGACAACTGCCAGATAGAATTTCGCATTTTCATAGCTTTAAGAAAAAAGAGAAGTAATTTCCTTAGCACAATAAATTCTTCTCCTTCTTTTCACACCCGCTATCTTTTTATTTTATTGACTATATCTTTCAGGGGGAAATTGCAGACATTTAAAATTCATTTTGGCTCCAATCATATGTTTGTGTTACATCTCTCTATAAAAAAGTCCCATTGGCAGGCAGCAAGTGTAGGGATAGAGGAGCTGTCATGTGACACCACCGTGTTTGGAGAACACTCCGCAGAGGCTCTGCCTTCAGTACGCCCGCATCAAAGCTTATGCCGCACCACCCTTTCAATCTGCTCTTCTTGCAATGTTTTTCTACATAGGCAAGACAGGGAAAAGAAATGGGCACGATGACATTTCTGCTCATCTCAACTTTCTCCCTGCCTTTCAGTTTAAAATGTCAACTCCTGCTTTACAAAGGAGAAGATCACAAATGCCAAGGGATGGGACCATTCACTGAGGCTGAAGAAATGACTGGGCAGAGATGAAAAACATATCCCAGGCAAAAGAAGTCACGGATGTGGAGAATGGAGAGTTTTTCTAAGCTTTGTACATGTTATATTTAGGGTCCAGTGTCCTTTATAATTTTGTAGCCCCAAAGAAAACAAAACTAAATGGCAGTGCTCCAGTTTTTTTGGTAGTATTTTTTTTGGTAGTATTCTGTTTTAATTTCCAGATTTTATAGGATTAGAATTTGGCCATGGTAACAGAGTGTAAAAGTACAGCATAAGCATAGCAGATGAAATTATAGGCCACTCCATTATGAGGGAAAGTTTTATAGAAACAGACTGTATTACCTAATAAAAAAAAATCAATGAAGAAATATCTATTTATAGTTCCAAGGGCAGATGAAAACAGATGTAATGTTAACTGATAAGTTGTATAGAGAAAACAAATGCATCCTCTGACCTGGACTCACCTTTGGAGAGGGCAGGGTAATCAGACTGAAATCTGTACAGCATCATCTGTCTTGGGAAATTATTAGGACTAGTCTTAAAAAAAACCTGATTGGGCCCGGCGTGGTGGCGCAGTGGTTAAGGTCCTTGCTTTGCACGCCCGGGATCCCATATGGGCGCCAGTTCTATCCCAGCAGCCCCGCTTCCCTTCCAGCTCCCTGCCTGTGGCCCGGGAAAGCAGTCGAGGACAGCTCAAAGCTTTGGGATCCTGCATCTGTGTGGGAGACCTGGAAGAGGCTCCTGGCTTCGGATCGGCATAGCATTGGCCATTGCACCCACTTGGGGAGTGAATCATCAGACGGAAGATCTTCCTCTCTGTCTCTCCTCTTATCTGTATATCTGACTTTCCAATAAAAATTAAAAATAAATCTTAAAAAAAGGAGATGATTCTTGGACAGTCCAAGAGGCTGACTACCTTTTCAGTTTATACTACAAGTTGAAATAAATTATCTACTACTAAAAGACTCCGAATTATGTATGATTGTTTTTTCTCTAAATTACTGGAGCCATGATTATTTTTAAGGGGAAAAATATCATGGAAACAAAGTATATGTCATTGTGAATGAGAAAGTGAGTCTAACTTGATTAAACATTCCATTATAAGTAAGATGCAACCTGGAATAATGGCCATGAAAGAGACATCAGTACACTTCCGACAGTAGGACAGGAGTGTTTTTCAAGGGAGTGAAACAATCTCTCCAGCTCCCTAGAAAATGTGACCAGCACAGAATGAACTATCTGTACCTTAATTATTAAATAATATTGAGAATCATTATTCAACAGTTTCTGGAAATGTCCAAGTGATGTAAGAAGAAATCAAAATGTAAAACAACAAAAGGAATAAAATGTACCCTCCCACGCACTCAAATAACTTTGACTTAGCTTAAACAGCCGTTTGCCATTATCAATGCTGCGACTATGTTTAGCACAACAAATGGAAACAAATTTAAAATGATTTGTAGTCATTTAAACAAACTTGAGGATATTTGTAAAGAATGCAGCACCACGAAGCAGCTCTACCATTTGGCAAATATTCTATCTGAATAGGTAACTATTCTCTAACAATATGCAACTAAGTGATTAAAAGCTGAAGATGTGGAGATAATAGGCATCACTGTTAAATTCATGTTTTGTGGTAAACCCAGATCACAAGTACACCTGTCTTGACAATGACAGAAAGAACTAACAATGTCAATTCTGTATTCCCTGGCAAAGAATACTATTTCCATCTTGTCTAAGAGTTGCATGTTTCTTTTATTCCTTCATTTGAGAATTAATATCTTGAATACTCTACTTGGCAAGATAAATAAAATACAATATTGGATTAACATCATTTACACACGTTGATATGCTTTCTTTTAAAAATATCCAACTTGAATACCAGCACCAGGTAACTTGAGAGATTCAGTATACTGGTGGAGATTGCTCAATCTGTAGGTGGAGTTGCCAAGAGCTTTAGGATACCTAGAAAACCCCGAAAATAGAACGCAATCTTGTGAGCAAATGAGTTGGTTTGATGAGTTGGTGATGCAGTTATATTTGATAACTAATGCAAGTGAGATTTGTTTTTCTTTCTTGCCAGAAAAGTGTAAAAAAATAATACAAATAATTGCTTTAAGTTCTGGGCATGATTTTTCAGCTTCAGCATCCTTAGGGTACATCCTACTATGGCAGTGACATTCCATATTCCAAAACAGCTTTCTCCTCACGGCCTAGGAAAGCAGCAAAGGCTGGCTAGGCACCTGCACCCACATGGGAGACCCAGATCTAGCCTTTGAGCCTTTGGGGAATGGACAATTGGAGAGAACTTTCTTTCTGTCTCTTCTTCTTTCTCTGTAATTCTGTCTTGCAACAATAAATACTTTTTTAAAAAATGCTTATAATTACTAACATATTTTAAAGCTATTTTGCCCAATATGACATACAGTAAAACAGGAGAGTGGGTTTTGTCCACCACAACTACAAAATGATGAAGGACTATACAGTAACAAGGGCTGGAAAACAGCAGTTAGGAAATGATTTGTAAAAAGATAAAATACACCCAATGGCAATTTAATGTGCAATGGGCTACACACTTATACTAAAGGTCATGGACTGCATTAAGGTGGAGATTCTATCAACAGACTAATTTAAATAACTATCAAGTCGCTGGTTTTTAAAGTACTTCACTAAAGCTCCTGGATTACTAACCTGAATGACCATATCATATGATTTTTAATAACATGTGTATTTTCTGAGTGTAACCAATACAAGTCATTAATCATCTAGATAGTTATGGCCACCAATGTGAATCCTGTTTCTGTGTTCTCTACAGATTTCAACTCTTTATTAAGCATGTTAAAAGGAATTTCCAGAATAATTCAATTAAAAAAAAAAGCAAAACAAACTTCTAACAAGTTTGAGACTTGAAAGATGATTATCTTGGTTCATACAGACAACTTGGTCCTTTACGCATTAGATTCCAAGTTGAGCACTGTGTGGAAATGCCTACCTTGCCCTTTGTATTTGCTTACCCTTTGTTTGTTTATAATGCTCTGTACCATAAACACTACAGGGTTGCCTGCTTTCCGAATGGCTTCCACAGCTTGTTCATGGCTTGCATCTCTGAGGTCCATTCCATCCACCTGCAATGGAAGGCCTTAGCTTAACATTTCAAGAAGCTATAGAACAACAGAACAATTTGTGGATCTGGAGATTTGAGGATGCTTGATTAGGCCCTTGAAAAATCATTTCATTATAAAAAGTAACTGGTGTACTGTAAGGCTGCAGAATTTCTCAGTTGTCCAGAAGATTTGTGGTCCCTTATTTTTGGACATTGATATCTGTCTCCAATAATAAAATGTAGGATGAATCAATTGGAATAAAGCCTGGGTAGGCCTTCCTTACATGGCTTACTTTTTCTTTTAATTGGAGAAATCAACATTAGAGAAATACATAGGAATTATCTAGCAGTATTGTCTTTATCATGAAGGTCACTGTCCTAATTTTTTTTTCTATTGAATGATTTAAAAGCATAGGTGGGGTGACGCTGTCTATATTACTCCCTGTACAGAGAAGCTTGAAAGCTTGAAGTTAAAAATAAAATTCTGATATTCAGAGAAGTAAGAACATAATAAAGTTAGTTTTGCAAAAAGAATATTTGCAATAGACATGAAAAGAGCTGGAAGCAAAGAAATTGTGCTTATTTGTTAGTGATTCTTACATAAATAGTTGAAAATTGAAAGTTATTCTAGAACTTTGTATTGACCATCATTTGTCATTATATGATGTATGCATATATCTATATATTATATGAACTATAAAAAAGAAGGAAAATAGTCTAATAGGCCAAATGCTAACCCTGTAAAGAAATTACATTATGTTATTATTTTATAATTTGTGATACACACAATTTAATAAAACTCTCAAAACATACATAACAATGAAAAAGAAAACTAATTTTTAGATCTTTTTTGCATACAGCATTTTCACTTCTAAAAGAATTTTACATATAGATATGCATATCATATACTTAGAGCTCTCCCTTATATTGATTCTCAGGTGACATATTTTTTTCAGCACATACTAAAAACAACATTAAATGTTTAGAAGAAAATTTAGTATACATGTCCACTATATGTCTATTACATATTCCATTAGTGGAATTATTTATCAGGATCCTAAATATCTTTGTCCAAGTCCAAAGAATTCTGTGTTCAGAAAAGAATACTTTCCAGATCTCTGCTAATGAAATCAGCACGTTTCTCCATTTTACAGAAACACTTAGCAGATGTGTTTTAGAATACCCCAGATGACCCATGTCTAAGGATTTCTTTACTGGTTAAACTCTTGCTTATTGGACAGTCTACAAATTACTACTTAGCTTAATGGAATATTTTTCAACACACCCTAAAAAATATTTTCTTTTTGGTTTGGGAGGTATATATAAACTTTTTAAGTACTCATCCTTATTTGAAATAATTATACATTTTTAATTTCTATTTGGATATCTGTATGCATAAATAAACTTATTTTGATAATCTAAAATTGAGAATTTTAGGATTCTAAAATGAAAGTATTCTTTAAAAATCTTTGATTCCAGGCATGAGATAGCCTAGTGGCTAAATCCTTGCTTGTGTGCCCAGGATTCCATATAGGCACTGGTTCATGTCACAACTGGTTCACTTCCCATTCAGCTTTCTTGTGGTCCAGGAAGGTAGTGGAGGATGGCCAAGCCTTAGGACCCTGCAGCCATGTGGGAGACCCAGAGGAGGCTTCTGGTTTCAGATTTGCTCAGCTCACTAGAGGAGTGAACCAGCAGATTGAGGATCTTTCTCTCAGTATCTCCTCTCTATATCTGCATTTCCAATAAAAATAAATAAATCCTTAAAGAAAGAAAAAATATAATATTCTTCCTTTTTCTGCTCTAAAATAATAAATCAATGAATAAACAAAATCCTGTTTGATAGGTTATAGCTTTCTTCTAAACAATGAAGATATTTGAATGCATTAAGTTACATGGGTTTAGAAAATAATCATTATAACTATAATATTCTCGTTATCTGAAGTTATTTTGGGGTTGATGTGGTGGTACATCATGATAATCTTCCATGCTGTGCTGCCTGCATCCCATATGAGTCCTGGTTCATGTCCTGGCTGCTCTACTTCCAATCTTACTTTCTGCTTATGGCCTGGGAAAACAGAGGAAGATGGCCCAAGTATGTGGGCCTGTGAACTGACGTGGGAGACCTGGAAGAAGCTCTTGGCTCCCAAGCTCGAATCAGCTCTGCTCCAGACCTTGTGGCCATTTGGGGAGTTAACCAGCATAGGAAGACATTTATTCTCTCCTCTCTGTAAAATCTGCCTTTCAAATAAAAAGAAAACCATTTGGAAGATGTCTCTTTTCATATTCCCTGCAAATTTTGAAATCTTAGAAAACCTGGGTCAGGAGTCACTTTTTATACCTTTTAAAATAAAATTATACTTATCCTTATCACATAATGAATCACACTAAGCTAAAGAACATTATTTCTTGTTACGTTGGTCCCACTTGGCGGGCAGTCATGAAACCCTGTTTAGTTCAATTTGAACAGTCTCTTAGGGTACCTGGAATGTAGCAGCAGACCTTTCGGAATGTCTGTTGAGTGAGTGAGAGAAGAGTTCACTGACAATGTTAAATTTTGCCTGAATTATGGAATTACACACAATTTAAATATTTCTCTGCACACAAAGACCATGCAGAGCTTTTGATCTTGAATGGGCACTGTGCTAAGAAGAGGGAGGAATACCGAGCTTGGATGAGAAAAAGCATTTACATGTAAAATTATCAAGGTCTTATCATTAAATATCTGATCAGAAAAGACTCATTTGGAAAAAATACTATCCACAAATTTTATCTACAGTGAAATGATAATGATGAAATATTTCCCAAAATAAAATCTCACTGGAGAACTTGATGATATGTACATTTTGTATGCATGTAATTTTAGCTATTTTAATTATTCCCGAGAAATTTGCTTTCTTTCAAACATAATTAATTAGTATCCGATGTTTTTGAGGATGGTTGGCTGTATTCTCTATATCAAGATATACAATCTGTTATCCTAAGAAAAAATTAGGGATGCAATGAAAGAAATACTTTAACCACAAACATATTTTTCCATGCAATCGGATTCAGTAATAATTGCAAAGACAAATCTTTTGGTAAAGAAGAGGGACCAGGTCAACAGTTTTGGCATAGAAAGCTCACTGGAGGGTACCTCTACAATTCTATCTCCAGGTCTCAAGGTTCCGTTTTTGCCAGCTGGACTATCTTCAAGAACATGTTTGATGAAAATGCCCCTCATTACTTCTCCGTTGCTGAGACGACTCCCCATCCCTCGTCCACCAACAATGCTGATGCCCAAGGATTTGCTTGGTTCTCTCCAAAGTTCAACCCTGTATAGATAAATACAACTTTCATAAGGAATCATGGAGGGAAGGCTACATACTCTCAGTCAATGATTTCTTGTTTACGACACTTAACTGCACAGGGAACAAGACAAATTGCACTTCATCAAAATGAACAACTTCTGTTCCTCAATGGACACTATTAATGGAAAAAAAAAATTAACCCACACAAGGGAAAATATCACATATCTCACAAAGAATTAAAATTCCAGAAATATACAAAAATCCTGAAACTCAACAATGAAAAAATAAGGGGATATTAAAAAAATGGGACAATAACTTGAAAAGAGATTTCTGTAAAGAAGATATATGAATGAACCATCAGCACATGAAAAGATGCTTAACATCACTAAACATTAGGAAAATGGAAACAGAAGCAACATAGGGAAGGCAGATACCAAGTAGCATATAATAAAAAAATCAAAAGAAAACAAGTGTTGACATGAATACAGAAAAATTGTAAGCCTTCTTCACTGTGATGAGAATGTAAAATAGAGCAGCTGAAATGGAAAGCAATACATCAGTTCCTCAAAAAGGTAAAAATATAATCATATGAATCAGTAATTCTACTTCTGGGTAGATTCCCAAGAGAAATCAAAGTAGGGTCAACAAAAGATGATTTTACACAGGTTTTTACAGAAGCAGGATTCACAATAGCCAAAAGAAAATTAATCCAATGTCCATCAATAAACAAATGGATAGACAAAAAGATATATATGGCATATAATAGTCATTCCATGGTATCTACCAGTGGTTGAATATGGAACACACCAAAATCTGTGATTTCGAGGGTTTTTTTTTACATAAAAACTTATGTAGCTTTTACATAAAACCTGTACATCCTGCATAAACTTTAAATTATTTCTAATTCCTAATAACTAAATTATGTAGGCAATAATTACAACCTTGAAGACATTGTTTTAAGCAAAATAAACAGTTGCTACAACCTCCACTTTTACAAAGTACCCAGAGTAGTCAAATTCATGGTTTTAGAAAGTGGAATGCTGGTTATTGTTGATTTGGAGGAAGGAGCATTGTTCAGTTTTACAGGATGAGCATGGCTCTACAAAAAGCTGTGGTGACCATTTCACAGCAATGTGAATGTACCTAATGTAACTAAAATTACCCGCATGAATGCTAAAATATTAAAAAAAACATTAGGGGGGCAGTTGTTTGTTCTAGTGGTTAAGTTCCAATTTGGGATCCCCATATTCCTTATTGAAATACCTGAGTTCTAATCCCATTCCACTCCTGACTAGCCACCTTCTACTAAATATGCAGCTGGACAGAACGCCACAGCTTGAGAAGATGGGTCCCTGCCACCCACTTGCATAGAACTGGGTTAATAATTCTTGGCTCTCAGCTGGGACTCCAGGCATTTAGACAGTGAACCAGTGGATGGCAGGGCTTGTTCTCATTCTCTTTCTCTCTCTCTTTATCTTTCTTTTCTTCTCTAACTCTGTTTCTCGAGTAAATATGAGTATTTTTCAAAATGCAATGGAATAGAGCTCACATAATATTAGAATTTACTGGTAGTAAAAATAGTTTTAAACACTCTCCGAATTATGTGTTCCATGGGGTCTAATAGATAATAATGCATTATTTGTTACAAGTAGATACTGGATTCACACTCTGGTTGGCGCACAGACCAATGTAAAAGCATCTTTTTGTCTGAACTATATTACGGACGTTGAGTAATAAAGAAATCCAGCTATCACTGAACAGATGGTAGCTTCTAAGCTTAGCAGTCAGATCAAGATAAAGATCAGCCTGCAAACTACGTAGGAAGCTTTCCTCTGTAATTCTTTCTTGCAGCAGTAGACCTGTTCAGTAATAGCCAGGGCCCTAAGAACAGTGGCTAACAAAATCCTACTTGATTTGGTTCCACTAATATCCCTTAAACGATACCCCACAGATCTATACTTCTCTCTCTTTCTTCTTGTTATTTCATCACTTCCTCACTGCTACTTCAATGCATCTGGCATGCTCTCTCTGCCTTGAGACCTCAGCACTTGCTACCTACTTGGCTTGAATGCACTGAAGGTACTTCAAAAACTACATCAAAAACAATTAAAAGAATTTCTTAGGAAAGTAAAAATCCACGCATAGAATCTTTAATATAATATACTTTTTTTCCATGAATACTCTGAGGACCTTAGAATTCATGGAATTCAAAATATCTTTGTAATAATAAAATTTATCATTTATCCTGGCTTTTCCACAGACATTCTGAAGTACTCTCATATGCTATGCTGTGTTTTTTTTTTTCCAAATAATTATTTTTGTATTCATTTGAAAGGCAGGGAGACAGAGGCAAAAACACAAAGATTTCTCCCATCCATTGTTTCGTTCCTCAAATGGCCACAACAGTTGGGTCTGGACCGGCTGAAACCAGGAGCCAGGAACTCCACCCATTCAAGTCTCCCACAGGGGTAGCAGGGACCTAAGTGTTGGGCTATCACTGTTGTTTTCCAAGGCACACAAGCAGGGATCTGTACCAGAAGTGGAGCAGCTAGAACTCAAAACAGTATCTACTAATACGGGATTCTGGTACCGTAGGCAGTGGCCAACCTTCTTTATAGAGCTCTAATGCTAGTCCCAGTATGATTTTCTGAACTGGAAATATTTAATCATGGAAAGTCTATCCATTTAGTTGAAAGGATCTCACCATATTCCTTGGTCTTACAGAGTATTTGTGAACATCCTATTCATCAATTTCTCTCACTCGTGAATTCCAGGAAAAAGAACCAACATCCTCCCCTATTTCTTAAAGCTGCTTTTAAGAAAAACCGACAGAGTGAAAAAGTTAGTCACCTAAGTGCACTGTATGTACATACTGACTGATCCAAAATGCCAAGTTAGAGCTTTTCCCCTTTTCTCTTAAAATGTATCTAGTTAGAGACCATGAAGGAAAATGTCTCACAGAGTTCTCTGTGGTTGATGTAAGTTACAATGTGCTTCTTACTGTTTCTTGAGCAATACAGCATCACCTCAACAGCAGTGAACAGTCATTTAAAGCTATGTGCCCAGTATCATTCTCCCAGTGTTACAAAAGTGTTTGTTTAGTTCTCATACAACTTGGACAAGGGGGCTGATCTTCTCAGCCCTATTTGACAAAGAAGGAAGGTGACAGAGAAAGTAACGGTGCCATATGCTAGCTGAGACAGCAGAGTTACTTATCTATACTCCTTACAAGTGAACTGGGAAACAGAGTGCTTACCTCCTGGGCTGATTCCAATTACTGTATGCTGCATTCTGAAGTTCACTTTCTTCTCCTTCTCCTTCTTCTCGCTCTGGAAGTTCTGGAATATCTCTGATTAAAGAGTTACACAATGAGTAACTGAGTAACCTGGAATTCTAGTAAAACCAAGTAAGACTGTCTTTTATGTACACACATTTGTATTGTTTGATATTTTTAATACACCTGAACAATCAAGTGTGTAGCATTTCTGTGTGGAAACGATTATCAAATATGTTTCAAACTTTACTTTAAAAGCAGTCTATCATCACTTAGTCTGGAGAGATGGCAAAGCATAAAGGAGACTGTGTAGTCTATTTTTGTTTCCTGGAGAAACACGGGAAAATAAAGAAAAAGGGATGGAACGAAGGAACAAATAGCAAACTTTGAAGAACTACTCAGAAAATATTTCATAAATCTTATCATCCGCACAAAAAGCATCCACAGCTCTGCTCCGTGCCCTGAAATGAATTTTCAAGGATGAATTTCCTTCAGTAAGAGGGGCAATGTTACGGACCAGCTTGAGTCCTGCAGCAGGGGTCCATACACAGAACAGCCCTTATGGGAAACAGTTCACAGTGAACCTGTATTCAAGTTCACTTTGGCAATTCTGCAGCAATTCAGATTTTACAAAATGCCAAGAAGGTAAGAAAATTTGTCCAGTCTGCTGACTGCCCACTATTTGTATGATACTGTCAGCAAATATTATTTATTCCAACATATACTTTGCATTAATAAATGGCATTGTAATGGCAAAAGAGAAAGTTGAGTGGTTTATGGCACACCTTGATGTTTTTGTTCAAGTGTTTCTTTTTAAAAGCTAAAGCTATAAACATTTTGAAACAGTAATTTTTTTCAGGTGGTTTACATAAAAACTGAAAAATACAAAGAAATTATATGTTCAAAGTATAGCAAAAGAATAGAAGTCCTTCAAGTTATATCATCTTTAGGATTGAAAATCAGATATGGATTACACAATCTAATAGCCCATCTATGATAGCATGTGCTTCATATTCCTGGAAAGCAAATTCCCAGGCTCTCACTGGATGGCTTTCCCTTTGACATGTATGATGGATTTATGTTTAAACTGCTGGAATTATATCTACCTGGCTTTGCACTTAAACTTCCTTCTACTCAGTTTTTGTATTTGAATTTCCCTCTTGTGAAGACTGAAGACTAAGACTCTGAAGCATGCTGGAGATCTAGAATTCAAGTTGCATACAGAGCAGCACAAACCGGAACAATTCCAAGAAGAGGAATCTAACACAAAGTCTTAGGGCTGACTGAGCAAGAGACAGTCTATGTGAAGCCTTCTTCCAGAGGGCACAGGTCAAAAACCAGTCTTACCCTCCAGAAATAAAGCAGAAGGTAACACTATGGGGAAATGGAAGACAGGAATGAGAACTTAAAAACGGATCTCTAAAATATTCAGCCTTGGAATGAGAGTGTGGATTCTTAGTCCTAAAACTCACTACGGGAGCTACTCGAAAGCACCTTTGGCCTTCCTGAATCCTGGTTCCATCTTAAGCGTAAGAACACAGACACACAAACCCAGTTCTCTCCAATGAAGCTACTGTCTGGAATCCTCTCCCCATCCAGATCATCCTCTAAGTGTGATGATGATTCTTTATCCATCCTCCAGTGTACATCCAGAGACCCAGGTACTATGTGCCCCAAAGAGCAGTACACACTCTCTCTTCCTCTCAATCTCATTCTTCAAGAAAGAATTCAGTCTTTTTTTTTTTTTTTTTTGCACCTGGGATACATACCTTGCTGACAACTGATGAAATTACCATTGGCTACAATCACAAATCTCTTTCTTTCTGCTTATAGGTACGAGGTAAAATAACTAACACAAATGTAGCAGAGGTAAGATTAGAATTGAAACCATTTTACCATAGCCTCTGAGCTCTTCCAAGCTACAAACACCCTATTTTTATGTTATATAGCTCTCAATGAGCTGTACAATTCTTTGTGTCCAACAGATAAGAACGTGACATCTTTGTGCCTTCATTTTGGCATGTCATGTAATTTATGAACTGTGGGATTGATAAATTACTTAACAATTCTCTGTTGAAGATTCTTCCTTTATAAAATGGAAACAATTTTATTTTAGGTAACTTGATATTAATTGCAAGTGGAACTCCGGTCACAGCTAGTCAGTGTATTGGACAATCTATTTTATTCTCTTTTCTGTCGTGGGATTCATAATGCTGAAATCAACTTCTTCTAACGACTTTTGAGTATTTTAAAGAGACAGGACTTAGTTCTTAGATATTAATTAGATGTCAACCAGTTGTATTCCTTAATTAAATAATTTCAGAGGGAAATTGTGAATGACTAACATCTATATTCTATCTTGAGGCACTGGTAAACTAGAATCAATTCGTGCCATTAACCTTTATTTGGAAATTCTAAACTGGACTGTGCTAGCTTGCTGCCAGATTGAGAGGCTACTCTTCTTCACATAAAATGTATGAGCTCCCTAAGGATAATGTTTTTTATTTCCTTTATTAAACACATAACATAGTCTTCTCTTCCCTAACATTTTCAGTGTAGTGTGTTCATGAGTAATCTGCAGAGGAGAAGATGATACAATATCACAGTGACTGACACCATGTTGTTCAGTGAGGTTCTCACATCCTCTAAGGAACAGCACATAAAAACTTAGATAAGCACTTAGAACACTTTAGATAAACATTTAGAAATCACAGGAACATTTGTGAAATCCGGTATTGAATTACCAGCTCTGCTGGGTGAGACAGGATCAAAACCAAGACGGCAAAATGGCACAATTTTAATAGAAAAACCTATTCATGTTATTTTCTCCCTGCTCTAAGCTCATACAACAACAGCAATAAAACCTAGCTGTTGTGATTTCTCAAGCTTAGGAAAAAACCTTTTTCCTTTATTATTTAGAGGTTATTACCATGTTGGATATTGACGGTCTTTACAAATTCACTCTGTTGTCCATTATGGCATATACCAAGAAGTTCAGCTCAATATTCTCCAAAAAGCACAAAATAACTATTAAATATATTTTGGTCATTTTTGGCTCTATTAGTTCCTTTAGTGTAATTTGTATGTATATATTATATATAGTATTATATATAAGTATTTCAGTATAGTATTCAGTATATATATAATATGCATTTAGTGTATTATATATATGTATAATAGTATACTAAATATACATTTAGTATAATGTATATCATATATATACTAAAGGAACAAATAGAATTTGATGAACATATTTTACATTTTCATGAAAGGAAAAACACTATGGAAAACTATAGAAATCGTACTATCTAATGAATCCATGAAATAATATTCACATCTGGGGTGAATTAACGAAATTTAATAAACAAAAGTGTCATATTTGGCAATAAAATTAAAGACACTTCATTTCTTCATTCAAACAATCACTCATTGCAAAAATTGTCAATGCCCTGTGATTACTGTTAAAGTAACTTGAGGAAAGAGGCAGCAAATATTTACTCTTAGAACAGCAAAATGAATCCACACCTTGTATTTGTTCCAGTCCTTCCTGATTCTGAATTTAAAATTCTTCCAAGTAACCTGTTATATAGCCATTCATCAGAGGGGGTTTAAGGTTCACTGACCTGCCAGCATAGGAAGGGAAAACATCCAGTGCCATTATTCCTCCAGTCTGTTGTCCCAAGGTCATTCTGAATTCTTCCAAATGTTCTGCAGGCACGTAAGTAATTCTGGAGCAAAATAATTCACGAAAGCAAAGGGAAAATAATAGTTTGTTAGGAAAAGCTTCTAAAATTTAGGAAAAATGTCACCATCATTTCTTTCTACTTTTTCATACAACTTATTTAATAAGCACCCCTAGGGGCCCATTCAAGTTCCAGTGGGACCACTTCCATCCCATCTTCTGGCTACTATGCCTGGGAAATCAGATGGGCTGAGTGCTCAGGTCCTTCACAGCCATGCAGAAGAGTTAGAAGGAATGTTTGTGTCCAGGTACTGGCCTGGCCCCATCCCACCAATGCAACTTCTGAGTGGTAAACAGTGACAGAAGATCTCTATCTCTATGTCTCTCCTTACTTCTAACTATACCTTCCAAATCAATCAATAAACACATCCTAAACAAAATATCTCTCCTGTGGATACAGGATCCAAAGGATGTGGGTCCTCCTAGGCTGAGGCCATCAGCAGGGTGTTAGCTCAGAACCAGAGCCACTAGGACTCCAATAGGCACCTATATGGAATACTAACATTGCAGTCTGATGTGTGCGTCTCACTGTGTTGCCAATGCCAAAATTAAACCTTTCAATGCTGGTACTGAAGTTTTTGTTTACCAATAATTGGATTGGGGATGGAGAGAAAGCAATTTAATTTTTTTTTCTTTTTGATGAATTTATTCATGCATTAAATTTTCAGGATCACAACAAATGCATGCTTCATTATTAAAACGTACGTCTCATGTTAACATGTTAATGCAAAGACAACAGATTCAGTGCTGTGACTCCACAGAAAGCACATATAATGATACTTCCCTCCCACCTCCTTTTCTTTCTTGCTTGCTAAGTTTCTTTCACATTAATGACTTCTCGAAACTTGGATAATTCATACATCCTTAGAATAATAATTGTCAGTAAAAACATTAATTTGTACAGAAAATTTGGAGTTCTTTAGCAGAAACGAATTAACTGTACTGTATTAATAATAGACATGAATTATCCCATATTATTTCTATGACACCTAATTATAGATATTAGCAAGCATTATCAACAGCTATGCTAGCTCTCAAGACGAGTATCAAGTGAAGTCATGTAGGCTTATAGAGAGGTTCTTCCAACATGCAATAATTTCTTTTAAGTTCACTTTGTTTTCGAACAATAGTATGCTGAATGGCCATTTACTATTTCAACAAGCAGTGGCTAAATGCCTGTTTGGAAGCCACCGTGCTAGATGATGACTATAGCTGTAATGCTTAGAAACTGACACTTGAAAACTTTATTTATGTGTTTCAAAGCTATTTACATAGTAGATGTACTTATTTTTTAAAGATTCATTTGTTTTTACTTGGAAGTCAGGTATAAAGAGAGAGAAAAGAAAGGGAGATCCTCCATGAGCGAGTTCACTCCACAAATGGTCACAATGGCCAGAGCACAGCTCATCTGAAATTGGGAGCCAGGAGTGGTTAAAGAAATTGTGGTACATGTACTCCATGGAATAGTATTCAGCCATTAAAAAGGAGGGAATTCTACCATTTGCAACTAGATGGTCCCAACTAGAGAGCAGTATGCTCAGTGAAATAAGTCCATACAGAAAGGACAAATACTGTATGTTCACTCTGACATAGGTAACCTTCATACAAACTGTAAAATCAATAACCCTTTCCATGCTGTTTTTGCTGCATCCCATGTGTTTTTATGTTTTTGTTTTTATTCTCATTTCTTCCAAATAGTTTCTTTTCTCTTGTCGAATTCATCACTGGGTTGCACAATGGCATCATTTCACCCAAGAGGCTTTCGTGTTTTCTTTTTCATTTCTTCACCCAAGCATCGGTTATTCAGTGATACATTTTTTGACTCCATGGTGCCGTAAATTTTTGTTTTAACTTGATACCTTTTGCTGACTTTGTTTTGTAGCTTCTTATTTAAGAGAATGTACAGTGATGGTATAATAGAGCCTATTGTATTCAGAGGTGAAGATACAATGCAGTGTGTCTCTCTATTTCAAAGATAGGCTCCTAATGAAACTGTTGGACATATCTAAACATTGGACCTTGAGAGCTTGTTTGGAGGTTCTAGCAGGGGAGCGCAGCTACTTGTATACCCTTGACCAAAGGTCAGTCCTCCTTTAGTGGGGATGGTCGTCCTCTTTGATTGAGCGCACAGCTTTGGGAGGGACGCACATGGAGTGGTGAGGGAGGAAGGGGACAGCCGCCTAGCCAGCCAGATCAGCCGAATCAACCTTGGCGACCAATGGGGTGAGAGATGTCGCAGCCAGATCACCCTCACATCCATATCTAAACATTGGGAAGCTGAGCTGTCTGACATTGTCTGTACCAGCAATGTCAGGGCACAGTGAAATGACAGAGTGATGCACTTATGACTGCTTATGAAGGACTACAGTATTGTAATAATATGGGGGTGGGAATTTGGGGAGAGGATGGGGAGATCCCACATCCCATGGAATTGGACCATAAAATTCAAAATTTAAAAAAAGAAGGAAGAAGAAGAAAACGGTATCTCTTTGAGGCCTAGTATTCTGATAAACACAAGAAAAATACAAGGTGGCATCCTCACGAGACACCAGTTCTATTGCTCCCCACACTAGTGGAACATGTGGACTCTTTGGGAATCTCTTGACCTTTTAAGTTCAAAGCTAAAAAAAAAAAACGGCAGGAAGAAAGCGCATATCAGTAAAGCTAGGACTAGGCAGGAACTGAGGGCTGTAATCTAATCTGGCCTTATGGAATTTACTCACCTATGAAATCAAGCTCTCCAAAGTGCTAACAAAAAATAATACTGATTTGCAAACGTATGCTCTCTCTCTAAAACCAAGAAGTCAAAATTGCACAACAATTAATCTTAGGAAGAGTGATTGTATTTGATTCAAAGAAAAATAAAAATGAATCCTAAATTAAGATTTAATAAAATTAATGCAGATAAAATATTAAGCTTTTAAAAAAATCAAAGAAGGGAAACTTCTAAAATCACAATTATCAGTATAACATGGTCAACTTTTCAAAGAGCTGGGGGAGGTAAAGGTGTCTCTATCTCCCAAAAAAGGTTGAAAATGATTTTCCCTCTGTACTAACTCAAAACTGTTCTGTTTTCTCCTTATCCAATTGCAGGGACTAAGAGATTTTAAAAAGATTTTTAATAATACTTTAGGTAACAGTGAGAAAGAGACAAATGGGCAGCTTTCAGAAATGGTTAACCCATTATAGACAGCAAGACCCCATTAGAGGCATCCCACAGTTCAACAGCATACACTGAAGGATGTATGTGTTAACATTGCTGGTCACGTGACCATGAAAATCCTTCGTATCACCAACAAAGAACACCAGAGCTGTGCCATCAACTGCAAAAAGATGCTAAAACAGCTTAGTTGAGAGCTGTAACAAAATAAATAAATAAAATAAATGAACTAAACTCTGGCTATGCACATAGTGAAACACACACACACACACACACACACACACACACACACACACCCCAACAGTAAAGCCAAAATGGACAGGACCTAATAATGCAGAGACTGTGCCTGCTCAGACAGAAGGAATCACTCCCTTACAAAGGAGCTTGAAAGTCGAGTAGTTGGAAAATATCATTTTCACATGATTTCACAATCACTGGCATGATGTGAAAATCCAACAATCTCATAGCTCTGTTGAAATTTATATTCCTCTGTCAAGGATTTTTCAAAACCCAAAGTATACACTGAACCTGTATCTGGCTCTGTCTCTACACATCAGGACTTCACAAAAGCACAAAATGGTTTTCACAGACAAGTTGTAACACACAGCCATAATGAGCCTTTGAATCATCGATACTCACACATAAAAGGGGGCTCGATAGTCAGCAGGTGCTGCAGAAAATCTAGAATGGGAAGCATACGCCGTGGCATCTTTTCACAACGGTGTTAACAAATGTCAATGTCTTGTGCTGAATGTGCGACGCATACATATGTAGTTAAAAGTGGGTGCTCCTGGTTCTGTTTTATCCCCTCTCCACCTCCCTCCCATCGCCACCTCCCCCAGAAAAGCATCTGCTCTTTACTAGTGTCTATCGCAGTGATTATTAACAAGCAAAGAAGAAAGTAACTGCAATCAATCTTTTATTTCTTGATCAGGAATTCATCCCACATTTTAGGGTAAGGCAGGTGAATTCTGATTCTGCTCAGTAATTATCTGGCAGATGTTACAAGCAGCTGCTGCTAAGCTATATATATATGTGTGTGTGTGTGTGTATGTATATGTATATATATGTATATAATAAATAGATTCTGGCTATTATTACAGAAATATAAGAGCGCCTAGCTTCTGGCAAGGTGGAGTGAGAAGTGAAACAGAATGCATTCTGGTGAGGCCTCACATCTGGTTTTCCAAAGGGGAGGAAAAAAAAAAACATGGAACTTAAACTGGCAATTTTTGAACTTTAGAATCTCTTGTTATCCACCCAGGTCTGCATGAATGCACACAAAGTTTCTAGTTATCTAAACTGGGAAAGAGAGCGTGTGTGTGCATGAAAGAGAATGCAATTAACTGCCTTGAGAAGCCATGCTTTTCCTAAAAAAACAATCAATAAAAGCAGAGTCTTTGTTCAGACCCCTAGAACGCATGCCTCCACTGCAACCCTTGCTTAAGCTAGGTTCGTAAGAAGACATTAAGGAAAACAGGCAGGGAGCCGACTCACAGTGATGCGTTCAGAGCTGAACTGGCCAGAGGCATTCAGAACAACAGGTCCTACTCAGAATAACAGGAAGGAGAGATTTCTCTTTTGAGGCAATTCTAAAGCTTCCGCTTAAGGAAAGGCAAGTGTTACAAAGATCAGGAACAAGAACACTCAAAAAGCTCAGACAACATGTTGCACAACTGGTCAATCCAAATGACTGACTACTTCTGTTTTATCACTCAACACATTCTTTCCTGAAAAGAATTATGTAGGGATGATACTAACTTCTCTCTATCATTTACTCTAGCTGTCAAGTTGTAGCTATCTGCATGACAGTACTCGGAAAATGCTGAAGCAAATACATGTGCTTTGCTCTGTGAGCATGCTTCTGTGAGAAATGGAGTTCATGTGTGCACACACATGTGACAGAGACAGCTAGACCACGGACATGAAAGTGTGCAAGACTTTTCTCCTTCTTTACAAATGTGCTATTCTAGAGTACGTTTTGTCTGTTGGAATTTTAAAGCAGTTACTTCTGACACTACCTCTCTAGATGCCCCTCATCTCATAACACATATACTGCTCAAATGACTGTGTATATTCAATTGAATCAGCAAGTTGGGGAAAACTCAGACACACACACACACAGAAGATCCTGGGGGGAGACAACAATTAGCTCAACATTTAACTGTTTTATATGTTTTCCCAGGCCACAAGCAGGGAGCTGGATGGGAAGTGGAGCTGCCGGGATTAGAACCGGTGCCCATACGGGATTCCAGCACATTCGAGGCAAGGACTTTAGCTGCTAGGCTCCTGCACCAGGTCCACCTCTCTCTCTCTTTTTAAAAGATCTATTTTTTTTTTTTAGAAAGTCATATATATGTAGAGGAGGAGAGACCAAAAGATCTTTCATTCCCCGATTTACTCCTCAAGTAGTTGAAACTTCCAGAACTGAGCTGATCTGAAGCCAGGAACTTCTTCCTGGGTCTCCCATGTGGGTACAAGGTCCCAAGGCTTTGGGCCACCCTCCACTGCTTTTCCAGGACACAGGCAGGGAACTGGATGGGAAGCAGAGATTCCAGGATTAGAACCGGCACTCACATGGGTTTCCTGCATGTGCAAGGTAAGGACTTAACCCACTAGGGTATCGCACTGGGCCCACCTTTTCGTCTCTTTAACACTTAACTGTCCTACAACCTCCATCCTGGGCGAAGACAACAGGTCTTAACAGGGTGGAGATTACCAATGTGCTTCTAAGTCTTTATTCTAGAATACCTAAAATTCGTTTATGTTGTAGAAACAAAATAAGTTGTTATTTAAAAATATACTTCAGAAATTTTTCTGGAATTTACTATAAGGATGAACTGTGTCAAACTGATCATCAGAACTGTCTTCTCATTTTTCGGGTCAGTTTTAAGTTCTGCGACGGCACTATCACCAAGTACTAACTCAGGCGTTCGGACAGCCAAAACAAAGGCAGGGGCCTGCATTCCTACACGGGGCCTCCTGTGTGCATCACGCCAAAATCAATCAAATGACCAATCACTCAGCTGTCTGTATGCTAACCCCATCTTGCTAAATCCCTTGAAGTAAGTAGCCTAAGTGAATCTCTATTGTATCTTTGGAGCAAAAGAAAGGAACACTGCTTACAAATGATAAGGAATGAAAGCATTTAGGTTTCTCTCTCTCTTTTTTTAAATAATACAGGAACCAAAAATTTTCATGAGGTTCACTGGTATTTATATTATTTTAAGGTAATTAAGTAACAGTCACATGACCTAGGATCTGCTCAACTTTAAAATAAGGAGTGAAAAAGGCATAAAAATAGGAAAGACCATTATTCAGGGCTCAAAAATAAAAATTGTTTTGCAAAAAACATCAATACTAATTGCATATAGTACATACTTTTCTGATTTTTAGTGATGGTTCAATAAAAAAGCAGACTGCATATATGGCTTTGCTTACCAAAACTCTAGTAATATAACCTGGGCAAAAGAATTAGTAATAAAAAATGTAGTCAGTAAAGTATCAGACTGATATAGTTCTACAATAGTAATAATATCGGCCTAATGCACACAATCTTTGAGCTCTTACTTTAAGAATTTATCCTTTATTCATTAAAAGTAAATATTTAATGATTAATGACAGAGGAGAAAGCTACATTGATGAGGTGTGACCGTATTTTCTATATATTTGCTCAAGCAAAGTTTAATGTCTTAACGTCTAAGCTACATAGATGATGTGCCCTAGAGCATTATGAGAAATTTTAAACACTTCTGAAGAGAATATCCCATGTGACCTATAATCAGACTGTATCAACATCTTGGTGAATTCCCTGAGTAACAGGGTTGTTAAAGAAAGGGTAGCATGCGGGTCAGACACCAGTACTGTTCTCTTTCATGCAGCACTCATCCAGAGCTGGCTTGGTGCTGGGACACTGACTTGGGTATTGAGGTCACTCTACATTCTAAGATCCTGAGAGTGGACTCTCCCGCTTTGTGAGAAGTGTCTCAATACCCATCACAGCTGGAGTTCTTACGCAGTGTACTGGACGCGAACATAAAACAAGCAAAATCGTTCTCAACATTTCAAGACTCACGCACTCCAAAACAGACTACATCTCCAAAAAAAGTAGCCAAATTCTTAGGTGCTTTCCATTAAATAAATGTATGGCGACTTTTCTACCTTAAATAGTACATACTGAAAAGAATCTGTTGAAATAATTGAAACTCCTGGATTTTCCAAACCACATGGAGGTCCAAATAAAACTTACTTGATGTCAGGCCCAATGAGAGAATGCCTTCTCAGCATGGCTCGCGCCTGGGCGTTGGTTAAGCTGATGGTAGATTCTTCGTTAATGGACAAGATGCAGTCCCCAACTGCAATGCGCCCATCTCGACTAATGGCACCACCATGAATAATGCTCCGAACTATCATCCCCAAGCCATCCTTATTAGCACTGACTGTCATCCCTACAGGAAAACACAAATGCACGTCAATTAAGCACATTATTTTAAGATTCCTTTTCATTTGGATCCAAACATAATCATGCATCTATATATTTAGAAAGAGTAACATTTTATTAAAAACAATCAAAAACAAAAGCAAACTTTCAAATAATTATAAAATTGTATCTGGATAAAAATCATGTCGTATACATGAAAGGAGAAAAAGTTTCACACTGTGGGTTGAAAGTAAGTTAGGCCATCTGATGCATTATCTCCTTAAAGGTAAGCTGAAATCGCTCAGGGAAAATAGCCTGACAATATCGACTCTATTTTGTAATCACACATGTAGAAGGACAAAAAATACATTTACAAATGGAAAGTGAGGTCTGTAAATTAAGAATTTTTCTGCTGTTGCCAGGTTTCAATACCCTCATTCACTGAGAATCAATGTACTAGACAGTGATCATGCTCCAAGGACCACCCTGGCGTTCAAGATTAAAAAAAAAAAAAAGCACAGTGCAGAATTCCTAATATCAAGTAACTCATTTATAAGTATTAAATCCCAGTTTCTATTATAGTGCCTGAATGAAGTTTGGCTGAACTGATACAAAGTTAATCCTCATCTTTTCCTAGAACATCTCTGAGCTCCTGCGAGCTCCCGGTCATTTTGCCCTCCTGACATACCCTTGGACAGCCAGAGGAAATGCAGCCTTAGATTTGAACATCCAGTTTTTCATCTCCTCCTATATGCTCACTTATCATCCCTTTTTTTATTCAATGATACCTCTACACAATTCCCCATTGTTGATGATAGAAATATTAGAGTAATTATTGATTCCTATCTCTATATTTCATCCATTTCCAAATCCTTTCACTTATACCTCCAAAGCTGATCTTGAATCCTTTAAGGTCTCCCCATTTTCATATGAATCCTAAACCAACACCTTTCCTTGCCTGCTTTTCTGCGACAGCCTCCTAACTAATCAAGCAGTTGTCAACACTGAGCACAGCAACCATTCTTTTCATAGCAGACAACAAACTCATTCATTAAAGACAAGTCACATTGCATCAATTTTATTTTTTGTTGTTATTGTTTCATTTACTTGAAAGGTAGATTTATAGAGAGAAAGAGAGACAGAAATCTTCCATTCCATTGGTTCTCTCTCCAAAGGACCAAAATGTGAGGGGTCTCCACCCAGGTCTCCCACGTGAGTGCAAAAGCCCAAGCACTTGGACCATCTTCTGCTGCTTTCCCGGGCACATTAGCAGGAACTAGATCCAAATTAAAGCAGGTGGCATTCATGACATGTACTGGAGAACATGTATGACACTGTGATGCAACCTGCAACTGTAAGCTCAACCTGCTGTGCCACAATGGTGCCTCCTGGCTGTAACTCTTCAGCATTTCCCTGTTGTGCTAATGTGCAACACACATTTTTGGCATAATCCATACAGAACTGGTGAACCGGCTTCACAACGTGTCCCATTCCCTTGTGGAAAGTCCTCCTTCAGCTGCTCTGCATTTTGGAGTCTAGGCTAGTTGGTGCAGCTCTTGAACAGCTAATTCTCTTTGTCTTATTTCACATCCTCAAAATAGCCTTCTCAATCTATCCTACCTAAATTATTATTTCCTTCATACTTTATCCCCACTCTAATCCTTCAAAAGAGTGAAACCATTTAAACTATATTTAAAATTATACACAATATTGTAGTTACCTTAAAGTGCTAACAGGTTCTTACCTAAAAGATTGTGTAAACAAAGGGAGTTATAAAGCTAACAGGATACTCATTTAGGGGCCAGCATTGCAACACAGCAGGTTAAGCCACCAGCTACAGCATGGGCAGCTCATGTGGATGCCACTTCCAGTACCAGATTACTCCACTTCCAATTCAGCTCCCTGATCATGTACCTTGGAAAGTAGTGGATGATGGCAACCCTGCACCCATGTGGGAGATAACAAGAAGCTTCTAGCTCCTGGCTATGGACCAGCCTAGTTTCAGCTGCTGCAGCCATTTAGGAAATAAACGAGGTGATAGAATGTCTCTCCTTCTTGCTGTCTCTCTATCTCTCTTGAGACTCTGCCTTTCCAGTAAATAGCTCTTACAAAAAGGCCACTGAATGAGAAACACACGTGTGAAGTTCCTTTCATAGCATCAGACACAAAGTGCTAAGTAAAGCAAGTTTGCAAAAGGGAAAACAAAGGAAAATTCATAGATCATATTTGAAATGCATCACTGTCCCACACCAAAGCTGGTGAAGATGCTTATGTAACAATGGGAACATGCTTCATGTCACAGGAATGCACACTAAACAATGGCAAAAATAGCCCATTTTATGTGACAACACTTACACAGTACAATGAAAAGTAAAATCCATGTATCCTGACATATCAACAGTACAAACAAGAAAATCCCTTTGACCATTTCAACAGAGGAAGAAAAGATTTCACAAAATCCAACATTCTGTCAGTAAAATAAAAATAGGCAGTCCAAATGGTAGATGGCAAAATCAGGTATGTCCAAACCCTGGTTAACATAAGATCATCAACTTGCTTCCAATCTAACTTACCAATCAATGCTACAATGATCTTAACACACAAACTATGACCATGTTACTCTTCCTATGGAAGCTTAAGGCAAGTGGGGGTTACAAGGAAAGGCCTGTGTCCTGCTTACAAATCTGCCCAGCAGTGGTCTCTCACCTATTATTCCTCTGGCTCCAATCCTCACTTGGCCAGCCACCACACCACACTTCATCATCACAGTTTTCAATAATATTTTATACCTCTCTGACTTAACTTTGGTAGCTTCCAACTTTTTCCATTTTCTAAAATATGTGGTAAAAATCTATTCTATTCCAAGAACTAAATCATTGTTTCCCCGTTCTCTGAAACCTTTCTTAACTCTAGACCAGCAGAGTAACGATTAGCTGTTACTCTTTAAAGCCTTCATCAGTTTTGATATGAGTCTAGCATAACATGTATATCTGAATAACTTTAGTATTTTACATGCCAATGAACTTACTCTTTTAAACCCATATTTCTTAAGAAAAGTGATTACAGAATGATGTTTGTGCTAGCATATAGAAAATAGTAAATGTCTGACAACTGAGTAAATGCACACATTTTAAAAAGTTTTTCTCAGTCTTTATAAAATATCTACCTTATGAACTGCTCATGAAAAAAATGTGTTCGAAGGTAGAGCCGGCATCCCAGTGCTTAAAAAGCTGTGTCACATAATGCAAAGTAATAAAAAACTAAATAAATAAAATGAAATTTTAAAAAATGTGTTCATTTTCAGTTAAAGATGAGACATAGTGCGTTGAGTAGCCTGTTTTTAGTTATATCTACCACAGCATCAGACACTGAAAATACAAACATGACTCCTTTTAAACTGATCAAACCCTGTATCTTTAAATTTGGAACCTACTAAAACTCATAGTAATAACAGAAATGATCAGTATTCTGAGTAAAATGGTTTAAAAGAAAAATACTACATTATTACATGAAATAATCCTGTCCTTGTGTACATATTATGGGCTAACCCATAATTAAGGAGTTAGGGGCAATTCTGGAGCCTAAGTTTATATCATCCTGTTGTAAGTCAGAGAAATATAACAATGCAGAATTCTCCACTACAGTTCTCTATTTATTTAGCTTCTGTTGGGAAAACCCAGCCACAACCAAATGGAATAAAAAATCCAGGCTAGAGAGGCTTGGATCCCACTCCCACACGTAAGCTTTGGTGGATTCGTCTGCCAAAGTGTGCTTCAAGAAGGAACTTTAGATCCGATCAATATCTACTGATACAATGGTCTTGGTGGTCACTTCACAGAAGGACCTGGGTATACTATTTGGAACTTATCAGAGTCCGCAGATGGTCATTCAGACCAATTGATTTGTTATGTTATTTGTCAACAGCAAGCAGCAGGGATAGGGCTGTGCCATGTGACAGCTCAGTTCGATGAGACACAATTTGCATTGTCTAAATGTAGTTTTAGCTTTTGTGATTAGGATTTTTAATGCCACAGGAAGTCTTATTTGTCCAGCTTGAAGGGGTTTGTGATTATGATCCAGCAAGGAATATTTTACATGCAAAAGGACACAAAAACCCTGCCACTTGGGGAAAAAAAAACTTTTGAATCACATTTGTATGTTGATAGTGGCACACCTGGCTGTCTTTTTCATCTTATATTTCAGTGAATGAAAGAAATTAAACACAAACTGACTTATGCATAATTGGCAACATTCACAGAAACTAATAATTTACTTTTCCAAAGAATTTAGAATTCCAAATTGCTGACTTTTCATTTTTCTAAGAATTTCTTTTCTGATTTGCAGCTTCATACACAAACCATTCCTATATCTTTTACTAGAATGCAAATGAGGTTTGTGAATACTTTGAAATAATTAAGAGAATGAGTGATTTAAACTAGCACAAAGTAAACAAACCTGTTAGCCATTTCAAGAAAAATTGCAGGTGCCATGAAAAGAAAAGCCACTGAAAACTACAGGAAATGTCCTAATGTCTACTTTCTCATCTATGGCAAAGAGTTTGGAAAGCTACCACATTCAGTTTGAAACCTACCTTGTCAAGGGCAGTCAAATGTGAAAAACAGGGAACTTACCCAGGCTAGAATTGCCTTTTGCTGCAATAATAGTCTTCACAAAAGACTCTTTAGTTATATTTTGGAGCATGGCACACTCAGCACTGGAGACCAGGGAGCTCTCACTAGGCAAGTACTCAGGGCCCTGAGAGAAAGAAAAAGTCAATCACATGAAAAGGAAAACTAGACTTTGGAGTAGGATTTCAACACCACACGTGCTCTCATTGGTTGTGCTTGATTCAGCAAGAATCTATAACTAACGCAAGTTCATAGGTTGCCTGTGAAAATTTCCATGTCAGAAGAGCACTTGTTTATTTCAAATGAAGAGATCTATCAGAATACTGGAACCCTTCATGTCTCCCACATCACCACAGTATATAAACTACAGCTTTAAAATATTACCTTTTCAGTTGAATCAAGTAGCAAGGGAGAGGTAAGTTCTGCGCAGGATATAACTTCACTTGGTAAGTGAGACTCAGCCCAAGCTATTGTGTTTTCACATTTGTAGTGCTGTTCAACGGCATTTGCAGGTGTATATTCATTTAGGGTGAAGCCTGAAGCAGGCCCCATACTCAAGTCTACCGAAGCTGGAGTTTCATCCTTTCTTTGCAGCAGATTTTGTGTATAGAGCTCCTCCAAGGACATATGCAGATCAAGAACTGGATTGGAAGAATGCTCAATAATATCCTGGTGTTTAAAGAATAAAAAGTTTGGCTAGATGATACCAATATGTCTCATTATACCACCTCTTAACAATTGCTAAATTAAACATAAAGCTCAAGGCAATTGCTTATTACTCAAAAAGCATTAGCAACCATGGAACTTCTTCACTTAGAAGATTTTCTGTCTTTATTTCCATAAATACCCTTAAATGCATTACTTACAAATCACAATTTCACTTTCTACTCAATTATACTTGTCCTATTTACTGTACTTATGATTAGATGAAATATGCATTATTCACAAGTAAAATTATTCAGTGTTCAAGCCACACTGAAAAGCAAATAATTTATATTTCCAAATCTCACTTAAAATGTAATTCATGTCCACCCAATCTGAAGCTCCTAGTTATAATAAGGTCAGATCATTCTACAGTGTGACATTAATTAGATTCACAAGAGCCTCCAAGAGAACATTATTTTGAAAGGCATTTAGGAAAAATAGAAAGCCTTGCAAGTTCGGATTATAGGCAAAATGTCCTTCAACGATCGGGAGATATAACCATACTTAAGTGGCTCAACATAAATGTACAGCAAACCAGACTCCGCTATTCCCAATTCACACTTCACAGGGGAGTGAAGTGATAATTTCTACAATCCCCAGAAACACTACAAGTCTACAATTCCATACAATAAATGTATCTATTAACAACAGAGATGATGTGCCATGTGTGTTTTAGGCAGGCAACTGTTTTAAAACCTACTGTTGAGAAGACATAATAGTTTTCCCTTTGATATTCATGAATATTTTTAAGGCACAAATGTAGCATACACATGCATTTTCAAGTGAGATAATCAAGCCTTATAGATAAAAGCTGTGTACTCATATAGAGTACAATGTAAAAGATTTCCCTTTTGGATCCTAGTTCTGTTCTCCCCAGTAAAAACGGCCGTCATCAATCACATTTCTTTATGCATTCACATAATATATGCACAAATTCACTTGCTTACACTCACACAAACAATGCTATATACACAATTTAAAATCAGAACAAGCCCATATAACAAATAATAGCTTTTGCTTTTAAAATATCTCTATATCTTAACTATGAGAAATTCTCATAGTTATAAGTTATTCCTAAATATGAAAGACACCAGAATGCAGACTTCCGAGGCAGGCTGTCTGAGTTCAAGTCCTGAAACCACAACTATGTAAGCTTTGGCAAGCTACTCAAACATTCTATACCTTGTTTTTCTCTGCTATTAATCAGGAAAAATAATAGGACATTTAGAGAGGTCAGAGTTAAAGGCCCCAAAGCACTAAAAGTAGGCCTGATGTAACAGAAAATGTCCAATAACTGTTGGCTTATTGATGTGATTTAGTGTGCATCTTTGCTTACTTTTATGAAAATGTATTTACTACAAACTACATGAAGCAATACATCAACGAACAATGAAGATGCTCTTACACACTGTCAAATGTTTCTTTCAAAGAAGAAAATGTTGGGGAATTCAGTATAAATTTGGTCTAACAATTTTGTCTCATATCAGAGCACCTCCATACAATGCCAGGCTCCGACAGCTCGTTCCAGTTTCCTGTGAATGTAGACCTTAGGAGAATGGCAATTGGGTTCCTGCCAACAATATGGGAGACTTAGATCAGGTTTCTGCCTCCTGGTTTTGGTTCCTACCAGGAGCCCACATACAGTGAGTGAACCAGTGCATGAGAGCTCTGTTTGCCTCTCAAATAAATCATTAAAAAAAAAGAGGTAATATTAATGGAATAATCTTTCCAATCTAAGATTAGTTTACAACGTGATATATAAAAAGTATATCCATTAGCAACGACACATCATTTATCTCTGTTTCAATTTCTTTATGCACTTCAACTTTACATCCAGAGATTTTTACTTGTTCTTATCATTGAAATATTCTGAATATAAAGTATTTGTGATAAATAATACAAAACTCTTTTTTTGTCTTTTAATATATTTCGGAAGAAATTAATTCAATGTAACCAATTTTGACAAGCTATATTTTTGTGTGTGTTTCAGGATTTAATACATGGCTTCCACAAAAATGAAGTGATTTTTCTTACTTTTCTCCTGTTACAATAAATGTTTATTTTTCGATTTAACCATCTCAAATATGTTTCAAGATTATGTTAAGAGTCCTGTTTTTTTTCCTAAGTGGTTAACTTGATTTCTCCAACACAATGTGTGTATTCTACTGCTCTTCAATGAAAGTTGTTGCCTCTGAAATTATGAAATATTTCTGGTGCAAAGACGAGGTAGGAAGAATATGATACAAGTAATTAACATCATCAGTATCTTCAGGAACAAATGATAAGAATGTTTACTCCACCAGGTTTCTACAACCTAAACAATAAACAGTAGCTCATTCATTCGACTTTGATTATTACATTCTTGGGAAAAATAACAATGTACTTACTATAGAACTGGTTAGCTTCCTTACTCCTAAATTAGTTTCAGTAATTAGCAGTAAACCATACCCTCCACACATCAAATAAAGATAACAAATAACTCTTAGTCAGAAAACAGGTGAAATCGCCTGTTAATTGGGGTTGACTAAAAATGATACAACAAAATTTCCATGCATTATTCATGAAAGAGTTAAACAGAGACACACAGAAAAGAAATAGCTAATCAACACAGTAGACAACATATACCCACTTTAGAAACATTTCTGGTTGCCGAACAACCAACTGAATTTTATTTTTAAAAATCTTTGGGATCTGAAAGAAAAACAGTTCTTCACCCTTAAGATGTCCAAAAATAACTATAATTTTCCCCAGTGCAAACTGCATCCAAACTGAAGTTTTTGAAATCTCCATACTAACATGTGGTTACAAGTGATGTGTTTCTATATAAAAATACATATTTTTCTCCAACAGAAAAAGAGATGAGGTTAAATTAAAATGACAAATATACTTGGACAAATATTGTACTTCTGAAGTTCAGTGCCTATGTTAAGGTTAGGCAAAGGTACATTATTTCTCTCCAATAATGTATTTAAATAATACTTAATTGTTCACTGGCCATACTCTGTTTTTCTTCAATAAGTAAACTACCAGAGAATTCTTCTTGCACTTTAAAAAAACAAACTATGCTACAAGAATAGCTGCTCCAGCTTAGTACGACTTTTCCATCTGTCCTGAGAAGGGGGTATTTTCTCCAGCTTTCTACAGAGCCTACTATGGAAAAAGGCAGAAGCAACATTTTTTATATCTATGGGAGCCTGTAATGCTGTCACTAGGACTTTTTCAATCATTCATCATTATGACTAGAGCAATTTAATTTTTTTAGATTAACTCCTTCTCAAAAAAATCATAAATTCAGATGTGAACACCGCAATATTTTATACGAGCAAATGATACTGCAGTAGGATTTGCAGGAATACATTCTTTAAAGTTTTGGAATCTATTAGTCATACTTGAAGTACAGGTTGCAAAGGAAAGTTTCTACCCTGACAAACACTGATTTTAATCTGCAGCAGAATCAATCAGTAGAATCATCTCCAGGCAAAACACACATTCAAAAGTGAGGGATACACACTCTGTTGGCAACAATTTCAACCCTGGTGACAGTGAGACTACAGGTAAACAGAGCAGGGAAGCAAGGAGGTGCAGATAAGTAGAAATGGAGACTCATTTTGCAATTATCAAATCCATACTAGTTGTATTTTTAAATCAAAACAGGAAAATCAGAAAGCAAGCTTCTGTTCCCATAAAACCATGTTGAGCTCTTAAACAAAAGTCTACAAACGTTTCTGTCTGGAAAATACTTATTTCTGCATTTTTGTGTTTTTTAAAGTAACAGGAAAGAAGACATAAAAAGACCAATTAAAATATGAAATCTGAAACCACAAGAAGACCACTGGCGATAGCTTTGTCACTTATAAAACACGCATTTAAGTGATCTGCCTGCATTGACCCTACTATCAAACAAGTAAGTACATTCAAGTTGTTAATAATTAATCAAATTAAGTAAATGTGAACTCTTTTATGATGGGCAGTACCAATGCATGGGTGGCTACAGCCCTGTGGCGTGTAAGCTGTGATATATTCATGAAGTCCACCCTGAAGAATGAGACTTCTCAGTGTGATGGGCCAGGTGATAAGTTTTTGCATACTGACCAAAGTCAAAAGAGCTCTGCTATAGTTGGCAAATTGACCCAGGTGTCCCCCAAAATGCTCATGTGTCGAAAGATTGGTCCCCAAAGTCTTACATAAGTGGTTAATGGGGTCATGAGTAAAGATGGAAGCCTCAGCCAAGTATACTGTCTGATGTTTGGGTGGAAGCTGCTATAATCAAATCACCGTTACTTCATAAGTACACACAAGGGACACGGGAAACCCGTGTGTTCTCCATCTCTCCTTCCCGGCCGGACATGTGATTGTTTTCTTTGTTCACACACTGTCACCCTCTGGTTCCTCCACATTGCAGAATCAACACAGTCCCCTTGATCCCAAGCTGTGAACCTGCAACCACAATACCCCAGAATAAAACTCCTATTTATGCTAGCTTCTCTAAGACATTTTACTTAGAGCAATGAAAGACTGACTACCACAGCTTCTCTTTAGAGAAGGGCAGGAAAATCGTAACTCCAAAACCAGCTGCCAGTTAGGATCACAAGATTGGGGCAGCTGCAAAGTGGCTGCTTTGGGCTCTTATGTTCAGCTTGAGTCCTATCTTAGCTGCACTTTAGATTCAGCTCCCTGCCAATATACCTGGGAGCAGCATATAATGGCCCAAACACTTGAATGCTTGGGTCCACACAGGAGACTCAGATGCAGCTGCTGGTTCCTGTCATCCGCCATCTCTAGCTGCCTGTCTGGTGTGGCCACTTGAGGACTGGCAGATACAAATTCCCTTGTGCTGCTTCACCCACCTTTTTACTCTGTGTTTCAAACAGATCTTAAAACAAACAAACAAACAAACAAAAAAAACACATCACTATATACTAAGGGAACTGAATAATTCGAAGACTAAATAAGATCCTCCCCCTCTATTCTTTCAAAATATTTTGGGGACATTATTTTAAACATATTTGTATATTATGTGCTTGCATATATACTATCTAACAAACATGTTTAAATAATCTTATGTAATATCTGGTTTTTTATATATATTTTTATTTTTATTTGAAAGGCGGATATACTGAGAGGAAGAGAGACAGAGAGTAAGAGCTTCCATCCCAAGTAACCTCAATGGCTGGAGCTGAACCAATCCAAAGCCAGGAGCCAGGAGCTCTTCCGGGTCTCCCACCTGGGTGTAGGGTCCCAAGGCTTTGGGCTGTCTGCCACTGCTTTCCCAGGCTACAAGCAGGGAGCTGGAAGGGAAGCAGGGCCACCGGGATTAGAACTGGTGCCCATGTGGAATCCCAGCACATGCAAGGACTTTAACCACAACACTATGGCACTGGGCTTGTAATATCTGGTTTTATGTTATTAATTAGAAAATTTTGATACTAGGTCATTCTTATCTAACAAAGAAGGCAATTCTAAATTTCATAACAAATTACCACTTTGTCCTAAAAATACAGTACAAAAAAACCCCCAGGGAAACCATATACTAATATTTTTATTTCCATTAAAATTTCTAGCAAAACTGTAGGTAGTAAAAAAGGTGCCACCAAAAAAAAAAAAGAGCTAGCAAAAATTACATTGCAGATTTTTCATGATGTTGTAATGATCCTACTTTCTAAGAAAACTGAACACACACAGGAGTCTCATGATGTGTTTTAAAACACTCTCATTAATGTCTTCTTTGTTGTTTTGTAGTTTAAGTTTTTCAGTTGATAGCCCAGCTTGCCAAAATTTGCTTCAACAAAAGAGTAAACTGCTTGGGGGAAAAAAAAAAGGCAGGCAAACAGACTAGAGTAAGCCAATATGTTGCGCTGCACACAGCCAGCATTTGCCCTGTAAAATATATGCTTCTCAGTATGCACATTGCGTAATCCCTTTAAGTAACAATTACTAAGTTAAACAATGCAATCTGTCCCACTGGCAAGAAGTGTGCTATGCAGTAGATTAGGGGATCCCATTAGGAGATGAACTCTGCTTCCAGCCCTGAGGCCCATAAAGATTGAACACATTCCAGACAGGACACAGCCAGTCAGTCTGTCTCAGGTGTGGTGGAAGAGCAGCAGCTGTTCCACTCAAGATTATACTTTACAAACCAATTCAAGGAATTGCCCGGCATCATATGCGAGTGTAGCAGGTGCACCTCAGACATAAAAAGAAAATGTTTGAAAATGCTCTGGCCAAAAAAAGTATTTATTAATCAAAAAATAAAGAAAACCTACACAGAGATGCTACTTCACAATACATTCTTCACAATACAACACAGGCTCACTGAACTCAGTCTTAACAGAATCCAAGTATTTAAGAAACAGCATTGTCCAATTTAATTGTTAAGTTTTATTTTTTGCCATATTTCTAATGTGGAGAAATAAAGAAGATATACTCATATTATTTTTTGCTCAAATTTGTAAGAACTATTTTATCATATGTTATTCATGCTTCTAAAATGATATATTAAACATACAGTTAAATTGCCATGCTTTGTTTTAATCTCCAGGGGTAACTTCTTTCCTGAACATCTTTAGATTTTATTACACAAAAGTATACACATACTAAAACGTATGTATTAAATTACTGCATATATCAATTTCCACAAAACACAATTATAAAAAAAAACTGATATAAAAATGGCCAAAAGTTCATTACAACACACTATTTTACACCCAGAAGACTGGACAGATTCTAAAACATTACTTATTGAACATTATACACTGTACACTATGGCATTTTTATCAATCATTTATATATAAAATATGCATATCAAAGATATGTCAAGTAGTAAGTACACTCATCATTCATATCCAGTAAACACTTTGTCATTCACTGTTATTTTTGTGTAAAATCTTTTATATCATTTTAGAGTGAAGATATATTACAGCTAAAGTTTATAAATATTAAAACATGAAATATTTTACACTCTAATTTTCTATATGGCAATTTTAAAAACAATGAAGATCATAATTTTAGAATGACTGATTTGTGGCTGTTGCTGAAGGACAATACTATGGTGGTAAAATGAGGTGGGGGGAAAATGAGGGGTGGACGGCGAAATCCTGTCCCTAGGGAATCATATCATGAAAGATAAAAATACATACTAAAAGCACAATCTAAGAAGTCCTGCTAATTAAAACTTTTCTTTTTGACACAAAAACTTAATTGAAGCTTAGACAGATACTGTCTCGCAGATAGGAGAGTTCAATAGTACCCCCCACAAATTTTGAAAGACACTCAAACATCACTTAAGTGAAACTGCTCTTTACAAATCTTTGTCTAGAGAAATTCACTGCCTCTAACATGCTACTCACACAATTCCACATTAACACAGGCCTCTGCAAAATGGAAAGAGATTTTCTCTGTACCTTGGGAGGAGATGGTGGAAGCGAGGGACTATAGTTTAGGCCGTCTCCACAAACACTGCCATGCAGAGATAAAACAGGAGCTGGAGCAGAGTAGATGCTGTCATTATCCGGAGAGTACTGCGACTCAAATGTGGACTCATCCACCAAGTCAGCATCATGTGTGTCCACCTGAAAGAAGACAGTAATATCAGTCAGGAATCCAGTTCCAGTACCAGTGTGTCAGTCTCCCCTTGAGACAAAAAAGCTTATGAACAGTAGTGTGTGTGTGTGTGTGTGTGTGTGTGTGTGTGTGTGTGTGTGTGTGTGCGCGCGCGCGCACCTGCCCTGTTTTCTGTATGCCCTCTCTCCACCCTCGTCCAGACATCACAGAATGAATACTACAATGGAACAAAGAATGACTGCCCATCTCCTGCAGAGGGTACTGGCCTTGAAGACTATATTATTCCATCAATAAAAGTGCAATAAGTCTCAACAAACAAAAGGCTTGGATCAATTCTAAATTTAAATAGTCTATATGTTAAGGAAAATATTTACTTTTTCTAATTAACATGCCAGTTCTTAGCAATTTTCTAATAACACAAATGAGGTCATCACCATCCCTATTCAAAGCCTAACTCATCGAGGCCCTTCCTTAGAGATATATGTTAACCTCACTGAAAATAAATTTCTGGGTAAATTATCTTTAACTAGATTTTGAAACTACTCAAGTTGCAGAAACCAGAGAGAGAATCTGCAACTTTATGCTAAAATTATACTAACAAGGAACCTAATTATGATTTGGTAATGGGTGAGATTTTAAGTTACAAACCTATGTTAGAAAACTCATACAGAATGAGATAATTTCACTAAATATTAACATACAAATTCTAGTACTATCTTACGTAGCAGATCCAAAAGAATTAAATCAAAATGAACCTGATTATCTTCCTGCAGTGCTCTCATAGTCAAACCTTAGAAAAGGCAGAAAACAATTAATTCTACCTATCTTTGATAGCAACAGTATTTTCTGTCTTGAATCTTGATGGCAAAATCCCATATGTTCTATCTCTTCTTTGTGCCAGAAACCAGAATACTGTAACTTTACACTAAATCAAATTTTATTTAAGTGTTAAATATGCAAATTTACTAGTTTCAAATTGACATGTTCATATTCAACAGTGGCTCACTGTTTGGAGGCTTCCTCTTCTAAATGTACATTCTGTACAACATTCCAGGTAATAAAAACTTAGCCTTTGCTGTCTAGATAAATAGTATCAAGTAAGGCTTGTGCCATGGATTACAACAAATATTTACACTGAAAAATGTATGCCTCAACATGATTTGATAACTTACTGATATCTCAGAAACTTAGCAGAGTTCTTGGTAACTATTTCAGTCAGTTATTGTAGGATTGCACTAGGAGAGCCACCAGTAGTTGAATTAGCCACCCATTATTACTGATTGCTATGCTTATTCCAAGATATGAACTTGCATCCAGTGGCACTGATCCTTTTGATTGATATTCTAGAGTAAGTGTTGCCTTTTTATCTTTTTGACATTTCAAAAAGAATTTGGAAGTCAGGTATTATTTAGCTAATAGTACTCAACATAGCTCATAGCATACTGGTCTTGTTTTGAAGTGCTAACATATGCCCATGAAGATTAGAGCCAAAAGGTATACAGCATGTTAAGCATTATGTTAAATTATTGCATTCACTGTAACATGCACATAACTTTCCAAATGGCTATTTCAAGAATTGCACTTAAAAATATTAACAGAAAGAATTGTCTCTCCCAAAATGATATTACCAAAATGAATGTAGAATCAAAGAAATAATTCACACTCTGGTTCAAACCGAGATGTGCATAATCAGCTATAAAAACATAATGAAGAATTTCACAGGTCTTAAATCTCTTCTAGACAAACACTCAAGTCTGTAAAAAGCAGGGCATAGTTAGGTGTCGAGCTTTAATGGTGGGAGTGATGTGAATAAGAAATATAATTAAGTGTGTTGCATCAAAGTCATGTGCATATTTACATCTGGTAGATGATACTGTTCTTTAATTATCAACAGCACTTTTCCATCTACCTAAGGTTTTACAGAAAGAGATAATTAAATATTTAATCCTAATCAATGATTTTATAAAAAGCAAGCAGAAACAAAATCTGTATTTTTGGTTTTCTAGTAAATCATTTAGGTCTACACACTTCTATTTATAGAATAAATGAGTGACAATAAGTGAATCAATTAATATGATTTTATGCTATCAATGTTTAAAAAGAAGATGTACCTACCACTTCTTTTAAAGGTAGCTGAAATATTGACTTACGCCTGAAAATAGCTAAAGAATGCATGGAAATACATTGGCATAAAATCAGAACAAACAAGTGTTCTAAATAGCTTTAGTTATGATATAAAGACAAATTATACATGTTGATCAGTGCAGTTTTAATTGAATTTTCTCCACAGACCAACATACACTCATAATATATTCCATATATACGTATATATATATGCATATATACATATTTATGACTTTTTAAACCATGAGAACCATTTGAGTTGACCATAACAGTTTTGCTTTCAAAATTACAAAATCTCTTCAGCATATTCTGGAAGGCAAATCAAGACAAAGACTTGTGAAGAAAGCTTGAGAAGCGTCTCCACTAACCAGAGCCAAGTCAGCCCTGAAGAGGGCTGCGTCAGTCAGCCCCTCATCCTCACTGGAGTGTGGTGGATACAGAAAGGACTCCTCCTTAGCAGAGACGTAACCTTCTTCTGGTGAAAGCTGCAGGGATAACACAGTGTGAGGACCAGTTCCAAGAAAAGAGAGAACAGTGAAGGGGAGACAGAGAAGAAAGGGAACAGGAGGAGAGAAGAGAAAAACAACAGGACAGTTCTGAAATGATCACATGATTTTATATAGAACAATGAGCAAGAAATTTGCTATTCATATTAAGCATTTTACTCCCATAAGATTCAACGAGGATATTAATCCCAATGGGAACAACATGTTTTTGATGAGAATCTTCCTTCTAAGTGTTTTTCATTCTTCTTACAAAAGCTTAACAAGATCAGCAATTTATAAAAGTCTTATGGTGATCTTCTGGTTATTTTTACCTACCACATATTCTAGCCAAACAATGGCATCCTGAAAAATAAAGCAAGTCTTAGGTGTTAAGACATCAAAGAAGCTGCAGAAGAGGAAAGCAAGAAATGTAGATTACTCCACAAGGAATGTTCTGTGATCCCTGCTTTGCTTACAAACAAAGCAAAAGAGAGAGAACACTCTACATCTGTCTTCTGCTCTAAGCTATTAAATTGTGACTTTGATCACACTAACCTCAAACTTAAAACATCTTTTTCCATCTCAGAAAAGATGGACTAAAATATTTACAGAATTTTCTGGTCTATATCACACTGTATCAGCAATATACATAAAGTATTGCTGTGAACAAAATGTTCCCTTTCCTTCTTACCTAATTTTTCCCTTTTTTCTTAAGTATATTTTCATAGGTTCTGAAATACTTTGCAGAATAAAAAGTGATACATGAATAAATTATATTTAGATATATGGACTATGTTTATTTGAACAAATTCATAACAGTTAATGAATCACTTTTGTTGTTTATGTAAACTGAGCTATTTGAATTTTTTTCCTAAAGAGAAGGTATATTTACCCTTTCATTTAAACAATAATCATATGCCAGGAAAAAATCACAAATCTAACTCAATTTCAACATAATCCAGAGACTGGTACACAGTGCAATCACTATAAATAATGAAATAGCATACTTGCATTAGTTGCTTCAATTATTACTGCGTGGACCCATGCCCTATTGGGAGCAGTGCCATAAAATGAGGAGCCCATTTTACAAAGTTGAATTCCCTGCTGTAATTTATTAGACAACAAATGGGTTGTAACCAACAGAATTCAGGAACTTGAGACTCTCTGAGAGAGATCCTACTAGACTCCTGGGATCAAAGACTCTACTGTTAGATATCAATCTTATTAAATTTTCAATACCCCATCAAACTGCTGTTTTCATATTTTACATGCTATTTCTTTCAAATACTTGATCCTGCATTTATTAATTCTTATAATGAAATGAAAAAAGTCAAAAACAATCACAAAGTCACTTTCTATTTCTTTTTTTCTTTTTAAAAGTGTTACTGAAAATGAAATCTTCTTCCCCATGTGGCCAGTGACCACACTGAAGACCTAAGGTCATCATTCAATCACAAGAACACTTGTCATATACATTTTATTTGACCTATCTAAAAAGAAATCAATACAATCAAAATTCTTACAGGTAAAGGCTTAGCAACTCCTATTCTCACAGTGCCTGAGGGTGCCCCCTTTAGCGTCTCCACAGCTTCTTCAAGACTGCTGTTTTCCAAGTTCACGTCATTGACAAACATGAGTCGGTCTCCAGGAAGCAGGCGTCCATCTTTTTCAGCAATGCCACCAGGCACCAAAGAACGAATTACAATCACAGTGCTTGCTGGATCAATTGGATCCTAAGGCAATGGAAAAGTAAAGAGAACTCAGTTACCCTGCAGTGTGTTTTTATTTTACTACATGTCTATTCTGAAGTATAAAGGATGAATAATCATTTCGAATACCTTAAAAGAGTTCATATAAAACTTCTAATGAATTCTATGGGCTAAGGTTTTTTTTTTCCTTTTCAGAGTTTCTATACAGTTCACTGCAATCAATGGGACCTCATTTGCTAACAATTCTGAATTACAATTTTAATTATTTGACCAGTTTCAATTTTGTGTGATGTTATATTTTTATTGTCATGATGGTGACACACATCTAACAGGTTGTAAGATGGAAAAGAACCATAATGACAAGTCTGTAGCTGCCATTTGAGGCTAAATATCAGGTGTATTAATTATGAACCATAATTGTTAAATAGGATGTAAGCATATGGAACATCAACTTTCCACCAGACTTGAGTGTAACGAAGCTATGACCTGTATGTTTGAATTGAAGAAGCATGGAAAGAAGCCACATAGTATTTGCTGATGCAGTGTTTTCATTTGCACAGCAACCTTCACATCAGAACAAGACTCCAGAATCAGGTCCCGTGCAAACAGTTCCCTGGAGTCATCTCAGTTGCCTTTCTGTTCAGTACCACTGACAGGAGCAACAGCTGCACTCCACGGGACAGCTTCCAACATGGCCTCATTTGCTCAGCACAGAACACAATTCAGGTAAGGCCACAGACCGCAGGTGGCCAATCTGAACACTCATGAATTCAATACAGTCACGGGAATATCAGAACTCGCAGTATAATATGTACTATTAACAGCTAATAAAACAGATAATATTGCAGATTTATATTAAGACATGACTCAACAATTAAGAGCATGCAAATAAAATTTCTTCTGCAAATAACCCCCAGCAAATTGTATTTCCGTGATAATTCTGAAATACATTCTGCATGTTCTTCAAAATACCATGAGTTCAAATATTAAAACACTAGTTGAATTCCATGTTAAAAGAAATTCATTATGATAATCAATAAATCATAGATGGATATTTTGGAAGATAAAAAACAGCTGATGATTTTTCTAAGATTTTTACTTTTTCCTCTGACATCAGCACTATCCCTTTTAGCATCCCTTCTCTTTGTATGAGACATGCTTAAAGGTAGCATTTATTTACCTGGTAATCTAAAATGCTAAAACCAAGTCCTTTGCTCCCTTTCTCCAGCTCAATGTACTGAACGCCAGCCTCCCACATTGCCAAGGGCGCAGGACCCTCCTCTGTGTTCGGGACCACCGCAGGCACCTCCACCGGATCCTCTGTCTCCGAAGATCCGATGAACTCGCCTAGATCAACGTGAGGCTGCAGAACAGACCAGACAGCTCTTATTTCGGAGACACTAGACCGGCAGACACACATATCAGCATTACTGGGGGAAAAAAAAGAGTTCCCTAGCTTTTGTCCTGAACAAAACATTCTCAAATGACCAACAGCTTGTCTTGAAATCTTTAGGAAATAAAGTGAGAAGTACGGAAAGTTGCTAAAAAGGAAGAAACATCTAATTAGTAACAAGAATTTAAAACACATGTTCCAAAGTCTCCTTTTAAAACATACCAGCATGATTCTGCATGATTTTCAGATTTACCTGTATAGTCAGAAAAATGAGGTCAGCTATTTGGCTGTTAAATGAAAAGCACTCCTAGCATAAATAAGAAAGGTTCAAGAGAAAGGGGGAAAATGTAAACACTTCGTATTGTAGCCAAGTAAGGCTTCCAACATGCTATCATTTTTGCACAGGGTTATTTCCTTAATAAAGTAAGGTATACAATGGAAACACATTCCATTTCAAATGAGATTTACCTAGACTTGAAGCTTATGTCTATGACTTTTATATACATTACCCCAACACAGTCATTTTTGAAGTTTAAACAAGATAACATCTATATAAAGAACCTGATATAGAAACAAGGATTCAAAATGCTAGCTTCTTTCACTATCAGAATTTGTACACTATTTTTGCACTTAATTTTTATACAACCAAGAATATGAATAAAAATCTTTCCACATGCTTTATACCATATAAATATTGATTTTAAATATGTGGTGCTACTCTCTGAGTGTTGTGTGATTGGGAACTTTTTCTTGTCCTACCCTAATTATCCAAATGTATATTAAACTATATACTTTATTCTTCAAGGTTTTCAAAATTAGTCTATTGTACTGATTCCTTCAGCAAAAATGTAAATCAAATCAGTATCATCTCTCATTGTAGTTCAAATGAGATTAGACTATAAAATATGCAAACTCTAAATCCTAAGTTTAGATACTCTGTAGTCTGGAAGAGGGTAATTAGACCCATGTCTTGACATTTTGATCTAAATGGAAAAGAATAATCAAATAAGAAAGTCAAAGTTCCTGAATGTAACAGAAAATTACCTGATATGTGGCATTATTTGTTCAAGCTTATGACACTTTAAAAGTACAATATCCAAATAAACAAAATCAATACAAAAAAATTTTTAAAAGCCCCTATTTTAGTCATTCACTCAGCAGCAACTGTGTGCCAGACACTGAATTGAGTGTAACATCAACATATTTTTCCAAATAAGAACCACATATGTAAAGGTCAGATCCTAAAAATGATACCAATATAAGCACCTATTTAGCAGAAATGTTGCAAGAAAGCCATACAAGAACTAGTGTGCAATGGTACCTACTGTCAGTATATCATGTAGCTTGCCTAACAGCCATCTGAAATAGGTATCTTGATTAATATCTTACAACACAGAAGACTGAGGTTTATGAAGATGAAATATGACTTGTCCAAGGTTACACAGCTACAAAGCATCAAATCTGACTGAAACCCATTTCCATCTGACTTCCAGGTCTAACCTTATAAGCCACTGGATATGTGATGAAATCAAATGCCAAAGGGAGAGAAAGAAGCTCAAAAGAAATGTTAATGCCATTTGGCCTCTTCTGTATGCATTCATATTAGTCTCACATCTTTAAACATGATACCTTTTCTGTTAGTTCAATATCACATAAGTCCAGGGTACCCAGCTCTGACTGGGTCGTGGGTGGTACAGTTCGACGACAGCACACCATTGTCACTTCTATAGGCAGTTCTTTTAAAATATTGACCACATCTTGGTGATTTTCCCCAAGCAAAGTGATGCCATTCACCTGTGGGAAAAGACACATAAAAAACAGTGACAGTATGAATACTCTTTTGAAAATTTCTTGTTTAATAAACCTTATGATGATGACAGGTGAGATCTTTGGAAGGACCATTGAAAACATTTTCCATGAAAGTTTACAGTTTATTGGAACTGGAATTACCAGAAACTGCATTGGCAGAAAGCTACCAGCTTTCAGCCATATTTGGTCTTCTAGTGAAGAAAATCAGGAAGAAAGAGCTAATAAAACTATTTTCAAAGGAAAGACAGAAGAGGAAAAGGTTATAAAATTGAATATTTTATAGAACTGTCAAGTGAAAAAATAAAAATGAAAATGCCATATATGTTATGCTAGCAAGTTTTTAAGTGGGGGTAAAGAACATATTTAAATCTACTTATTTATGCATAAAATACTGGCAGATTGTACAGAAAAAAATGCCAATAGTTATATAACAAAAAGTGCTAAGAACTGGAATAGACGAAGATAAAAAGGAATTTTTCATATGCATCTTTTTTTCTGCAGTTCTGAAATGTACTCTACAAATAAAATATGTGTTTAAAAAATTTTAAGGAAAGATGTTATAACTGCCTTTTCCTTTAAAAAAAAAAGGAAAAAATTACCATGGAACTAGGTGTGAAGCTCAATTATACACAAAAAAATTCCTGCCATGAATGATTATTTGGAAATCTCTCTCAGGTATTCCTTGGAGAGGAATCTAAAAGAAGAACTCATCTATTCACCACATGAAGCCTCCTGTAACCTTTTCAGATTCTTATTTAGGGAAGAGAAAGAACAGAGCGCCTTACTTCCAACAGCTCATCTCCACTGAAGAGCTTCCCACTGTGTCCAACTGGACCTTCTGGTAGAACAGATCGGATGAAATGATGCCCTACTGTGGCTTCCAGACTTATGCCCAACCCACTATTCTCACTAAACTTGCTCACATGGGCCACCTGAAAAGAAAAAGAGTGTCAGAATCTTAAGGTGCATCCTTTGCTTCCTTTTGTTTTCTTCTGCCTACTCAGGCAAATAATTTGGTTAACCTGTGTTTCAAAAACAAAACAACACAAAGGATCAATCTGCCTCTAAAATACAACTAAAATTGGTTTGTTTCACAAACATAGGTACATTTGTGCTCTTTGTGTCCCAAAATAAGTACATGAGAGTTGAAGAGAAGAACCTAACCAAAATGGTGCTGTTAGGAAAGGGCTTTATAACAAAATGATTTGAACAAAGAATCGTACTCCTGATCTTGGGCCACCATCATGGGATAACAGTGTTTAAAAGTGAACCAAAGTTTAACCATAAAGAATTAATTTCTTTCTCTTTCAAGAATTCTAAGGGATCATCCACAGAATCCAGTAATTATACCAATAATGTCAAAAATTATGCTAAAGAGACCCTGTTCACTCCCTGTTTTACAGCCAAAACAACAGGGATGAAGAGCTCAGGAAAACATTTTAACAAGAGTTCTTTCAAATCTGAAAGGTATCATTTGCAAGATTCACGTCAGAAGCACCATCATCTAATGCAGACAGCCAACACTCGATGAACTGCACCTCACCCCTGAAAATCCAAGTTATCTTTCTCTTGCTCAGAAAAGCCTTCAAGAACTCCACTAAGAATGCTCGTCATTCCTTCTCTCTGTTATTGACTCCTTCTATGTCATCCTTTGCATAGTTTAATTACATGGCAAATATGTTAGAGTCAGTTCTATGTCTTCCCCCCTCCCAAACTCTACCTGACCAGGCACCACAGATTTCTGGGTTCTTTTTCACAGCACACTTGTGCCCCGAGTAGTTTGCTGGGAATACCACCAAAAAAAAAACCCTGCTTAATCCAGGGCAGCTAAAAGTGCAGTCATATGTCTTAGGTTTATGGACAAATAATGAGGGACTCTCATTCTTCCATTGTCATTTGAAGATGACAGTTAGAGAATCCTCCCTATAAAAGGAATCCCTGAGCTTTTTCACGTTAAATTAATTCTTACTAAACTTAGCATCACTGAATTCCTCTTGACTCAAAATAGTAGTGACAGCTCTACCTAATTATTTAACTGTTAATTATCTTGGGCGTTCAGTATCAGTGGGATAAACATCAAACACAACAGTGCTTGGTACAAAGTGCTCAGAGCCGGTTATTAGCAGTACTCATCATTATCCTTTGTATCTCTGCTAATGTAGAAATATGTCATTTTTAGAAGCAACATGAAAAAATTCTACCCACCAAAGAAATTTGGTTTTCTGTTCAAAATCTGTGAAATATGCCAGTGTTAAACCTCTTTTACAATATGGCAATGCTAGAAATACAAACCAATAATGACACACATTCTGGGTGATATAAAAAAGTACAGAGAATTAACCGCTTGAGGAAGATTAACATGTAACAGCTATGAAGGAGTGGAAAAGAGTTCTTTTACTATACTACGTATGTATTATGTCAATTCTTATTTTAAAGTAACATCTCATTTTAGTCTGTCTTCCATAAATAATAAATTTTAAACTCAAAAAAAGTTTCCTTGTGTGCCGAATGATTAATATTACTACAACTTTAAAATATCAATTAAATATGAGCTTTAAAACTTTCAGCTAACTTATTTCAGCTCTTTAGTTACTGTATAACTTTAGTCCAACTTGACAAGCAACTTCGGTCTTCTAAGAAAGCTCTGACCTCTGAAACTCTCCTGCAGAGTATTTCTATTCTTGCCTTGAGCTTCCTGTCAGGCACTGTTACAAGCTAGAAGACTATACAGGGATGCTCACTCACCACTATTTCGTAGTTAATGCCCATAATATGTTGCCACTTGGCCAACAGAGCAGCTTCTTGTTGCTGGGCATCCTCTCTGTCTTCCATTTCAGCTGACAGTAATGGATACCCTGAAACGGTGAAGGCAAAGCAGTTAGCAATGTCTTGCAACCAACAAGCTTCACCAGGGACGCTGTCTTCAGAATCTGCCTGTTGAGCTGCATTTAATCAATGTTGTTCTTTTTAACACATATAACCTAAATCTTAAGTCATTTTCATTCAAAAGCCCACAAACTATCTTACTTGAAAGAACGGGGGAGGGGTCTGCATTGCTTCTGGATTGATCTGATGGTCCTTTGGTGACCTCAGCAAAAAGCGCTACCGTTTTCTAGGTCTGCTTCTCTTATTCATTTCCTTTTAACTTTTCAAGTGGAAAGACTATGCTATTATTTAGGAAACCAAATGAACATTAGCAGATAATGTATTCAACTTTCATGCCAAAGGGGAAAATGCAAAAAATTAAGAACAATGAATAATTTATGCATTAACATAAAAACCATTAATGAAATCTCACTATTGGCATAAAGTAAAATGGAAAAAAAGAAAAATCACTAAACGAATGACATAAACAATATCTAAGAAGCTTGGCTTAGAAACATTGAAAACAATTTTAAAGTCATAATCAAAGGTTTGCATATTTCATCATAGCTCTCACTCATAAGGGTTGTCTTTCAACAATTTCTATTAGCGTGTATTTGGAAAAATAATTTTAATATTCCTTTTAATATTCAAATTTGAGCCTTAAAGACAAGTCCTACATTGAAATCTACTTATCTCCTTTTAGAAACAAGGAAAATTAAGGAAACTTTTTTTCACTTCAGGCATACTTTACAGATTTTTTTAAACTTATTTTTTTAAACTTTTTAAAAATAAAATGTCTCTGTTTACTCTTGAGAAATCAGAAACAATAAGCTGTAAGCAGAAAATTAAAGACTATCCTCAAAAGATTGTTTCTTTCTTCAAAGTTCAGATAGAATGCACAGAGTACAAAGATTTGCACAAAATAATTCCCCCTTTTTTCCTTTTTTTAATTTGAAAGGCAGAGTTACAGAGAGAGATCTTCCGCCTCCAGGTTCACTCCCCACATGGCTGCAATGGCAGGAGCAGAGCCCATCTGAAGCCAAGAGCCAGGAGCTTTCTTCAAGCTTCCCAGGTGGGTGCACAGGCCCAAGGACTTGAGCCATCCCCTGCTGCTTTCCCAGATCATACTCAAGGAAGTGAATCGGAAAAGGAGAAACAGCCAGCACATGACCCAGCATCCATATGGGATTCCTGTGCCATAGGTGGTGGCTTACCCTACTATGCCCAGGTGTCAGCCCCACAAAAATAATTTTCTTTAAAACTATTTTCCACAATTGTTGTAGTTTCTCAATATGTTAAAGAACCATAAAGCTTCAGTATATAATTAATTACTACAGGGCAGAATTCCATGAGAGAGATCCATCTTGTACATTGTTTGTTGAGTTTGTTACCCAAATAGCTTAAAGCAATATGACTGGTGAAGGAATCACACAACCCAGGGCATAGCTGACGGTTGTAGCAGTACACATTAAAAAAAAAATTAAAAATCCTAAATATACTGCTAACACTTGACAGACCCCAAGCTTCTGACCAAAGAGTTCTCAGAAAGATATGATAACAGCTGCAAAGAATGAATTTCCAAATCAAATTCCCCATGTTAATATTTGCCATTGTGAAAAAATGATTGAGAGCAAAGGTTTCCCTAAATAGGACAGTTCGTTGTTTTGAAAGGTCTTCGGTGATTGTTCTAGAATATTTCATAATTTTATTATTTGTTAAGTAAGGTAGAGAGATGTCTATTGCATAAAAAGAGAGAATTAAATTAAAGCCTTGTATGAAATAACTTCAAAAGGCATGTGGAAAAAAAGGAATGGAAAAGTTAAGTTTATTCTGGTATAAAAATTTTGAAATCTATACATAGTTTCTTCATAGATGCATTTTCCAAGAACTTTTAAGAGTAGCTTTAAATATAATTAATATATTACTAAAAAGGTTTTGTAAAACAAAACAACAACAAAAGACACAGAAGCAGGCATCCAGGTATGGCAAACTGAGCAGTCTCTGAGCAGTCTCTATAAAGGAATATTGGTCCAAGTCTCCACTCTGTTCCACTTCTAATCTTGGTTCCTGCTAATGCTGCTGGGAAGCCAACACATCATGTCCCCTGTGGCCCCACATGGAGACCCAGAAGCAGCTATAGGCTCCCGGCTTTGGCTTGGACCAGCCCAGCCCCAACTATTATAGATATCTCAAGAGTGAATCAATTAAGGGAAGACTTCTTTCTTTCCCTCTCCCCTCTGTCTCTATCTCACTCTCTATTTCTCTATGTCACTGCAATATTTTTTAAAAAAATAAACTTCAAAAACAAAAAGCAATATGAAAGAATATACTGATTCAGTATGATAATATAATACATATAAGTAACATTCATATCTATAAATAAAGATTTACAAGCACCTTTTATTAAACATTTGTTAGTAATTTATGATACAGCCCTACGGCTTACTCACACTTGCAGCCATGCCTTATCTAAACAATGAAGACTATCATAATCAATTTCTAATTTCTTACCTTCTTCTTCAATTGGTAATATGCTGATATTTCTTCTCAAAGATAAAGAATCTTCATCTTTTTCATGATTTTCTTAAAAATAAAACCATTTTAGTATTTATGTCTTCAATGAACCGCATCTGGTCTATAAACACACTGCACTTATTTGCTCCCCTAGATGAGAGGATATTTCTTTTTTCTTTTCTTTTAGATCAACTCTCAATATAAGCATGTGCTCTAATAGGAAACTCCTGTTACAGGACAAGGAATGAATACAACCCTCCCCTGAACTGCTTCCCTTTCTCGAGGACGGCAATAATAGCATGAGGCACAACAAACACAATGGTCTGTATTTTACATATAAAACAGCATTTTCCAGCCAATAGTATGGTTTTGATCAATTTACTCGTCCATCAGTGAGCTGCATTGGATATGAGCGATTTGTACAGACTCACATCCAGCTTGTGACGGCCAATTGTGAAAGTGGATAACTTCAACGATAAGCTGGGCATTTAATTATGAGTTCACGTAAGTCATCCAGATGGAAAAGCACCCCTTCAGAGAGAATACTGTCATGTGGCCCAAGGTAAGGCAAAGACAGAAACGGAAACAAGAGTGCAGTTTCCAACTGAGAAAAGCTGATTAGATGAATAGCACAGAAAGAAATCTGCTTTATGCAGAGCCTATGCATTGTTAATGCTCATTCCGGTTAATCTTGACTTTTTAAAAACTCATTTGGTTCATAATACATAGTTGGAATAAAAACTGTCCCTTAAGAATAGTTTCAGAATTAGAACAAAAAATCAAAATATAAAGGACTAACCAACATAAACTGACTTGGCATTACCTTTGCTCACAGCTGTGCTAGCAAGAGATGAATCCGCATCTTTCGTGTCTTCCTCCCTTGCAGTGAGCTCCATTTCCTGCTTTGTCCCTCTTCTCATTAGTGTCAGCCGCACAGTCTGCCCTGTGTGTCGCAACACCTCCACTGCCTGTTGATTGGTAAAACCCTGAAGGTTGGTGCCATCTACCTATGATAACAAGGCGTGTTAAAAATAAATATTTCTATTACTAATTCACGAAATGCGTGTTTGTTGCTTATTGATGTGAACCGAATTGACAATGAGTAGTCATGAGGTTATTCCACCACTGTTTGGGAATCCATATTAATTTACATGCTCTAGAAACACCTGGCATGATTTTGCCTGCTTTGTTTAACACAGATCGTGCATTGCTACTTCTTGAAGCTACAAACTGACGGTTCTCGGATGCGGCCCAGGATCCTAATCCTTTCTATACATTCATATTTCTCGGTGATGCTGAGACACAATCAAGTTGGAAAAATACAACTTAGACATGCAGAATACAAAAGCATCAAATCCAGTGATGACAAATTCCAACATCTTATTTATATTGCCTTTAAAAAGGATGATGAAGTTGCCTTCCATATTATCTTTTTATCATTCAAAAAATATGTGTGATTCATGCTTTTCTAGGTCTGAAATGGCAAAACATTCCCTATGCCCCAGATAGGATCCTGTCATGCCAAGTCTGTCTTCAGTGGCACACTCATTGGGACAAGGCTCAATACCCTCAATGTGGCTTAGACGGCCTGCAGCCACAGGTATTTAAGGTCACAAGTATTCACTCCGAAATGTGAAATGGCTATAAACTGGCTTTTTGAAGCACAGTCCTGGAATTAAGGAGAATGACAGAATAAGATAGGTGGTATTCAAGATAAAGTATGTCACTACAGAAGAAAAACATGACACAATTTTCAATTCAACATTTTTAAGCTTCATTTGTTTTATATGTATATGTCCACAATTGCATGTTCTGTATATGAATATTATAATTATAATTAAATACACAGCAGCATAGAGAGGAAGAAACAGGTAATTATTTTTACTAATGGAGATTTTCCAACGCCAGAGACCTCTGGTCTAAGCAATGATTTCATACTCGGGGCGAGGGGGAGCTTCTCAAATCTTGTATGAAATCTGAAAGAGGTAAACTGAACACATATGTCTGACTGTCTCTTTTCCACTTACTGGAGCCATGTTGTTTTGCCTCTTGGAAAGACTACTGAAATTTAAATTAAAAGGTTTAAAACTAAAACCAGAAAATTTTAAAAAGTCCCTACATCAACCACTTGAAGGAACACCTGGCTAAAATGGCCTGCACATGACTAAAATAAGGTTAACACGAGTATATGTGCAAAAGTAATTTGGCCAGTAAGGACAGAATTTAGTAAAAACCAAATATATTCCCTCATTCAGATACAAAAGCAGTGATGGTGAGCATTAAACACAGCCGTTACGCTGCATCTGGGCACTTAGCCTCTTTTTTCAGTGTTTGAGCTCCAGTTCTTGCTGCATTCATGATTCCAACTGCCTGCCAGTGCACCCTCTGGGAGGCAACAGGTGATGGCTCTCGTAGTTGCATCGCTATCACACACCTAAAACATCTGGACTGAGCTCCCAAACATGGAGAAAAAGGTGAGTGACCTAGTAGATGAAAGCCTGTCCCCACGCCCCCTTCCAGCTTCTCAAATGAAACAAGTAAATCAATTTTTTTTAATCTAGAAAAAAAAATCGTACAGCAATCAGATTATATCTGCAGTTCTTAACGAGTGACTCCAAGAAATACACCAAGGGAGAGGCTACAACAGGCTGCAGGGAACTACTCACATGTAACAGAAGTCATTTTAACCTAGCCTGTCTGCATGAATGATTCCTTCCCGAACACTGCGAACAAAATCTGCATAATCCCCAGCCAAACCCATCTCAGCTACTGTCTCAGCTCCTGGAAGTGTGGCTCATCCTATGAATGAGCAAACATCAGAGGATGTGGAAAAGGCCACCAGTCCACGAGAAAGTGTGTGCACTGAAGCACCAACACAGTTATCTTCTTACGAAATTGTTACTGTCGTGAACGGGAAATAAGGTATTTCCAGAAATTCCCTTGCAAAATGATGCTGGTTTCATTGCATTTACAGATATTATCGTCACAAAGGAGAGCAAAGAATATCCACCAAGCCAAGAAAAGGAAACTGTGAGAATGAAAGCAGCCTGCACAATGTTCAACAATGGAAAAATAAAAGCAATGGAAGACATAATCACTAATTTTTCCCGTATCTCAGAGAAAAAGAATTAACAGCTAAAAATGTTCAGGAGACACATAGGCTGATCTACGAAACCAAATAAAACTATATGGAAAGAATTACAGGGAAAAGAGAATAAAAAGGAAAACCAATCGAAGAAATGATTAAGTGAAATGGAATATCATGTAACTTATGAAGTGACACTAAAAATAAATATATAAATATAAAAGATGACTGAAAAAATACTAACACCCAGATATATCCTGGTAAAACTCTTACATTTCAAAGGTCAAAAGAAATACAAATCTAGAGCCTCCTGGCAGCTGTATAGTTTGTGGTAAGGAAACTATACAGCAAGGGTTTAGTATTCAGCATAATACGCGTGAGAGTGAAAAGCATTACTGACATGCTGTGACTATGGATCTCCACCAAAGACAGTGAGGAGATCAGCCACCATGCAGAAGCTGGCTGGTAAAGAACTACGATTCTCATACATTGAGGGCATAAATGTACTGGTTTGTTAAAAACCAGGCAAAACCTAAGAGAATCTTCTTAAGAGAAATGGGTGCATTAAGTTCCTAGAGCTATGTTCTGAATTTCAAATCATAAATTATTAATAGAATCCATGAGAAAATTTTTAAACTAAATTCAAATTTTACATGCTTTAAGCCTTCGATAAAAATCAATGAACATGTTCTTCATTCTCATAGTAATGCAGATAAGGAAGAAATGGCAAAAATTGAGATTTGATGACAATTCTTCAAATGGAAAAATTTGTGGTTTTAAGCTTTCCATATGCAATATATTTCACTGCGTAATTCTTACAAAAATTTTGATAAGAAAAATCAAATGTATAATTTTGTTTGACCAATATTTTCATCTATAGATATGCAAAGAAAATGTTTTTTATGAATTAGATTTCATTTTTTAAAACATCTGTTTTTTATTGGAAAGTGAGAGTTACAGAGAAAAGGAGAGATACAGAGAAAGATCATCTGTCTACTGATTCACTCCCTAAGTGGCTGCAATGACTGGAGCTGAGCCAATCCGAAGCCAGGAGCTTCTTCTGGGTATCCCACACGGATGGAGGGCCCCAAGGCTTTGGGCCACAAGGGGATTTCAGCCAATAAGCAGAGATCTCGATGGAAATAGAGCAGCCAGGGTACTATTCAGCAATCATCTGGAATCCTGATGCGCTTCTAGGGCAATGAGTTAGCCTACTGAGCTATGGTGCCAGACCCTTAGATTTCAATTTTTAAATGCCTGAATTTTCATCTTTTATTTGAAAGACAAAGAGAAAAAGACAAAAACTGATCTTCCCTCTGCTCGCTCATTTCTCAAATAGCTGGGGCTATTAGGGACTGATGTCCAATGGATTGGTAACAAAATTACCTAAAATTCACTGTGGTAATAAAATGGACAGTGGTAAATACATTTTAATTTCACTGAATTGAAAACTAACTGGATGAATCACAAGAATTTTATCTCAACAAAACTGATTTAAAAAAAAAAAAAAAGGTTTTGGGCCTGCTGCAGTAAAGCAGGAGCTAAAGTCCTTGGCTTGAACATGCCAGGATCCCTTATGGGTACTGGTTCTAATCCCGGCAGCCCCGCTTCCCACTCAGCAACCTGCTTGTGATCTGGGAAAGCAATCAAGGACAGTCCAAAGCCTTGGGACCCTACACCCGCGCAGGAGACCCAGAAGAGGCTTCGGGTTTCTGGCTACAGATTGTCTCAGCTCAGTCATTATGGTCACTTGAGAAGTGAATCATCGGATGGAAGATCCTCTCTGTACATCTGACTTTCCAATTAAAAAATAAAATAATTTTTTTAAAAAAGCTTTCTAGTATAACTATGGTTTCAATTGTTAACTCAGAATTAGTGATGGATACACAGTTAACCTCTGTTCACTCTTTCCCATAAACAACAACTAAATAAGATACAGGGTTCAGGTTTCCTAACGTAGAAAAGTGGAGCCACACCAAGGAAGCTCACTGGCAGCACACACAGACGAGTGCACACACTCCATCTGATCTTGAGGCTGGATTTGATAGGTGGACAGGTGGGGCGCAGAATTGAATCTGAGTAGGTCAGAAGGCAGATGAAGGACTTCTGTTTTTGAAAAGTATGGTAGCAAACACTTAACATAATATTTACCACTTTAATCATTTTTAACATACAGCACAGTTAAATACATGCATGGCCTTTACCCCAGGCCTGCATTACTTTTTACCTTGTAGAATTTTAGCACTTTATCCACTGAATAACAGCAATCCTGTCCCCAGCCCATTACCCTATTTTCTGTTATAAATCTGATCATTTCAGTACCTCATACAAATTGAATTATAAGGCATTTGTTTTTTTGTCACTGGCACATTTCATTTAGGATAAACTCTTCAGAGGCCATTCATATTTTAGAATAGCAAGATACAGGATTTTCAAAGACCCTCAGGAAAAGAGGAGTTATAAGTTTATGTTTGATGTATGGATTTAAAATTAATGCATAGGTTTTTTATGATTTGTATTTCCCAAATACTTTTTTGACATTTTTTATTAGAATGGATTTTAAATTAGTTGCACTAATGATCTGTGCAAGTACCGTATTAAGTGCAATATCAATGAAGGGAATTCACTACATTGGATATATCTGAAATTATCAAAGAGACTCCCCTTCAGAATTGAGGGCAGTGAAGTTTCTATCCAGAGCTCTATTTTATTTCCACAATAAACGGGATAATTCTGACAGCCCCTTTTCACATTATCAAAGCAAGCTTAAATTAGCACAGAGTTATTTGTAGTTCTTAAAACTAAGTAAGCTGGGAGAATATAATTTCCAATCACGAAAATCACTAAAGCTATTATTAAATGCAAAACTTACTGCTATAATTTGATCTCCAACTTGGATTCTTCCATCAAGTTCAACTGCACTGCCTTTGGTAATGCTCTTGACAAAGATTCCTGAAGGTTCTAAAATTAAAAATAGGTTATGTTTTCTCTTTCTTTGCAAAGCAGAAGCAAAGAATAGCCATATTCTTCTCTTCAACCATAAAGCCCTAATTTTGAATAAATAACAAGATATACAAACATAACCTCAAGTGGAAACTTGAGGCTACAGAATAAGACAACTGTTTTATACGTCTCAACTACAGTATCAAGAGTCACCTAAAGTATTCCTAAGGAAAATTTCAACTTTTTACAGCTATATTATTAAAAAAAAAGGAATGACAATTCATTGTTTCATAAGACAAACAATGGAGGAAACTGTCAAAATTAAAAACCTTTATGGGTCAGACTGATGCACCAGCTCACATGGGAGCCATGGGTTGGGCTTGTTAGCATGGAATATGGCTGACCATTACATGCCAACACACACGCAAGCTATAGCTGGGGCCTGCCTGGCTGGGCTAGATTCCAGTACCTGACAATGAGTGTCAGATCAGGGGATGGGTCACATTTAACTGGGTTATGACACCAACCAGCACGCAAGAGAATCAGACGGTCCGAGGGTGGTTTCTGTGGGGATATGTAGGCCCAGCCCAATGGAGCTACTAGTCCCGCTACTTAGCTTGAGAGTTGGGATGGTGACTGGCTGCTCACCAATATTGGGGCTGGGAACAAGCGGGGCAGGTCCATGCTGCAGCACTCAAACAAGTACCGTAAAACAAGGTGTGGGGCAGGCCGGGCCACACCAGCTCATACAAGAGCCAGGAATGAATAAGGCAGCCCATGCCAGGTAAGGGACAAGCACCTGTTGGCATGTGTAAGATCTGGGTCTGGGAGTGGCCTGAGCATGGGAACCTGGGAAACTCCCCTAGTAGTTCATAGCTCCCACTGCTGAGTATGTGGTCCAGGCTTGGGTATTGGGCAGTCTGGGCAGGGTAGCTCCATCTGTCAGAAAGTGTATGAGTTGGTTTTAGAAGGAGAGGACTGGGTAGGGCCAAGCAAACCACATCCCACTGGCAAGGGCAAAAACCAGGATGGAGTACAGGTCGTGCCGGGATAGGCTGCCATACCTGCTGGTTTGCCTGAGCCAGGGATGATAGCAGACTGAGCAGGGCCAGTTTCCAGCACCCACCAGTAAGAAATAGGACTGGGAACTGGCTGGTTCAGGTCAGGTCGCAGCATCCGAAGGTAAAGGCCAAGGCAAGTGGCCTTGGCAAGTGGCCAAGGCAAGGGAGTGACTCTGCCAAGCCAGCTCAGAGCAACCGCTGACATGTGCAAGATCCATGGCTGTGTTCAGGCCTGGTTAAGGAGCTAAGGGGATGCACTGGCTGGACTGTGGGTTCTGCTGGTGAGCACAGGGGCCAGAGTGCGGGCTGCGGTCTAGTCTGGAAATGGCTGCAGTATCCCTTAGCACAGGCGTGGACTGGGTCTGTGTGTGCCAGACTAGGCTAGACTCCAGCAACCACTGGTGATTGAGAGAACCAAGGGTGGGTGTAGAATAGGTTGGGCTAGGTCTCTGCCACTACTAAGCCATGTGTGAGCTGTATCTGGGTATGGACTAGGCTTGACTGAGCTATAGCACCCAATAGTAAGAACTAGAATGGGTAAGGGCCAGTCAGGTAAGGTTACTGTTCCTGCTAGGACATGGAGTAGACTAAATAGGGCTGGCCCAGGAACCCATTGGTGTGCATAAGATCTGGCACTGGGAGAGGTTCTGATGGAGGGGCTTGGGAAACTCCTCTGTTGGGACACAGTGCCTACAGGTGCATGCAAGAACCAGGAAAGGGAGCAGCCTGGACCAGGCCAGGTTACGGTGCCGACAGGCTTACCTTTGGCTCAGGTCTGTGGTGAGCCAGGCTAGGCCACCTCATATCACCCGCTGGCAAATCGAATAGCCAGAATGGAGTGTGGGTCATGCCAGGTCAGGCTGCAATACCAGCCAGTTCACATTAGGGCTGGAAGTGGGGGCTGGCTGGGCTGGCTGGGCTTGCTGGGTTGGCTAGGCTGTAGCCCCCACCAGCATGAGCTGGAATTGAGGGACAGCTGGGCCAGGACAGGCTACAGCACCCACTGGCGAATGACGAGATAAGGCAGGCTGTGCAGGACTGGACCGCAGTGCCTAACCAGCACACATGAGACCCGGGAGTGAGTGGGTGAACTTGGTAGAAGAGCTGCAGAAAGCTCTCCTGCAGGGCCACTATTCCCATGGTAAGCATGAGACCTGGCACTGGGGCAGACCAAACTGAGCAGGGCTACAACACCTATTGGCCTACATGTAAACTGAAACAGAGACAAGCCAGGCTGGACTGACTGTACCTACTGGTACATGCATAAGTCAGAGTGGGCGAAGGTTAGTTGGGCTTTGCCACAGCATCAACTAGCAAATGTTAGCACAGGGGGAAAATTCTGTTGAGCTAAACTGCAGTGCCACCTGGAGAGTGCAAGATCCAGAAGTGGGAGTGAGCCCATTAGGGAAACAGTGGTCACCTCCCTCTTGAGTTGCCACTCTGACTGCTAAGCATGAGAACCAGGATTGAGACAGGCAGGGCTGGACAGATAGCACCCTCCAGCACAGGTGTGGGCTGGATGTGGGGGGAGGGGTGTTAAACTAGGCTTCAATGCCCATTGACATGTATGAGAGCTGAATGGGATGTGGGACAGGACCAGTCAGCTATACAAACTGGCAAGCATGGGAACAAAGACAGGGGGTGGGCCTGGTGGGCCTGGTTATTGAGGGTCGCTCCAACTAGGCTATCACTCACACTGGTTTGTGTGGGGGCCAAGTGTGTGGTAAGCAGGATCAGGCTGGACTCCAACACCCATTAGTTTGTGTAGAAGACAGGGTTGGAAACAACTGGCCCAGCAATTGCACCTAACAGAGTTCTTGTGGACCAATTTGGGCTACAAACTACACACACAAGAATCGGGTCTGGGATCACCTCAGATGAAGTTTCTTAGGGAATCATCCCAACTGAATCACAGGACTCAGAACCACAACAATGGAAGAAACTGCAGGTTCCATGGATTGACCATGGAATGCATGTATCAGAGCTGGGCCTCTTCAGTGGCTTAGATGGAGCAGTGGATAGCATATCCAGGTGCACATGGAGGATATGGCAGTCCATTGGAGCCTGTGGAGGACTCCTGGTACCACAACAGAGAACAGAGGACAGAACAAATCGACCAACTACCCCAACCAAGAATTCGCAATGAATATCTGGGCAAACAGAGACTCTAACGTGAATTATGTCAACCAGTGGAGTCTGGAGAGATTTTCATTGTGACTGGAGTGGCGAAATCGGCAGCAATACAGAACTGTTAAACTATCAAAACCACTTAAGCAGGACCCTCAGAGCATGCCCCGCATTGGTTATCCTGGGATGGTTGGGAGACTGGGTGTGGCTTCTCCCCTTATTTCTCCCCTCCCCCCAGATACAGGAAGGAAAAAAGAAAATGTGAAAACAATGGTATCATCCACTTCCCTCCAGCCCTGGACCTTTTGCATCCTAATCAAACAGGCAAAAATTATCAAAAAAAAAAATGTACACAATTTAAAAATATTAAAATACAAAATGTTTTAAATTACCTAATTTTTTATCTCCAATGTAACCAGCAATGGTAATTCCTAATCCTTGGACATTTTTCGTGAGTTCTACATCAAAGGTCTCACTTTCTTCACTTATCTGAGTAGAAGCATCAACCTACAACAAAATAAACTAATAAATATATACAGAAGTAGAGATGTGAGAAATGCGGTGTATGGGTTGGAGCTTATTATGTTAAATGAAATAAGCTAGAAACACAATGACAAATACTGTGCATTTTCTGTTACATGGAACTTTAAAAAAATAAAAAATAAATATAGTTTAAAGCAAGAAATAATTTTTAAAACTACAGCCTTAATTTAGGAATCATACAATGGCATGATACAGCATCAGAGGTTCCTACTAAACAGAGATGATTCTTAGACATGACATTCCAGAATGAGTTACACTGTTACTCAGAAAGGAATGAGAGGAATGACTGAACTGTCCATCACAGACAGCTGTAATGACTGTATGCACATCTTACAAATCAAAGTTTATATTAATGGATTCCATTTTCAGAAATGGCTAGCCTTTATTTCTAGAGAAGTCAGGCTGTAGTGCTTCGAGAGACCATCTTTTGTATTTAGACCAGTACATTCAAATCTAGCTTTGCCACTTTAACCTCTGTAAAGATCACTTTTTAGCCTGGAAAAAAAAAAAAATCCACAAGTTTAGCTACGATTTACTGAGAAGTTTCCATATAACAGGTACTTGAGATCTTTTAATTCATTGGTCCTAACAATCCATGGATGTAGGACTGATTAGTCTACCCATTTTTATGTGGAGGAGGTGAGGAACATTCATTTTTCTAAGCACAAATAGAAAGCAAGAAGCAATCTCTACAAATAATGTTTCAATCCAGATACTGTGGTTTCAGAACCCCTGCTCTAAAGTAATATACAGTAAGCAAAATCTCTAGTGCTGCTGAGAGGCAGAACTGATTGTTAACACTGTAAATATGAGTTAATAATGTATCCTGCAAAGATGTTATTAACAAACTGATGACTTCTTTGGACAACCAGTGAAATCTACCAAGGTGGTATCTTCAATTGTCCTTTTACTTGTTTTACATAGTCAAGCTTCAATATGAAAAACTATTTATAAGCAAGTGTACCTTTGCTTCATGCTGGGATGTCAGCTGAAAGCAGGTTTCTCATATGTCAACTTCTCTAACATGCATTACTGCTAGTTGCATGCCGGACTGCAAAATATTCATCAACAAACCACTGCTACTACATGTTAGTGTGAGGCTGCAGATCCTACAGAGAACCTTAAGATAAAGTAAATCAAAGCTTTGGGTCCTTACGTAGCTTGGGGATAACTAGTCAGATTTTCTTCTTTTCTTTAAACAAACTTTGTATCTCACTGATGCTTCACCTAAATAAGATATAATTTTACAATAAAGTTTCACTTATTTTTTTTTCATTGCACATAATTATCTGTGCAAACTTAGCAAAAGTTAAAAGTTTAGATAATTACCAGAAAATGACAGGATGAAATCTGCTTCAATTGAAACAAATGTGTTTTCTATTTTTAATAAGACTTATGCGAGTGCTATTTTAGAGGGTGGCAATTTGACTATCGAATGGTTTTAAAAGGGGCATCAGCTTCAGAAATGATGATATGCACAGAACAGATATTTTTCTAAGCTTTCAATTACATCAAGTCATTTTCAGTATTGCATTCATTTATATATCGCTGAATAAAATGGCTTGTTTACCACAAAAGAATGTCATTTAAATACTTCCATAAACAAGCTTTCCTTAATTCTTTCTCTTTGTAAAAATAGCAGCCAAACCCAATCCCAAAAACAACAGAATCATGGCAACTTCAAGTACTCCAATAAAGTTCCAAAGAGCTTAGGAAAAAGATTAAGATATTTAAAAAAGGAACTTGCAGTCAATGGTTAAGAAATTTTGACAGAATAAAACACAGGTGCTTTTACATGTAATTCTATTCTTAAGTACTTAAGATATTTCTATATAAAGTTACTTTGTAGAAACATTCATCCACCTTTCTCACTAGCTTAGAAAATGAAAACCTGCCAATAATTTGGACATTTTCTAGCTCTTTTTTTTAAATTTTTTTATTGTTAATCACATTGTATTTTTTTAAATTTTTTTTATTGTTAATCACATTGTATTTTTTTTTTATTTTTTTTATTGTTAATCACATTGTATTATGTGATACAGTTTTGTAGGCACTGGGATTCCCTCCACCCCTCCCACAACCCTACCCCTATGGTGGATTCCTCCACCTTGCTGCATATTCACAGTTGAAGTTCAATTGGGATTCATTCATTGCATGCATATACCTAGCACTGAGTTCAGCATCTTATTGTCCAGATAAGTTCAGCGGTTTCTAGGGGAGACCTTCTCTGGTCTGAAGGTAGAGCTAACAGAGTAAAGTCCCTGTCGGTTAAAAGCCCCTTTTGGGATTCGCTCATTTCCCTTAGCATTATAGTTTCCAGTTGGGCCCACTTAGCCACAAAGAACTGCAATTTGTTTTTTTTAATAGCTGAGTAGTATTCCATGGAGTAGATGAACCAAAGTTTTCTTATCCAATCTTCTGTTGATGGGCATTTCGGTTGCTTCCATGGTCTGGCAATTACTGATTGTGCTGCTATGAACATAGGGGTGCATGTTGGTTTGTCGTGAAACAGGTGTTTTGGATATATTCCTAGGAGTGCAATTGCTGGGTCATGTGGTATGGCTAGCTCTTTTTCATATCAAGTCAGGAGCAAAGGTGGAATGCTATGTCTATGAATAAAGTTTTGATTATAAGGTTCAAAGCTCAATGTTTGTTTTTAAAATTATGTGCCTAGGAGAAAGAAAATGCACACTTACCAAAATCTGGTAAAGTTCTGAAAAAGTATTATTGAATCAAATAAATCAGCCTTATCAACTCCTACCCAGACTACTATCACTTTTAAAGCCCCACTCATCCAAACAGAAACGAGCCTGTATCCTATGCCTAGGTTAAAGAGAGCCTTACAATTAAGAGGAAGCTCGGAATCAACATTGTATCAGTCACAGATTTCACCACACGTCAAAACATTATTCTCACAAATGTGCTGCTTCAAAGCAAAACATTTGAGGGCCAGCATCTAGGACTCCAGCACCCAGCCCTGAGTGCACCACTCCCAATTCTGTTCTCTGCTCATGAGCACCAGGAAGCACTGGAACAAGCGTGTGCAGCCCTGTCACCCACATGTGCTGGCTTCAGCCGAGCCCGTCTCAGCTGCAGTCAATCGGGAGTGAACCAGTGGATGCAAGATCTTGTTCTACATTTCTCCCTTCTTACCTTTTCTTCTTCTCCTCTCTCTGTTCTCTCTCTCTCTTTCTACTCTCTCACTCTTTCACTATGTATATGCATGTGTGTAGCACTTTGCCTTTTAAATGAGTTTCTAAAAAGTAAACAAAAATGTGAAATAAAAATCTGATATTTTAAGTAATCTATTCTCCTATTTACATACAATCTCCAGTTAATAAAATCTTACTATTACCGAAACATCTCTTAGTTGCCATTTCATTCTATTCTCTACACCATATATCAATAACAGAAGGGAAGTCTGGTTTCCAAACAAACACCTCCATTATCTAGTTCATCCAACTGCTGTGTTCTCTGATCTTCACATTTTCTGGTACTCACCCGCATCTCCAGTGGAGAAGGGGATGACGAGAAGCCGATGCCCAAGGAGGTGGGTGCGGCAGATTCCTCCATGGCACCTCTCGCAATCATCAACTTAACTCTGTTTCCACATTGCCTGAGGACTTGTGCTACTTGTTCACTGCTCATTCCTGCGAGGTCTGTATCTCCAATCTTTAGAATGTGGTCTCCACTGCATAATCGTCCATGCTGCATACAAAGAGGGTGAAGAGGTGAATTAGGATATTGCTATTGGACCAGCACCAGAGAACGCCGGTGGAAGGCAATAATAAAACACAGAAATGCTACAAATTTGCAATCACAGAACATTACATATGTGGCTGTAATAGCAATAGTCATCTAAAACATTCTAGAATCATTCAGTGTAATTGAAGAAAGTGAAATTCATCTAGAGATGATACAACCATTTCATGTTTCTACTGACCACATAGAAGGAAAAATAACTTCTAACAATTTTGAAGGATAAAAAGAAAATGCCTCTAAGATATGAAGTAAAGTTGATTTGCAAATACATTATTCAAAATGTGATATGGGATATGAGCTCGCTTGTCAGGACACCCCTTGGAATCCCTGATCCCATATCAAAGTGCTTGGACTCAGGGCCTGGTTCTGCCTCACTCTGCTAAGCACCTGCGGAGTTAGCAAGGAATGAATCAAGTACTTAGATGCCTGTCCTCCAGGCTGCTGGCTTGGATCTGGCCCTGCCCTGGCAATGGCAAACATCTGAAGAATATACTAACAAATGGGGGATCTCTATCTGTATCCCCCTTTCCGTATCTCTGTCTCTTAATAAAAAGTTCAAGAAACAGGGTCTGAGCTACAAGAAAGCACTGTGTTAACACTGTAATTTTCTGTCTGGCTATTTTAATGATGAATAGCCTCAAAGTGTTCCTCGCAAAATGAAATTCTTGAGAAATTAAATTTCAAACAGATAAGGGGAGAATAAAGCAGTCATATCACGTCCTTTAAAAGTTCACTCAATAATACTTTCCACAGTGACTTTCTGCACTGTCTAACATAGCAGTTTCCAGAGCAAGAGACAGGAAGGTGCTTGACATGGGGCTAATCCAACTGGGAAACAGAATGTGACGTGTGACTACCTTATTAGAGAATGAAATTATACTAAAGTATTTTATGTCACAATTTCATTGGACATGGCGAACTGCTAGATACTGCTTAAAAGAAAGACATAGAAAAAAATGTGTATACAACTGCGTTACATTTACACCACTACTGACAAAGTTGTCATAACAAATTTCTGAGAAACCTGGTGCTGTAGCTTAATTTCAAACACATTTGTAAAGAATAGATTAATATATGTTATAATTGAGGAGTAAAAACAGATTTATATGTTTTATACTTAAGGCAAAAGCTTTTTAAGCTAGCCAAATATGTCAAGTATAAGACAAATGATAGTGAATAAATATATTACACAATTTCCCACATGTATTGTAACAATAAGATATACTATAAAAGCCAATGCTTCAATGAACTATTGTTAGTGACAAAACTAGCCTTTGCTTCATATTCAAAGATGTTAACAACCCTTCACTACATTCTTTTTCCATAAAATCGTGTGACTACAAAACAGCTGACTTGCGTTATATATATGATTTTTTAATTATTTGTTTTATTATCTTATGCTAGAGTTCCATAGGTTCTAACTGTCCCCTAACTGCCTCCACCCCATCAATATCCCCTATATTATTATGATAGTATAAACCTTAATAAACAGTCCTAAGCACATCATTTCACTATGAAAGTGGATCCTGACATTGTAGATATAGACAAATACGCAGAGCCTAGCATCCTATTGTCACAATATATTTAACTGTTTCATTGGGAGTCCATCTTTGATTTGGAAGTAGTGATACATACTGCCTTGTATCTTCACATCTGGATATGATAATCTCTATTACAGTTACTACATATCCCCTTAAAAGCCATCAAACAAAATCAACAACAGGAAGAAAAATATGACATTTACCACAACATGAAGTTAAATAATATACCACTTAATGATTAATGTGTCACTGAAGAAATAAAAAAGAAAATCAAAAACCTTCATGAAGAGACGACATGTAGCTCTATATAGAACAAAAAGATTCAATAAAGAGACCATCTGAACTCATAACAGAATTTGGCAGTGCAGCAGGACACAAAATTAATCAACATACATTGATGCCACCAGTATACACTAATAACTCCCTGGCAGAGAAAAAAATTATAAGTATAGTCCTCTTTAAAATAGTAGAAAGGAATCTTAAATATGTTAGAATTAACCTAACCACAGGTGTGAAAAACGTTAACAATGGAAATTACAAAACATTTGAAAAAGAAATAAAAGACATTAAAATATGGAGAGATCATGTTCCTAGATCGGCAGGATCAACATCATCAAAATGTGCATATTGCCAAGAGTAATATACAGATTCAGTGCAATCCCAATTAAAATCCCAACAGCATTCTTCTCAGAAACAGAAGATACAAAAGTTCAGTTGGAAACACCAGAGACCACAAAGAGCCATAGCTATCCTGAAGAACAAAAATGAAGCTGGAGGAATCAAAATTCCAGACCTCAAGAAGCAATACAGGGCAGAGCTCATCAAAACAGTCTGGTACAGAAACAGAGGAAGATGACCAGAACAGAATAGAAATCCCAGAAGGGAGCCCACCTATAGCCAACTGATTTTTGACCAAAATAAATAAATAACCCTGAAAATAATTCAGGATCTTCAACAGATGCTCTTGGGACAACTGGGTAGCAGCTTTCTAAAGTACGAAGCAAGTCCCCCACATGTCACCTTATACAGAATTCAGCTCTAAATGTATCAAGAATCTAAATCTGCACCCAGAAATCATCAACCTATTAGAAAAAAACATAGAAAGTACTTGCCAAGATATAGGAATAGGGAAAGACATCTTACCAAAGTCACCAAAAGCACAGGCAGTTAAAGACAAAATAAACAAATGGGAGTACATCAAGCCAAAAAAAATTCTGAAGAGCAATTCTGAAAAGCAAAACAAACAAACAACAACAACAACAAAATGATGAACAAAGTGAAGAAGCAGCAATCAACAGAATGGGAGAAAATCTTTGCACACTACTCAGCTGAGAGGGGACTAACATGCAGGATTTACAAAGAGCTTCTGAAACCTGCGACAGCAAACAACTCTGCAAACAAATGGGCATAGGAAACGGACAGATAGTTTTCAAAAGAATAAATTCAAATGACTATTAGACATATGAAAGGATGCTCAGACTAAAATCACACTGATGTTCACCTAACTCCAGTGAGATCAGCCTACATTAAGAACTCTGCTAACAACACCTGCTGGCGTGGATCTGGGAAAAAGTGTACCCTCCTTCACTGTTGGCGGAAATATAGGCTAGTACAAGCACCATGGAAGTCAGTGTGGTGAGTGTTAAAATAACTGAAATTAATCTGTCATATGACCCAGCTATCCCCTTCTGGGAATAAATCCAAAATAAATGAAATCTGCATATAAGAAAAGAATCTGTAATCCTACACCTACAGCAGCACAATCTACAACAGCAAAGACATGGAAACAACCCAGAATCCCAACCAAACAGGAGCAGTTAAAGAAACTGTGGTACATCTGCTCCATGGACTACTACTCAGCCATTAAAAAAGACATTTGTAATCAAATAATCACAACTAATGACCATTACGTTCAGTGAAATAAGTCAATCCCCAAAGGACAAATATATGTTGTCTCTGATAATAAGGCAACCTTCAGGCAAAATATAAGATCAATAGCTCTTTCAATACTATCATATCATGGTTTTAATATTTTGTTTTTAGTTTCATTTCTTCAAAAAAGTTTACTTATTAATTCCTTCACTGATGCATAGGTCATACATTAGCATAAATATGATTTTTCTAAAACAAAGAGAAGCCACCTCTGCAAAGGTAAAACCCATAACCCTGCCTTTGTTCTCTTTATCCTAACGTGCCAAGTCCCTTCTCTAGAACTGTATCTAAGACGAAGGAAACTTTTTAAACATCTATCCCCACTCTTGTAAGAAAAACTTTCATGGTAAACACAATAAAACAGAAGATTCTTTGACATTATCTAGGGACAAAGTTTGTTCTTTACAGGAAGTTTTAAAAGATATATTTTAAAAATTAATTCTTTAAATGCCATAGAAGACATACTGCAGCAGCTCACCTGATCAGCTACCCCTCCAGGCAAGATGGTTTTTACGATCACACCAGTTGCTTTTCCTCCTATGATGCCAAATCCCAGACCAGAACCATCATTCACCAGTTCAATGGTTTCCACATGCTGCCAGTGAACCTGAAAACAAAACTCCTGTAAGAACTTACACCATGTATAAAACATTCAAACTTCATATCAGAGATTTGGGGGATTAGTGTTTCATTAATATCAAATAACTGAATTCAGACATGATAAGAACTCCAAGGATGGCCCCTTTGTTTAATACACTCCCTTAAAACACACTATTGCTATAAGCCGTCTTAAAATTATCAATACACCAGTACAATGATTGCATTTTACCAGTTTGATAGACACTGACTTTCAAGATTCTAAAAGAATTTCTTTTGAAAAGGGGAGCTGAGGGGAAGACACAGACACACAAAAAAATCCTGTCACCCTCAAGAATGAAGGTCTTCACCATAATCCTGCCTTGGGGCAAGATTCCAAATCCCATGATCTCTTAGAGTCATTCACAGCTAACTGTAACAGTATAATTGCGTGATTTACAATCAAGATTCTATCTGTCTACAGATAAAATCGATTTTGTCAAAGGAGTACTGTTAATTCTTCTTTTCCTGTTTTGCAAGGAATGCCATCAAATTAAAAAAAAAAAAAAACTACAGGAAGAAAAGTAAAGGTTGTCTTTGAAGGTTGTTTTTGAATCATAATTACACAAATATTGCAGGCTGAGAAGGGACAAAAGAATAAAAAAGCAAACACTCAAGAAGCACAAAGAACCTACACGCATCGGAAACCTGATGACAACCAGAAAGAACTAGAAAACAGATTAGGTTCCTGGTGAAAGCCTCGGGTACTCACGGGATTTGAGTGGGCCGAGACTGTGCTGGCCGCCGATGGAGACCGGGAGACCACTGGGCTGATCACTGGCGGCCTGGAGCCCCTGGCGATAACCAGCTGCACAGTATCTTTGGCTTTCTGCAGGATGCTGATAGCTTGCTGATGAGTGATGGTTTGGTCCAATGCCTGCCCGTTGATAGCAAGGATCTGATCGGTTTCCTTCAATCTCCCATCTCTATCAGGGATGGAAAAGGCGGGGAAAGACACTGGACAGTTGTCAAGGGAAAGGACATTCTCTAAAACTTACTTTCAGATTGTTTTCAATTCTGTTCTCTGATCTCCACACCAATTTAATAGCAGGCAATTCTGCTTTTAAAGATATAGTAGTAGAATTCCGTAGCTCCAAAGCTACTTCCTAATCAACTATTCCCATTAAAATGCCTTCACCATTTCAGCTGCTCACTCAACCTACATATTAAATATTGAATATTGCTCTTTAAAAAATGAAAGTGTAGATGCATATATTGACTTGTTGCTATGATAATTGTAAGACTCAAATTATCATAAATGATTACTAATTTTAAAGTCTCATCAAAAAGAGCTCATTTAATAACCATGAAAATAATGTTGAAATTTCTTACTAAAATGCAATTAAGTTAATGACTGTATTTAAAAGCTAATCTCATTTCAAAACACTTGCTGTTGTTCACAACAATGTTACCATTTCTAAAAATGGATTATCAGTAGGTCCCATTCAGGTTTTTTGCTGATCCAGATTTTTCTCCTATGTTTCAAAACCTTCTGAATGTGGTCTCAGAAAGATGCTGCATCCCTCTCACCTGTGAGCCACACTGCCCTCCTGAATTTCTTGTACAAATATTCCCAGCTCTCCCCTGTTTTCACTTCTTAAACCCACAACACTAAATCCAAGGCCTCCACATGCAGGTTTGAGGAGTTCAAAAACTTCTACATGGCGACCCTGGTCAGAAAATAAAACAGGAAATAAAAAGTAAGAGTAAATTACTGAAAACAAAAACAAAAAAATATTTCTTATTAGCTTATTAAGCAGCACTGTTTTTTAATTAAAAAAAAGTTTTGGGGCCCGGCGGCATGGCCTAGTGACTAAATTCCTCGCCTTGAACGCCCTGGGATCCCATATGGGTGCTGGTTCTAGTCCCGGCAGCTCCACTTCCCATCCAGCTCCCTGCTTGTGGCCTGGGAAAGCAGTCGAGGACGGCCCAAGGCTTTGGGACCCTGCACCTGCGTGGGATACCCAGAAGAAGTTCCTGGATCACTTGGGGAGTGAATCATCAGATGGAAGCTCTTTCTCACTGTTTCTCCTCCTCTCTGTATATCTGAATTTCCAATAAAAATAAATCTTAAAATTTAAAAAAAGTTTTGAAGTCATTTGTAGTATGTGCTCCCTATAATGGAAATTTTATTTGTTCCAAGTACAGCATCAGCTGCTCAATTTAAAATACAATGGAACATTGCAGCTTCGGGAAGCCACGACTTGTGAAATCAACATCCCTTATCGAAAAGCCAGTTAAAATTACAGTAACTCCACTTCAGGTCCAGTTTCCTTTTTTTTTTTAAGATTTATTTATTACTTTTTATTTGAATGGCCGATTTTTACAGAAAGAGAAGGAGAAGCAGATTGACAGGTCTTCCACTCACTGGTTCACTCCCCAAATGATCGCAATGGCCGACGCTGAGCTGATCAGAAAACAGGAGCCAGAAGCGTATTCTTGGCCTCCCACGTGTGTACCAGGGCCTATGATCTTAGGCCTTTTCCCACTGCTTTTCCTGGCCACAGGCAGAGGGTTGGACCAGAAGTGGAACAGCCAAGACATGAACCGTGTCGATAGCGATCCTGTGCTTGCAAGTAGAAAATTAGACTGCTATGCCATTTTGCAGCTGTCTCCCACTCTCCAATTTCATTCCAATACACATGGGACAGCAGTAGATGATGATTAAGTATTTGAGAAAACAAAAAATGTACCAAAATAACAAATCAACTTCTCTTATTATACTATCCTCAGATGTTATAAATGTCACTCTATTCCTTAAATGATCCAGAGCTTGACCAAACTCTTCAGAAAATTATATACCTATCACAACAAGCACAAAGAAATGCTCTTACCTGGGCCATATTTTTAATCAGCTGCTCAAATTCTTCAGATGCAGTTTTTCCGTTGATGTGTGGACTACCAGATCTTGTAAATGCTTCCATATGCCCATTGGTTGGGGATAATGAAAATGACTCACTTTGCAGAGTAGGAAGCACAGCTGGATTGAGGTGGGGAATGTGGGCATATTCAACATTTGAAGTTGTACAGCTTGCAATGGTCACCTACAAATAACAGATTCTTAATAATTTCGACATTCTATAAGCTGTTTCATAGAAACCATCCCAAGAATGATAATAAAGTACAGGTACAATTACAAAATAATCCTACTCTTTCACTCAACAATTTTATTTTAGGAAATATTAGACAAAAAGATAAACTATTTCCAGTTTTCAACATCAGGATACTCCTTAAAACAGACATAAAAAATACATGTCACACTATTAAGCGAAAAAGCTCTTTATCAAACAACATGGATAGTCTGAACTAATACACACTTAAAAGGAGGCATTTGTGTGTGGTTTAAACATCTTGAAGACTAGAAGCAGGTCATTTCTGACGGGATTCTAGAAGGCCACTTGCTTTCCACATTGCACGTAAGAAATAAACACTTTGTTCAAAGGAAGAGTGGGATTTCATTCCCTTCTACTAAAAAGTAACTTCTAAACCTTGGAAACTCCCAAGTCCACCGGAATATCTTTGTTTCTCATGAGGCCACCGGGTCTTCTGACAGAAGCCCAATTTCTGAGTCTATATTCAATCATACACACAATCATACAATCATGCCTATGAAATAAAACCTAATTCAACAACAACAACAAAAGACAAGACTTTGGACACCAAGCTCAGGGGAGGTTCCTGGGTTTATAATGCTCAATATACACCATCACCCATAAATCCTGGAAACTCAATGCTTCCCCAGAAAAACAGAACCTGCCCATTGGGAGCCAAACCACACTTCATACCACAAATCTCTTCTGCTGTAGCTAAACTGTATCTTCCTCTGATACTAGGCCATAATCATGAATAATATATTTCAAAACATTCTGTATGGGGGTCCGGCACAATAGCTCAGTGGCTCTTTATCTTTGCAAGCACCTGGATCCATATGGGTGCCCTTCATGTCCCTGATACTCCACTTCCCATCTAGCTCCCTGCTTGTGACCTGGGAAAGCAGTCAAGGATGGCCCAAAACCTTGGGACCCTGCACCCGCGTGGGAGACCCAGAAGAAGCTCCTGTCTCTTGCCTTTAGATCAGCTCAGCTCCAGCCATTGCGGCTGCTTGGGGAGTCAACTAGCAGAAGGAAGACCTTTCTCTCTGTCTCTCCTTCTCTCTGTATATCTGACCTTTCAATAAAAATAATTAAATCCTAATAAAAAAATTCTGAATGACCTTTCGGTAAATTATCAAAACTGAGGGTGGCTTTAGTAACCTCCTTCTTGCAGGTGGCATCACAATGGTGCTCATGCATATACTTTTCTCTTTAACTTTGCATGTGAACCTCAGCTCCCTGCAGGTGTATCAGAGTTGCTGGGAAGGGCCAGTTATCTGCAGTCCTATGCCCTGATGTACAGATTGAACCGGAAAGAACAAGAGACAGTTTCATTTTGAATAAAAAAATCATTTGCCTGCACTGCTTACGAAGTCCTATAATTTAAAGTACCATAATTTAAAAAGGAATAAGTCAATTCTAATTTCATAATTCTGTAGGGTGTCAAAAGTGTGATTTTTTACATTTAACCATATTTCAGAAGTATTCATCCACCCCGATTGGCTCACTCTGTGATGTTCTCTCCAAGCACTGCCCCTCACATTCCAGTCTTGCAAACTTCTCTTCTGCTCTTCAACCTGCTAAACCACTCACTCCATCAGTCTTGCCCAAATACCCACATGATTACTTCTTTCATCCCAGTATCCATAACTACACCTTACAAAAGTCCTCTCTGGCAACCCTAACCTAGAGCACTTCAATCACCACATTTCTTGAGTTAACCCTTAGGCTACTTGGCCTTCAAAGCATTCAGTACCACCTGACAAGGTTCCATGCCAGCTGATGGAAACAAATTAGAATGTGAAATTCTTCAACAGCAGGATGGCAATTTCATTTGCTATATCCTCAATCTTTCTAAAATGTGCTGTGCAGTTACTTTGTGTGTATCTGCAAGGAGTGAATAAGGGTACACATAAGAGTACCCAGATCTGATGACCCAGTTCCTGTTTAGTACTAATACAGAATCTGAGAGGCAAAAGTTCAAGCATTTGGCCTCCTGACTCCTATGTGCAATAGAACTCCAGGCACTGTATGTATTTGGGGAATGAATCAAAATAATAAGAAGTTATTTTATTCTTTCTCCCTTTCTGACTCACTGACTTATACTCTCACTTCACTCCTGCTCTGTCCTTCTCACTATCATTCCCTCCTGAGTAATACTTTCAGGATAAATGCTAACTCCTTTTACACATCTACTCTGATCCACTTTCCCTAAGAAAAACTCCCAATACAAATGGCGTCACTTCGCAGATGACACAATGATGCAAACTTACACACCTAATAAGTAATATGAGACCTGGTCATTTTTCTCATCATGGTATCCCTATTATCTTTGTATTATACACAAAACACACAGATATATACATATACATATATATATATATGAGAAACTATCTAAAAAGCATCCACTGACAGATGTTTCACAATATGTCACCAATCCATACATGAGTTTGTTACCTGTCTTTAAAAATAAGATAAAAAAACAACTTCTTAACTTACCACAGTTACCAAAAATTCCACTATTTTATTGGCTATCTACAATCACACATGAAAAAAAGAGATCAATGTGTTGAGAACAGGCTTTTGGGAATCCTTTCAAATGCTTATTTTTAAATCTACAGCAGGCATGATCAATTATTATTTTTTCAAAAGCAAGCTTTCGATGCCAAGATTGATTTTTTTTTAATCCTGAGCCATGGCAACACCAGTAAAGTCTGCCAGCAGAAAATACACCACTCAGGTTGAAGCAGATGGCATAACGAAATATGTGACAGGCTGAAGATCCCACACACTAGGAGCTAATGCCGATGGTATGTTTGCTTAGGAAAAAATATTTGGACTTCTGCTATGGTAAGTCAGAATGAACAAATCATATTCCAAGAATAGAGGAACTATATATGTAAAATTAACTACTCTGTAAAAGCTCTGATACTATGGAAGACTAAGTGTTAAGGCATTCCAAGCTTAAAGTTAGCAGGAGCAGTACAACAAGAGAACCATATTAAAGCAGTTCGTATCAGCTGTCTTCTACTAATTTGCTAATATTTGATGAATGTCAAGGAACCCCTGCTTCCTTCCAGCACTTGAGATTCACAAAATATAAAAATTAAGATAGGGTCCAGCACCGTGGCTCAACAGGCTAATCCTCCACCTGTGAACCACCAGCATCCCGTATGGGCAACTGCTTGTGCGTAGGCTGCTCCAGTTCCCAGCCAGCTCTCTGGTTATGGCCTGAGAAAGCAGCAGGGATGGCCCATGTCCTAGGAACGCTGAACCTAAGAGAAACACGTGGAAAGAGTTCCAGGCTTTGTATCTGATGAGCTCCAGAGCTGCAGCCATTTGAGGAATAAACCAGTGGATGGAAGATCTTTCTCTGTGCATCTGTCTTTCCAATAAAATAAATAAATATCTTAAAGAAAAAAAAAACCAGAGATGATTTAAAACATTTGATTAGTTCATCATACAAAGTCTTATTTTTTAATTGCTTAAAATTGGCATACATACGAAAATTTACAAAGATACTTAATACTTCTGCTGTGACCATTAGCTAAAATGGTTTTCAATTGAATTCTCTTTGATTAACAAGATTGAATTCCAGTTGCCTGGATGGGTCTGTTCTTAGCAGACATGCTATAAATGTTTAATAAAAAGATCCTGACTCCCATCCTGGTTCATAGAATACAAAACAAACAGAAGCAAATACAAGTATCTGGTGATGTTTATATACAGATAAACAATCTGTATAATTAACGCAAGATGTAAGTAAGCGAGCAAAAGCCACCAAATAATTATCTGTTCGTTGTTGAACTTCTGGCTGAGTATCTCAGTCTACAAAGGGCTTTTATGTGCTTAGTAGATAAAACTATACTAATTGATTTATGGATTTTAATTGGTGCTATTATTAAAACATACCTTCAATAAGATGATGCAATTTGTTCAAGTGAAATGTTTGAATATTTTGTGAAAGGCAGATGAAACACCCACTCATGATTTTGAATTATAACAGAAGAATTATAAGAGAAGTATATCTTACAAAGTCCGAACCAATCTAATTGGTTTGGTTTTTCCAAAAGGTCAGATAAAGCAGAAATCATTACAAAAGATATATATTTCCTTTGTTTCAGCCTAATATATTTGGTAGTCAGTTATTAACACCTTGAGATACAGGTAAGATATTCTTTTTTTTTTTTTTTTTATTGGAAAGGCGGCTATACAGAGAGGAGAGACAGAGAGGAAGATCTTCCGTCCGATGATTCACTCCCCAAGTGAGCGCAACGGGCCGATACTATGCCGATCCGAAGCCAGGAGCCTCTTCCGGGTCTCCCACGCGGGTGCAGGTTCCCAAAGCTTTGGGCTGTCCTCGACTGCCTTCCCAGGCCACAGGCAGGGAGCTGGAAGGGAAGTGGGGCTGCTGGGATTAGAACCGGTGCCCATATGGGATCCCGGGCATGCAAGGCAAGGACCTTTAACCACTTGCACCACCGCGCCGGGCCCAAGATATTCTTTAATATGGCTCAAAAAGGAGATGCTGCTACCTTCTTGAAAGATAAACCTTGCTCACAGAATATGTTAGTTTATAAAAAAGAAAATGTTACTATCGTCAAAATGTCATCCTGTATTTGGGCATTTAAAACAGAACTTGATTGAGGAAAGTGTCTAGATTTATGAGAGACCGTTCCTCAGTGCTTTACCTCAAACTAAATCTAAACCTCAAACTAAATCTAAACCTCAAACTAAATCTAGCTGGAGGGAGTGTTAAGGAAACAATCTGAAGGCACAAACAACGTTCTGCTCTCAGTTAACATATCCTACACAAAAAAACGGACAGCATATTCCCAGCTAGCTACCATCAAAAGATGGTAGGGGAAAAAAAGACTCTTAAATCCATATTATCAGCAATTCTGCTTAATACAAGACTCAAAATTTCAGGTAATGCAATAAAGAAAAGTATG